TGGTGAGATGTACAGTATCTCTACTGAAATTATAGTAATGGTGTCTAGCTTTGTATACATATGCAATTATGGAAAATCTATTTTGCCCTCCGTTTTGGGAGATGGCCACCCTGAGCGTCAAGGATTGAGATTCCCACAATTGTTACTATAGGACAGGCATTGTGGAAAACAGAATGTTGGCCTAGGTAGGCCTTTGGCCTGATCCAGCAGAGGGACGGATCCAGCTGCTGTGAGCTGTGTCCCCTCAGCTGCCAACTGCTTTTACCAGCTACTAATCCAGACCCTCCAAGTATCCCTATTTTCCAGGGACAGTTCTGGATTTACAGAAGCCTACCCAGTTTCTGATCGGATTCCAAAATGTCCTTCTTTTCCTTAGGATGTCCCTGTTTTCATCGGAGAAATGTCAGAGGGTGTGTGAGACTGTGATGCTCTGCGAGAGAGGACGGAGTGCGTCTTTCTGTTTCAGCGGGGAGCTGAATCATGAGAGCGAGAGACAAGTAGGAAAAGCAGCAAAGGGGATTTTAACTAATGCCAATGGAAAATCCCAGGCAGCCAGAGCAGAAACCTGGGGGTGGATGTCCCTATGGCCTCAGATGCTGCTGACTCATGGCCAGCTCAGCTCATCAGCAGCGGGATGAGGTCATCACTTTACTCTAGAGCGAGTTCCTCATACCTGAAAGGCTGTGGAACTGCCTTCCCACAATACTGAGGCTGCACGTAGATGCTTCTGTTTTTTCGCGCACACAGCTCCTGCCATCACAAGACACCTTTCACAGGGAGCACACCTTGCTTGCTGCATCTGACGACTGTCCACAGGGCAAGGATTGTATTTGGGAAGGGAGTGTATGTGTCAGACCCTGGGGTGCCTTTCTAGGAAGCCAGTCCCAGCAGGGTCTTGACATTTCTTTTCAAATGCTAAGAAACAGAAAGTGAAATCAGTGATGCTCAAATGTCTTGTTTCCTAGAGCAGCCACTGTTTCTGAGCAGCAGAGCAAATAGTCCCTTGAAGCACCATCAGTGGGTGAGTGGGAATTAGGAGTCCTCCTGGGTTCTCCCTGCCAGCTCCGAGAATGAGTTCGATCAAATTCAGGATTGCACAATTTGTGCCGTCCCACCATGCACTGGCTGGGCCGGCAGGTGCACACCAACTCCCCAGGCATATAGAATTGAGCCCCTTGCAAGCCACCATACAAGCGGTGGTTGTGTTGCGTTTGGTTTGGCAATTTGCCCGTTCTGGAGGCCTGACCAAAAGTTATGCAACAGGATACAGATGGGGATGCAGATGGGAAAAACGTGGCCGAGGAGCACTTAGAACTTGGGCTGCCCCAAAATTTTATTGGCTGGGTCGACCAATTAAATTGGCTTTTAAAATAGGTTGTGTGCTTTAAATCTAAGCACTTAAACTGCAATCTACAGGCATCACACACCCAAGAGGCACCCCCCCCCAATCTCACCCAGGAGGGAAACCTCATCTTTAAGATGGAGATGGCTAACTAGCTAGAAAAGGCTTGTTTTTCTTGTTACTTCAAAACAATTGTTTTGTCATGTGAAAATTTCATTAAGCAGTTAAAACTAAGATCTGGGTGGGATTCCTGATGGGAATAGCACAAAAAGACATCAGGTAGCCGCTGTATGTGTGCTCACAACAGTTTTTACAATGTAATACATCAGTTGCAGGGACTGTCGTTGCTGAACTACAACTTGTATCACCTGAGGCTATTGGCTATGGTTGCAGGAGCTGATGGAGATTGTAGTTCAGAAACATCCAGAGGACCAAAGGTCTCTTATCCCTCTATACATGGTACTCAGACCTAAGACCTATTGATTTCCAGGATACTTACACCAAGGTAAGTAGGTATAGGATTTCAGCCTTATTTTAATGATTCCTTATAACAGGCATAGGCAAACTCAGCCCACCAGATGTTTTGGGACTACAATTCCCCTCATCCCTGACCACTGGTCCTGTTAGCTAGGGATCATGGGAGTTGTAGGCCAAAAACATCTGGAGGGCCGAGTTTGCCTATGCCTGCCTTATAAACAAGTATCCCCAATCCATGAGGGAAACACGTTTTTAGAAGTTACAGTATTGTTAAATACAAGTTACTTGTAAAACTGTTACTAGAGGCATTCCCCTTTCACTCTCAGAATGCCTTTTCCGAAATGGCATTGGCTGACATATACACACGCTATCTAAAAACAAAAGTATTCTCTCCTCAAAAAAACCCAAAGAAACCAACTGTCTTATGCAAATTAGTGTTGTTTTGGTCACTCAGTTCAAACCCATTTGATGAACAGACCAATATTTCCTTTAATCAGATGGCAGCCTTAGTTGAAACAAATTCTAAGAGCATGAATTAGTTCTACTGTGGCTTCAACTTTTAGTCTCTCAGTGGCTTGCTCTGAGCTCCATCCACGTATGTTTGGGGTTTGAAGGGAACAGTCAAAAGCTGCAACGCATGAACTTGACCAGGCATCCCCAACATTCAGCCCTCCAGATGTTTTGGACTACAATTCCCATCATCCCTGACCACTGGTCCTTTTAGCTAGGGATCATGGGAGTTGTAGGCCAAAACATCTGGAGGGCCACAGGTTGGGGATGCCTGACCTTGACAATGCACCTTTTGTGGGATTCTGTTTCTCACCCTATGTTCTTTAGGGTGTGGTTAGGAAAGGAATAAGGAAGTCCAACTGGCCTCTGCAAGCATAGCCAATGGGCTGAGATGGTGGGAGTTGTAGTTCAGCAACATATAGAGGGCCAGAGGTTCCTCACAGCTGGAACAGGAAGTAGAGCTTCTCTTCCATCCTGCTGGGGAAGCAGCAGCATTATTAAGTCAGTTCTTGCCTTTCCCCACAGGGAAGAACAGAGAGGTGAGGAAGGAGGACTGAGCAGGTTTGTAATTTATTCTGGAAACTTCTGCATCGGGTACATAAAAAAACCCAGCACACACACACACACCAGCTTCTCTCTAGTCCATCTTATACTGCAGGAAAGGAACAAAATAGGAGACCAAAACCTTTGAGGAAGTTGGGTATGTTTAACCTGGAGAAAAGTTGATTAACAGGTGAAAAAGTAGCCATCTTATTCAATTCCTGAAAAAGTGGCCACATATGGGGAACATTTGTTCTGTGCTGCTGTGGAGGGAAGGCTCTGAACTACAGGGTCTAAGGACAAGCAGGTTTTCGATGGAACATTTAAGAATAACTTCCTGACGGTATGAGCTGTTTGTGAGTGTGAGCAGGCTACCTTAGAAAGTGGTGGGTGTTCCCATGGCTAGAGGTGTTCTTGCTGTTGTTTTTTAAGCAGAAGCCCGGTAACTAAGTTATCCAGATCAGCAAATTTCCTCCACTGACAAAGGGTTGGACTTGCAAGATCTCACCCTCCTCTATGAGGTACTCAAATGAGCCACAGCAGCCACTAACTCTCCCTGTGTCTCCCACCCACCCCACAACAAGGAAACAGGACAAGAACTCAACTTCAAGTTTATTTATTGTTTTACTTTTTTAAAAAAAGATTTCAGTGTTTTTCTTGCTTAAAAAAAATACTGTTCAGATCCTTAGTAATGCACTATTGGGCCTTAAATGCCTCCACTTCCCCCTCACTTAAGACCCAAAGGGGCAGCTGAAATGTTTCTGAGTGACTCTCCCAAGTGGGGGAAAATTACATGCCCTTCCCACCAACACAACTGGGAAACGAGGGACAGGGAAAAGAAGATTAAAATAAAAACGAACCAACAACCTAGGAGTAGAGTTCAGTGCCATTAAAAAGGAGGAAATGACGGGTCAAGAAACAGACCCTGAAAATTTTAGCCACGTGTGGCCTTCTTTGGAAAAGAGGGCAGGTGAACTTTGCTGCTTAAAACAAACGAGTCAGTTTAGTGGCACGTTTTTACGCCACCATATGGCACGGGAAGAACCGAGAGTGAAACTGCTGCGGTCATTGTTCCCCACAATCCCAGGAGATGAATGTGGTGCTGAAGCAGCGCTTCCATGCCTCTCCGAAAGACAATTTTAAATCCACAGTGAAGGCGAAAATGATGCTCCTTATAGTTTCACTCCTTTGCTTCCTCCCCACCCCCATTTAAGCTTTCCTGATCTTCCTTTCCCTTTGGCCTATAGAAAGCCCCTCCCCACCCCAATACAATTTCAAATAAGGTTAAGGTTAATCTTATTAATAGTCATGCAGCCCTGCTCCTGCAGGGCAAAAATAAGAGAGACATCCCCACCCCACCCTGGAAGGTCCTTGCCTCCCCCTTTTAAGGCCCCACTTGTGGTGAGGGGGGCACCTATTAATCCATGATCAGTAAGAAGTAAAGGGCAGTTTCCTCGGGTTTCCCGTGCCGGCAGAAGCAGGGGCAGTTTTGAATACAGTATTTTCGGACCAGAAGGACGGAGAAGAACGGGGACCCATCTTCCCCTCCCAAGGTGGCAAGGGGAGGGAGAGCGGAGTCCCACGAAGAGAGGTCCAATCTCAGGTCAGAAAGGGCACTGCACCTGGGATAGAAAGAAGACAAAAAGGAAGTATTAGCAGCAAAAAGCAACAAGCTTTCCTTTTCTTATTTAATGTTCTTTAAAAAGACAAGTTGGCCTTCTCTGTGTGGCAGGAGCAAACAAACCAGAAAGTCTCTAGTTGACCATAGTTTCTGGTTTCATCTGATCCAGGAAACGGTGGTTACCAGCTCCAAAACAAACCCATATATTGAAACCATAGATGTAAGTTGCCTTAATATCGTTGCTTGTTCCAAACGTGGTAACTGTATCTCCCAAGTTTTGACAATACGGGAAACTTTGGTTAATCAGGGGCACCCAGGCTTGTTTTCTCATGCCACAAATTGGCTGGGGGGGGGGGCATAGGCACATGCATATCATGGCTTGATGAGGACAAGATATGATCACTGTCTCCTCCCACCCTCACCCAGAGTTTCCACCCATAACTATGTAAAGCTTTCCACTCTCCAATTTCTTCTACCTTGTTACTTCTCGGCCCAGGCAGTAGGGGGCGCTCATTCGTCCCCTGCAGTCATTCCTCTCACAGTGCCCTTCTGGCGTATCTGCAACAAAACAAGATCCTTCAGCAGCTGGGTAACTTCCAAGTCTTACATGGTGGTAGTACTGGCTCTGTTTACTTCCACATGGCCTTGCCAGAAAGATTTGCCAATAAATTAAAAAAGTTTTTTTAAAAAAATCAATAATCAATTACAATTGCATTTAAATGCATCAGCATATTACCAAACATTATAGGGTTTGAGGGTTCAAAGCATATTTAATACTCTCTGGGCAAGACAGGAACCACATTTAATCCCAAAGTGCAAAATGGGATCTATCTATAAACAAAACACTTGTATGTACCAGTTTTTCCTCCCTTTTCTTTTAAGGAGGAACAGATTCAAATAAGGGCAGGACTCCTATATATTTTGTAAAAGTTGTATAGAAAAAGGTTTTAATCATCAAAAAATAGAAAGGTAGATATTTACAAATATATAAAATATGTTTACAGAAGCATAAAGTATTTATGTAACTATACATTTACAGACATTAAAAAACTACAAATTGAGGAAACAATGGTAAGCACATTAACAGTTAAAATTTTTTAAAAGAGGGGATTTTTGCAGCGCATCTCTTACAGCAGTGGAAAAAACCCATGCCTACCAAAATATCTTCTTCCACATTAATATCATATAGGACTGTCACCCAATTGTGGAAATCTTCGTGCCTCTGTGGGGAACTTTTGGTGCGCCATTTGCTGCTGAACTACAACTCCCATCATTCCTCACCACTGGTGATGCTTGCAGGGGCTGATGGGAGTTGTAGTTCAGGAACATATGAAGGGCCAAAGCTTCTCTCACCCTTAAGCAGATCAACTGAGTTTTAAAACAACCAAATCTACATAAATTTGCATATGACTAAATGCTTTTGAAGAAGGGAAAAAAGTATACCTGATTTTAGATGGCCTATGTATAGGGTGCATAGATACCTATAAGTTTTAGATGGCATATGTCTTGGAAGTGGAGTCCCCTCCTGTGAGAGACTGAAGAGGGAATGCCTCTCCCAAGATGGGGTCCGCCATTGGCAATTTTCACGTTTCAGGATTCGAATCAGGGTTTCCCGCTTCTATATTAGTGGATCAAAACCACATCGACTAAATAAAACCTATGCCCTAGTTGGAAACTCCTCCTCTTGTCAGGGGATCTGCACCTACTACAACAAGTGTGCCATAGGGACAGCAAATATAAAACAGGAGTACCGATCATCACTCAATGGAACAGTGGCAGCGATTTTTTGAAAAATCCTGCCTGGCAGATCTGCGTAGCAACTCGGCTCATTGAAATCAACAAAGCCTCAAGACTAGCTGCGGGAATACAAACAGGAAAGGGTTTTAACTAAGCTTCTACAAGTGGGAACTGAGCTGGCCATGGAAGGCCTTTTTGGGAAGGGAGTTTCACAATAAGGAAGCCATGAAAAGAAAAGGCCTGGCTGCTGGACACCATCCGCCTTACTCTCTGACAACCTTGGCATCTGAAGCAGGCCACCCGTAAATGATCTCAGAGATCAGGCTTGTATGGGCAAAGCCATCCTTTCAGACCCAGTGACAGGGAAAGTTGTCCAGTGGTACCTCTGGTTACGTACTTAATTCGTTCCGGAGGTCCGTTCTTAACCTGAAACTGTTCTTAACCTGAGGTACCACTTTAGCTAATGGGGCCTCACACTGCTGCCGCGCGATTTCTGTTCTCATCCTGAAGCAAAGTTCTTAACCCAAGGTACTATTTCTGGGTTAGCGGAGTCTGTAACCTGAAGCGTCTGTAACTCAAGGTACCACTGTACTTCTGGCCTTCCACCCACAAGAGTTCAAGCACAAGTAAGAGAAGCTCTCACAACCCAAACCAAGTGCCCCTTGCACCCGCAAACCTGGTCCTCTGCCCCAAAATACCTCATCAAGCTCCCTCTGTGTCTCTTCCTCCATCCGTCGAATGTCAGCCATGGTTAAATCCACCCACTTGTCCAACCAGCAAAATAGCTGCCTATGGAAGTTGGTAAAGAGGCGTCTTTCTTGCTGTAGGAAGAGAAGAAAGGCTTCAAGAAAACAGGATGACAAGAATGCAAGAGACCTTGAAGTGGGGATAATGGTCTACGCTCTCTCTTTGAGGGGAAAAGTCCCTGGGTTGCATTCTGCAGATCAAGCTCAAGATGGGTTTTTTTACCCCCACCTCTTCCCGCCCCTAAAAAAACCTCAACAACGCTGGAGAAAGTCTCAAATCCCATTTGCTAATATTGCTCTGCCATCTGTTACTATCCAAGCAAGCTCTAACGCAGACCAGAGCCAGCAGCCTCAGCCTGTTCTTACCTTTTGGATAAATTTTTCCACTCGGCCCTGAAGACCCCACCAGCGGAACTTCACACTCACAAGTTTGTAGGCACACATGTGGGGACAATCTTCATTGTTGGCTAGTTCCCGCTAATGGACGGGAGATAGGGGGGAAGGGGAAGGGGGAGAAAGGAAGAAGCCAGGAAGATTAGGCCTGGAGTTGCCGCTGAAGTTTCAAAGCAAACTTGTGGAGACTTCTCTTATAGGTGAAACATCTGAGGGGGATTTGCAGGGATGAAAAAGAGATTTACCCCCTTTTTATATTTCATTTAGAAGTATTTACACCATGCCTACTAACCAAAGTTCTCGAGGCGGCTTGCAATGTATTTAAAACGCAATAGAACAGACAGCGATACAGACGCCTTTGCCCTAATTATTCTAAGTTTCGCCCCTCCCCTTTTTATCCAAAGTTCCTACAAATGCCATTCTGCAGCTGAATCTTCTGGCTGTAGAAGCAAGATGGGTGTTAATTCCACATGGGTAAGGGCATGGAGTGACTGCTGTTTATGTCTCTCACAGCCCCAGCCCTGGCAGCATTTATAGAAGGGGCTGGGTACAGCACCTACCAGTATTGATAAGACCCATCCCCGCTCCAAAAAATCCTACAGCTGGTTCGTACACCCAGTGACCACTGCAACACTTGCTTTCTCTCTTCCTGCCATGACTAAAAGGTCACGGACTCATCTTTTGGGTCTGGTGCCACAGCAAGCGCACATTTTGCTTTGCTAAGATGAAACCAGCAGACCCCTGGGGTCACACTACCATCGCCAAAGCCTGTCTTCAGAACAACGAAGAGGCCCGAGATTGTATGGATGGGAGGGAGCAGGACACACTTACGGGCTGGTTCGCATGTTTTGCTATCATCCATTTTTCTATTATTTCATTTATGAATTGCATCCCATAAGGCGTCTTGAAACAAATTACAAGACAGGGGACTGGACGTACCTTCCAGTCAGGGCCAAGAGGCCCTCTGCCCGTCTTCAGTGATTTGAAAAGAGCCGGGTCTTCATCTGGCTTGTAATCCTGAAAGATAAGAGAGCAGAGATGAGAATGTCAGCAGTATGAGATACAGGGGGGCAGAGATGGATAAATGCCATGAAGATCTTTGTTCAGCAGGTAGAAAAGCAGTCAGAAAGGGCAGATTCCTCTTGACACAAAAACAGGGCCTGATAGCATCTAAAATCCAAGAGCCAGCACTGAAAGCAAAAGGGTACTATTTTGGATACTACAAGCAATGCAAAAAGTTGAGCAACAATGTGGTTTTAGTGGTACCAGCCGTCGCCACCACTACTGTTACCTTTGTTCTAAGGATGTAGAGAGAACAGACTAGTCACTTGGTAGCGAAGAGAAAGTGCTCAGCATATGCTCAGAGACAAGCTCTCCACTCAGGGGCCTCTCCTCACTCAGAGTGGGGGATCTCCTTTCATCCCTTCTGTAGGCCATGGGCCAGAAGGAACAAATGAGATCACAATATGGAGCCTGGCCAGATATTAGCAAACTTCCTTTCTCTGTCAATGTTGGGGGGATAAAGGAGGGAGAAGGAAGAGGAGCGAGTTGTGTGTGGAAATGAAGGCCAGGTAGTTGTGGACAGGATAGCTGCAGCCTAGAATCGCTGGGCTACTGTTCTCCTGAGCTCTCCCAATCTAGAGTGATTCAAAAGAACAAATAGTTCCAAGTAGGGTGTTTGCAGATGCTACAGTAACCAAAAAGATTCCCTTTGTGCTCACGGCTTTCACACTCCAGAGCCACAAAGGGATCCTTCTTTCCTATCAAAAGCAGACGGCTGGAAGGGCGCTTTCCTTCCCAGAATTCCCCTGCCTTCTGTGTCATGTTAACCTTTGCCAAACACTCTTCCAACTGCCAAACAAAAACCAAGGTTGCCTCTTACGTCATCTGACACTTGCGTCCGATCAGCGACATCTATATGGACCACCTCAACATCTTTCCAAGTTTCCGCATCGAGGCTGTGGACCTGGCAGAGATAAGAGCTTTTATGTCCTCAACCAAAACAAAAATGGGAGTCGCCAGCACTGAAAGTTTGATTGGGCTTTGTTGACTTTTTAATATGCTTCCGTATTATGATATATGCTTTGTACTGGCCTAAAGACAACGAGTGTTAGGCAATCAATGTGTTCAATTTAATAATAATAATAACAATAATAATGTATTTTACATCAAAACACACAAGATTTGGATGGGACCTTAAGAGAGCTGTGCATAAACAAATGCCAGCAAACCTCAGAGAACTCAAGCAAAATTGTAAAGTAGAGTTGGCCAAACCTCCTCCACAACGATGTGAGAGATTGATATAGTCATACAGAAAATGATTACTTCAAGTTATTGCTGCTAGATGTGGTTCTAAAAGCTATTGAATCATAAGGTGTACTTAGTTTTGCACACATGGCTTCTCCATTTTGGCTTTATTTTTGCTAAATAAATCATGACACGGAGTAATTAGTTATGTGTTGTTGTTCATCTGAGGTTGTAGTTACCTAATTTTAAGATCTGCTTAAAAAGAGATGATTGATATGTCTTCATATGTAAAACCACAGAATTCAATTTTCTCATGACTGTATAGAAATTAAATAACAATAACATATGTAACCCAGATTTGCTTCAGTAAAAATCACAGAAAGTTTAATACCTTAAGATTGCATCCCTCAATACTGCCAAATATTTCAGTCATTTAGAAGAGAAAAAGACCTCTGTAACCCCAAACTGCATCCAATAGCTAATGCTAAAGCATGTTTCTGTTCCATACAGTCTCCTCTAAAGTGCTTTCAAGATCTCTGCAAGAATAAGTGCTTTATTTCTTATTATATATGCAATGGAACCTTAACAAAGTCTAAATTATTTATCTCAGCTGGTATCTGTCCTGGATCTGAACTGATTTCCTGTATGTGGTGTTATTTTAAAAGCATTTTTATGTTTATTTTTTGTGTTTCTTTTGTATTCAGTTGTTTTTACATATGCAACTATTTTATATATGCCATTGTATTGTAAATCACTTCAAGATGCCTCACAGGAAGCAACTCATAAGTGACATAAATAACAACAACTTTTCCGGATACAAAATATTTTCTTTTTGCAGAAAGAAAAAATTCTGGTTAATCAAATACCACCACCACCCTAATAATAAAACAGTGCATCTGTGTCCACGGTCTTTCTATTAATAGAGAGTAAAATTCAGCAGGACTTGGGCACCCTGGTTCTGTGGATAAAACGTGGCGTTTCATTCCCGTCACTTACATTGTCTTGGTCACCTAAATCTGGTTTGTGCCAGGTTTCAATTTTGATGAAGAAATCATCCTTCATATATTCATTCTGTCCAAAAAGGAAAGGGTGGGGAGGAGAGAAGAATGGTTACCCAGAATACTTTGTGGTAACAAGAGCACACGCAGACCTAAAGCCACACATGACTTGAGCAGACATATTACCCAGAATGCTCTGTGACATTCTGGGATGTGGGTGTGTGACTCATGAGAAGTGGACTTCATGGGGTAGGAGGTGTGCCATAGCTTACTGGAGATAGGCAAGGACACAGATGTACCCAGAGAATCTGAGGAAGTTGGGGTTCACTGAGAAGCGCTGCCTGCCCACCCACAGATGTCCCTTCCCCAAGTCACTTACCGTAATAACTGCAGCAGACGGGACCACAAGAAAGAAGAGAAAGACAGAACATGTTAGTGCAGGATAATGAAACGAAAAACCTTCCCTAATCAGTTTGATGTAAGTCTTCTCCAGCCACAGGTGCCATTTGTGTAACCCAAATCACACAGGACAGTTTTAGCCCAATATATCCAGCAGGTTAGACTAAGTGTGGAGAAGCTATGATCCTCCAGTTGTTGCTGAACTGTAACTCCCATCAGCCCCAGCAAACAGGGCCAAAACCAGGGATGATGGGAATTGTAGTTTAGCAAAATCTAGAGGGCCAAAGGTTTCCCACACCAGTTTTGACTGTCCCTGAACTCTGATAATGTTTCCTGCTGGACTGGACGGGGCTTGCGAGTTTGTGTAGAAACCAACTGTACAAATGTATAATTTGCATTTGTTGGTTCTCCCACTTTTGCCTCAGGACACACCCAACACTGTCCAAAGAAAGTTGCCCAAATGAGAATGTGGCCCTTGGCCTATGAAAACTTTCCCAGCACTTGCTCAAAATGAATGTTTATTCAAACTCTGTTCTGTGGAAACTTGAGGTTCCTCTGGCCTGTGTCAATGAGAAGAGCAGTAATGTAAGAAAAGGGTTTCCCAATAGGCTGCTTGTTGCAGGAGTCTGCTGGGTGCATTTCTAGGTTATATTCTCAGCTTAAGAAGAGCAGTGATGAATGGGGTGTACAGCACTTCCAGAATCTCTGCCAAACAACCCCTGGATTTTTGCCACTCAGCCATTGTTCAAAAGGATCGTTCAAGATAGAGAGTTTGAAAAAACATGAGAACACTCCAGACAAATTTGTCCCCCTACCAAAGCATCTAGGTAGGACAGGGTTTTGCAAACATGGGTCTCCAGCTGTTTTTGGACTACAACTCCCATCACCCCAAGCTAGTATGACCATTAGTTGTAGTCCAAAAATAGCTGGAGACCCAAGTTTGGGAAACCCTGACCTAGGGAGTCCCAGTTACAGACGTAGCCCCTTCTCTCATCCCTCTCCCTGGCTCACCCGTTCGACAATAGGGATAGGCATTCCAGGCTCTCTCGTGAACAACTAGGGACCCCTCAGGGGCGAACATCTTAATGAATCCAGGAACTTTGCTGCAAGAGAGAGAAAAACAGGGCATCAGAGGAAGCCCATGCCTTTGGATGCCCGTGCCCAGGAAAGACCTTACCTCTGGAGGTGGTAGATCTTGTGGGTGAACTGCCCCCGTTCCCCTTCACGCTCGTAAGGTTCATTTTTTAGCACCTCAATCCCTTCGCCGCCGCCAGTGTTGTTCTTGCTGGCTTCCGCAACAGAGAATAACTGCCCCACCTGATACTGAAGAGGGAAAGAGCAGAGGTTGGAAATGGGCATTTTAAACAGGTGATTCAAGTTTGACATGTCCCAAAAGGAACTTGTCCCAGTTCAAATTTGTCCCTTTACAAAACAAAGTAGTTGCCTTCAGGTCACAGTTCCAAGTTGATCCAAATGATCCTCAAGAATTTTTTTCAGTATTCAAAATGCTCCTGTGCTGAAGTATAAAATAAAAGTATAAAATAAACTTAAGACGAGAGTCTATAGAGTGAAAAGCACAGATGAGAGAATGAACTTGAAGATAAAACTAGAAATCGTTCAAAGTTCTAAGCCGAAACAAATTTAATTCAAGTTTTGATCACTTGGCAATTATGGGAACTACTCTCAGATGTAGTTTAGAGACTTTTGAACTAATTTGATGAAGTCTTTTAAGCTCATTCCAAGCACTGGGAAAGAGGGAAGGGGAAATAATCCTGACCCATTGGCCTTCAAATAGGGCACAGGTCTTGGGGACGAAGAAGGCCATAGGAGTCACTTGGCAAGACCTGCCTGCCCCAATTACTGCTGGGTGGAGAGGGAGAGAACAGGGAGCCAGAAAGAGAGAAAGGGGCAATGCCCTTTTGGTTTTTGGTTCTGGCCCCACCTCTGAAAAACAGGAAGAAAAGCACTCCAAACTTTCTGCTGATTTATGCCAACTCATTATTCTCCCCCCTCCCATTGATTAACTAGGGGGTCAGCAAAGTTGCACACTTCCTAATACCACTGCATGTAAATGGAACTTACCTCCTCTACGGAGCAAGGCAGCACAACCCGGCTGGTTTTGGAGGATGGAGATAAAAGCAGCATGGGGGGGAGGGAGGGAGAGGAAAGAGAAACAAGAATTAGAGAGGGAATCCTCCAGTGCCCAAGCCCTCACACTCCACTGCCACATGCACCAGATAAAAAGCACATACACACTTTATTCACCCTGGAATGTATTTAACAGACCATTCAACCAAGACCATTTATAAATAGCACTACTGTCGCATCTGAACTATCATCATCATTATTAGTTTCTAGAAAACTGCCACTAAAACTAGTCTTAAAACAACTTACAATATGATATATCAAAGTGTACAAAAATTCAAACACCAAAGAACAAGCCACAACGTCAAATGCAGCTTTAAAACAGTAACCCTGAATTAATAAGCAAGTCTATCAAATACCACCAGAGGCCTGGAAGCAGAGGAAAACCTTACCCGGTGCCAAAAAGGTATTAAACTTGACACCAGGTGGGCCTCACCGGGGAGACCAATCCATAGATGGGGTGGAAGGAGAAAGAAGCCAAAATGTCCTTTCCCTTGTTGCCAGTCACAGAACCTTTCCTGGAAGAAGAGGAAAGCCTCTGATGACAACCACAGGGCCTGTGTAGGCATGTGTTGGCAGAGGCGTTCGGTTAGGTATTGGGGTCCTGAACTGTGAGAAGCTTTCTAGGCTAAAATCAGAACTTTGAATTGGTCTCATGAACCCATTGGGAGCCACTGAAGCTGGGGCAAATAAGAGTAATAGATACTTGTTTTCTGGTGCCTATTATCAGTTTGGCAGCCGCACTGAACACTCGCTGCAATTTCCAAACAGTCTGCTAAGGTGAGCACATATATAGCACATTGCAATAACCTACATATGCAGGACCCTGGTATCTCAAAATTTGAAGGCCGTGTACATGGTATACCTTTAAAGTACCATTAGAAGCACATGTTCCCTTCAAAAAACTATGGGAACTGTAGTCCATTGAGTGCTGTTGGGAATTGCAACTCTGAGTGGTAAACTACAGTGCCCAGAATCCCAGGGAGGCGGGGGAGATGTGCTTTAAAGGTGTTGCAGAAGTTTCGCTGAAATCGAAACACAAAGCAGATTGTCTCCTTTGCCCTGAGGAAGAGCACACTAATATGCACGGAGAACCTTTGTAAACTCACAGTGCAATCCTAAACAGGCCTATACAGAAGTATGCCTTACTGAATTAAAAAGGGCTTTCTCCCTGGAAGTGTGCTGAATCCCTTGAGGCAATGTTTTTGTATGTGCCAGATGAAATAAGTTGGACTGTCATCTCCCCACCCCCAAGGTCTTTTCTCCTACAATTCTCCTCCAGCGCGTGCCTCAGCCAGCTTTAACAAAGATAAATCTGCTGCTGCCAACTTCCCCTGAAACAGTGCCCAGCGTGATTTGCGGTAACACTCTGAAACTGCAAACATTTCGGGTTTCCTCCGAAATAAGTTCCTGGAAATCAACAGGCCTTAGTTTAAAGAAAGTGAGCCGAGCAGAGCACAAAAATTATGACGGATTCAGGGATCTGAGGATGGCACTTCTTATTTGTTCTCCTCCCACACTGATTATTCCATTGAGCTTTGGTGAAAAAACATGGGTGGAGGGTGGGGAAGAGGAAAAAAAAATACATCGAAATGGAGAATAACGGTATAAACTATAAAGCAAGCCAAGTGTGGAGGCAGCCAGGCCGCCTCCTGTCGGGAAAACATGCCGGGTCAGGGACCCCAGATGGATTCGAGGACTGGGTGTGCGAGAAACCTCCTGGCAGGGTAAGCCGAATGGGCCAAGGCGACCCCCCACTTCTGCTTTTCAGAGGAATATGAGAAAGCGCCGCCCGTTACACTGCAGAAACAAAAGGCCCCATTCATCCAAAATATCAGATCTCACCCAGCGCACATTATTAGGCGCTCTAAAAACCCCCAGCAAAATACAGAAGGAAGAGCCGTAGAAAGGGGCAGCCATATGTAGACGCGTCCCTTGTCTATCGCCCACCCATTTTTAGGAAAGCCCCCTCCCCACTGCCTGGTTAACCCTTCCCATGCCCTGCACCACCCACGCTGGCGCCCCCCCACCCCTCCCAGTACTCACAACTCTTTGATCAGCACCATCCTCCCGTCCCTCCGGCACCCCGCACGCCAAATGCACCAGCCCTTTTCTTCCTCTTCCCCCCTACCCCGGCCATTGACGCCACTTCCGCCCTCACTCTAGCGCCCGCTCGCCCGCACCTGCCCGCGACGACGCCACTTCCGCCCTCACTTGGGTTTCGCCCGCCCTGGCGAGCCGGAGCCAGGGCCGGCCACGTTGGGGAGGAGCAGGTCGAAAGGGGGGGGGGCGTTCGGTCCTCTTGATTGACAGCACAGGGAAGCCGGGGAATGACGGGACGCGGAGGGTTGCATTGGACATAAATGTCCACTAGGGGTCGCGCTCGATTCGGTCGTTCGGAATCGGCTGTGTTGAGAGTGCTTCTGAGATATGTGCAGAGCGCCTTTCTAGTCGTATTTGAGAAAGGGCAAGATCACGGACCTCCTGACTTTCATGCCTTTCAAGGGTATGGTACCCCACGCGAAACTGAGCCTTGTCCCTTCTGTTTTGAAACTATTCACTAAATATACTTTTTACTGAACCGTGAAAGGGACAGGAGGAGACATATTTCGAGGGTATCCTCGAAATTCCTTTAAATCATGGGCATAGCCAGGATTTATGTTAGGGGGAGTAGAACTAAGCTGTTGGTTAAGTATTTCTATTTATTTACTTTATGGGGGGGGCAGCTTCCCCCTGCCCACCCCCCGCTATGCCCATGCTTTAAATATTCACATCTCTATGGAAATATACATCCCGATGCTCCAGATCAATAACGCATATTCCCAAGTAAGTGTGCACAGAACTGCAGCTGTATTGCATTTAGAGTAGGAGATCTGTGACTGAGTATTCTAGACAGGGGGCGCGATGTTTTCTTTTCTGGCAGGTCTCTTGCGCCGCTGACGCAAGAATTTTAACCCAGGAAATATTTCCCAACATGAAGATGGGAGGTGGAACTTGTGGACTTTCTGACTGCCATGTACAAGATCCCAGGGTTCTTTCTCTAGGCCTGACAGAGTAACTCTGGGCCTCTATTGCCTATTTGCTTTTGAGACCAGGATATGTTCACCTGGATCTGTTCTCCTCGGTAAATTTGATCTGTTTATTTTCCCTCTTGACTCTCTCTGCATTATCCCAGCCACTTTGCTAAAGTGGACCACTCAGATACTACGCCTGTGAATGAATTCTGCAGAACTCGCATGCTAATTTGTTATGTTTTCCTTAGTCCCAGTAAATATGATTACTCAACTCTGGATTTTGGAGTTTTCCCTCACCGGCAAACACAGCTACCCTATATATTTGTTGTTTATATACCCAGAGGGGCTCTTATGTCATTCCTCCATTAGCTATTACTTGCTATTACCTCTTATTGTTTTGGGGGTTTTTTTACACGCTCTGGCGCTGAGCCGAAGAATTTCAACACAGGAAAGCCAATGACTCCGATAAAATCCCTCCACCAGGCAATGGGAAGAGTTTAGTTGTGTTTTGAAAGAACTTGTGTGAGGTCTGGATTTCCTGCGAGAGGAAAAGAGGCTTTTCAGGCTGAGGGTAGAAGAAGAAGCCAAGATTCTTGGATTACTTGCAGAGGAATCTTGAGATCTAGGCAAACAGCGGACAAAATGAACAAATTGGAGGTTCTGGGAGAAAAAGCATAGTATTCAGTCTGCCTATACTCCACACATCCACCCCCTGCAGCCATTCTGTTGGCTGGTAAAACAATGAGCTGGGCTGAAATGATAAAATCCACACTGTTTCCTGGGGTTGGACTTTCCTGAATGAGGAACTCGCCTGTTGCCCTTTAGATTGCATAAGAGTGATGAAATAAAACAGGCTGTGCCTGGAAGCAGGAAGAGAAACACAGTTGTGGAGCGGAAGTGGAGAACCCTCTTAGAGAATAAGACCCGGGAGGCTGCTGCTTTCTTTGTGAAGGGCTACACAACCCTTGCACCTCGGACCATGGCCAACCAAACAGACTACAACGACTTCTTGCACAAGCACAGGGATGTCTTCCGGAGGTTTCCGCTGGAGCTGGTCCATGGGATCCCCCTGATGGAGCCCATTGCTCAACAATGGGCTCCAATTGAAAACTTCCAGGCGCGGCCAGATGACTTGCTTCTCTCAACTTACCCCAAAGCAGGTGAGACACAGGAAAGGGGAGCAGGCGGGGTGTACGACTGCAGGAGGAAAAACAGAAGGAGGAGGGCCATAGCAATCGCAGGTGCCACCCCTCCAAGAAAACGGGTGGGTGGGGGAAGACCAAGGAGACAAACCTCAAAGCACCCTCAAAGTTCTCCTGTTATCCTGGAAATAAGGAGGAACTGTTAGGGAGAAATTATATTCGGATCACCTTTAAAGCTGAACCAACCTATTTGGCACTCTGCAAATTTTGGAAGAGAATTATCCAGCCAGCTGATGTGTGCAAAAATTAATATACTAAAGGTAAAATATGCACCAAAATGCACATGTGAGTGAAAACAGCATAGAAAAATGCATTGTTCTGGGAGAAATTGCTACGCAAAAACGTGCATGTTTAGGCAAAATTCTATACAAAAACATGGAGGAATTTCATACTAAAATGCTGGTGAACTTTCATGGTGACTTTAAAATGACAACAACAGAGCAAACATGGAAATGTGGAGAACTGGAAGACTGGAAAGATAAGAAATGGAGAGAAACCAAAATTGATAGATTTGCCCATCCTGGTGACTGCTGCTCTGGTGAAGAAATGCGATGGGCCCAATAAATCAGGAGAAAGGAAGCAGAAATTGAGGTTTATTTCCTTAGGTTGGTTTCATGTGTTTGTTTTGCTGTAGGGTTGCTCAGTTGTCTCTCACCTTTGGGAGTTACATAAATATGTGTCTTGGCAGAGGAAATGGCTTTAAAAGCACCAAAAAGTAAACATGTTCTTTCCAAAAGGAAGGTACATTATTTCATAAACATATGCATAAGTTGTTGTTGTTTTTCCAAAAATTGGTTTCATTGTGCAATGTGTATAGCATTTATTTATATTTTAAGTTACTGCAAGAGTGTTGTATTCCCTCAGGACTGAGGAGAAGGATATTAAATAAGTGGAACAAACAAGTAGCAGACATGTTGTTGCTTAGTTTTTTTGTACCTGCTCAAAAAAAATGTAACAGAGGCATGAGGGGGACAACAGCAGGGATAGTGAAGCAAGGCTGTAGCCCTGCAGATGCTGTTGGACAGGTCAAACTAGCATGGCCAATAGTTAGAGAGAGTTATACAATTAGAAGGGGTGGCAACGTGGGCAAATGCTTTTGCATTTGTTTGAACTATGGATGAGGGAGAAAGTCCATGCGGTTCACATTCAAGGTATACCTGCCTAGTCAGCACTTTTGGAAACAATATGTGAAGCAAAACACAGTCACCTTGTTCTGGCTCCTGCTCCTCAAAAACAGACTGAGGCTCTTACTTATTTAAAGAAATCTTTATTCAGATGCAGCACTCCTCTGGAGCTGGGAATTCGCAGCAGGGCAGGGAGTTCCAAAATGGGCTGAGCAACAAATATGTCCCAACAAGCTTCCCCACGCCTCCCGCCAAGTTTTAAAAGTTGGGTTGTGACGCACTCACTCGTAAGACTCTCTTGCCTTGCAGGAATGCTGAGCGTGAGCTCTGTTGTGGGTAACAAGGCTGCCTCCTCCTGTTCAGCCTTTCCCCGTGGCTTATAAAAGCTCTCCCCAGCTTCCACGGACACACTCTGCTCCACTGAAGGGTTGGAGGCAAGAGCTGGCATCCCTATTTCCCCTCTGGAATGGCTGGAGCCAGAGTGGAAAGGGGAGATGCCCTTCCTCCACCCCTGGTTCCCTTGGTATAGTCCCCTACTTTTCCTTCTCTGTCTGGGCCAAATCGTATCCCAACAGCACTTGTGGGGCTGATAACATAAGCCTTCCTGTTATGTACTGAGTTGAATAGGACCCAAAATGCAGCAGTCTGATTGGTCCTAGAACAATAGGATTCAGAATGCAGCAGTCTGATTGGTCCTAGAACAATAGGATCCAGAATGCAGCAGTCTGATTGGTCTGCAGGAGCCACCCAATCCAACTCCGGGTGGAAGTGAATCCGCAACCTGATTGACCTACAGGAGAATCCCAGAATTAGCCAATCACGTGGGGCCCATTGTGTAAATAATGTATATAAAGCAGACATTTCGGGGGAATTTTCATTCCTCACTACTCTGAGCTGAATAAAGAGCATGACATCCACACTCGACTCCGAGTATATTTCACTTCCAAATTCACACTTCTTTAAATTTTGCAGTGTAGGTCTCCAACCAAGTAACATGTGGAAAAACGCCTGTGCTAGGGCAAAGTTCACCTCAAAATGCCAATATTAGTGGAAATAACATACCCAAAATGCATTGTAGTTGGGGAAATCTGCAAAAATGTTTATGTTAGTTAAAATTGCATGCCAAAGTATGTTTATGTATTAGGAGAAATTCACACCAACTTCAATTTTGTGAGGACTTTAAAAAGAAATAAATCCCAATTTATTATTTTTCTCCTCTAATAACATTTTGTATGTTGCCCAATTTTCTTTCATGTTTTTCTATTTCACAGCTAATGCTTCTGTAGGTGAGATCCACCAAGGGGTTTTAGGTTCTAGTAGATCTCTATATTTACTGTTCCTCTGGGCTTTCAGGTACCACATGGATTCAAGAGATTGTTGACCTGGTCCTTAACGGCGGCGATGTGGAAAAAGCTCGTCGAGCTCCTGTGTACATCCGGATCCCATTTCTAGAAATTTGCTCTCCACCCCCGGTGCCTTCAGGTGAGCCCAGAGATCCCAGGCACACAGCCCTGCTTGTAAAAAAAAACCCCACAGGCAGTGAACTAACTCATCCAACCCTTTCTCTGATTCTTCGTTAGGGGTCAGCATTCTGGTAGATACCCCATCTCCTCGTGTGATCAAAACCCACCTCCCCTTCCAGCTTGTTCCTAAAAGCTTTTGGGACAAGAAATGCAAAGTAAGTGTTGCTTGCCTCATCCCTTTCTGCTACCCACCCTCCAATCCTGCCCCCATGCCACCTCATACCATTCTCCCTTCTGGTCCCTTGCAGGTAATCTATGTTGCTCGTAATGCCAAGGACAACCTGGTCTCCTACTTCTTCTTTGACCAGATGAATGTGACGCAGCCAGACCCTGGGCCATGGGATGGCTATGTTAAGAAATTCATGGAGGGCAAACGTCAGTTCTAGGAGAAGGAGCTCATCTTGAATAATTAGTACTTGTTGGGCATGGGGAGGGTGGGGTACAGAAGATGCCCTGATTCCCTCTCCATGATGAAGGGGGTGTCTAATGAATCAGAACAGCAGCAACTGGATTTTCTGAGACCCACCTTGAACCTCAACAGCATTGCGATCCCCCTTAGATCAGGGTGCTGCCACAATCCACAGCAGTTGAAGGCCACCAAGTTAGAGGGGAAATATCCAGGGACCCCTGGAATTTATAGATTCATGTAAAGCAGGTTCCCTTGGTTTTTCATTGGCCCGCACCCATTTTCCATCTCGCACAAAGCCCCTTTCCTGTAAGAAACTTCCAGGTTTGCGAGAGGATTCCCGGCTTACACACAGATTATTTTCCAGAAGCAAATAACAAGATCTTGTGCTTTACTCAGCTAGACTTCTAGAAGTGCCTTTAACGCCATTTGAAACCTTTACTATAATGTGCAAATTAAAGGTTAGGGAAATGTCAGGAAAACTGAACAATGCAGCCTTTACCTCCCATCGTCCCTGGCTATTGGTCATGCTGGCTGGAGCTGAGTCCCCCAACATCTGGAGGGCCACCAGTTTCCCAGCTCTGCTACATACCTGGAAATAGGTACCCCTGTAAGGAGTGGTACTTACTTCTTCTAAGTACACATGGATGGGAGAGTACTGTGGGATTGCATTGGATTAATTGATTCCTTTAACTAGGTGACAGACTTAATCCTTGTTACATCTTATCTCACTTGTCTCTCAGTTGCCTGGGGCTCTTGGTATGACCATGTCCGGCGTTACTGGGATGAGAAAGGAAAGCACCGTATCCTGTACCTCTTCTATGAGGACATGAAAGAGGTGGGTGTAGAATATGAATCAGCCAGAGGCCTGGTTGAAGAGAAATGTTTTCACCTGGTGCCTAAAGATATATAAAGAAGGCTCCAGATGAACTTCCCTGGGGAGAGCATTCACTGGCGGAAGAAGAGGAGTGGGGGGAGCGTACTGCCCCCGGCAGCGCGATCCAAGTGGGGTGCCATCGCGGCTGCCCCCTGCCTGCGCTGGGCGCCATGCCCCCGCAGGCGGCATGCCACAACTCTGGGGCGCACACCAGCCCCGCCCCCCGGTGCCGGAGCATGAAGCTTTGCCACTGAGAGCATTCCACCAATGAGGAGCCACCACAGAAAAGGCTCGATCTCGTGTTGCCACCCTCCAGACTTCACGTGGAGGAGGCACACAAACAAGGGCCTCAGATGATGAATGTGGAGTCCAGGGAAGAGGCGGTCCTTAAGGTATTGCGGTCCTGAGCCATTTATGTATACTTTCCCCTAACATATGCATTTCTTGTATGCCTTTTTTTGTTGGCTCGCTTTCCTGCAAAATTCAGAGAAGTCTGAACTTCAGAGCTGCATTTCAGTTCTCTTATTGTTTCAAGAAGCGCAAATTAGGTAGAAGCGCATTAAAATGCGAACTCAACCAAACTGATCTCCCATCCCTGGAAGTAATACAAATCTCCCAGTATGGGCAGAGGGCACTTTCCTCACTCAGGTTGCTCTCAGAAATGTGAGATTTTAACACTACTGCCTCCAGGTCAAGGCTGTGTGATGCACAACATGAAAAAAGTGTGTTTGAAACAGAGAGGCATGTGATGCAAAGTAAATTTATCAAGTGCAGAAATGTGGAAGGGATCCAGAGACCATTGGGTTTTGCTTCTTGAAAAAGAACCAGCCAGACAGTTAGTGTTTCCTTCCCACACTCTCAGGAACCTCAAAGGCATTCTGGAGCTTACAGGCAAATTGCAGTACCAGGTTGCTCTGTTGCGACCTCACTCCCATTCACACCCATCTGAATGTCTCCGCTAGGACTTGGCTCGTGAGGTCCGTCGCGTGAAAGATTTCCTGGAGGTTGATCTGCCTGAGGACGCCCTTCAGAAGATTGTCCACCACGCATCATTCCAGACCATGAAGAAGAACCCAATGACAAATTATGAGACCGTCCCCAACGCCATCTTTGACAAGACAAAAGGCAGATTTATGAGGAAAGGTGAGTAAGTGACGCTAGTCTTTTAAGACCTCAAAAGATGTTGTTCCCTGCTACACAAGTTCATTTGCTCCCCCTTTCCCCACAAAGAAGGGTAAAATTCGGAAGTGGAGTGAAGTTTAACTGGGGAGAGTAATCCTTTATGCTGTCTGGGCCCAATGTATCGCCCAGAGAATGTTCCAGTGGTCTGAAGTGCATTTTGCTAACTTTATAGGGAATCAAAGTGTGTAGTCACCAAGCGCTTTCTTATTTGATGATCACTTGTAGCCAAGTAAGATTGTCTTCCATGAAAACGGTCTTAACAGTGAGTCCGTAAGTGACTATGGAGTCCAATTCTGGATCCACACATCCTTCCACAGAGGGGACATAGGTTTCTGGGCAGGAGTTGATCACGGTGAGGGTTTGCCAAATGTGTCTTCCTCTTAGCCCGTTTCTCCTTTTCACCCTGAGTTGGTGCTTTTTCAAAGTCCATGACACCTTTGGTAAAGGCTGTCCTAAGAGCTTTAGGCTGCTATCTGAGATATATCTACATGGAAGTCCCACCAAACTCAATGTAGTTTACTTCTGAGCAGGTACATATAGGTAGAGTAATACAGCATATCTGCTCAGGTACAACCTGGGCAATATGTACAAAACCTAAATGCACTGTGCTGGATACCCAAAGGAGGAGCTTTGTAAATATAAAAGTCCTTTATAATTATAAAGAAAAAGAAAGGCAAGTAATAGTTATCACAGAAACCCCCTATGTTATGAGAGAGGATGCCATCTTTCAAAGTGGTCACAGGGTGAAACTCTCTCTTTCTGCTTCTGAATTTCTTCAGGTGAAGTTGGCGACTGGAAGAATTATTTCACAGTGGCTCAAAGGGAGGAGTTTGATGCAGATTACCGGCGCAAAATGGAAGGAACGACCCTGCGTTTCCGGGATGTATTATAGACTCAGAAAACCGCCCCTCTTGTATTTTATTCTTGGCCAAGAAAAAAATACAAATTATTAATAGATTCGAAAGAAAGAGGTGGCTTCTCACTACCAGACCTAAGGTTATATTATGAAGCATCCTGCCTGTGCTGGCTTCGGGAATGGATAATTTGAAAAAACACGAATATTTTAGACCCTGAGAGTCATGATAATAGGTTTGTTTGGCATGCATATCTATGGTATGAAAAGGCTAAAGTGCATAAAGGATTCTTGAATCATTTTGTAAGAAAATCAATTTATGTGGTATGGGAGAAATATAATTTACTAGAACAGAAAACGCCATGGTGGCTTTCCCCACTGGAAGCAATATCCTTTAAAAACGTAAATATGAGAAATGACTGGGCAACATATACGGACCTGTTAATGGAAGCAGAACACCAGTTGAAATTGAAGGATTTTGAGGATATGAGATTTATTAGCTGACTGGTTACAATATCATCAATTAAATGATTTTTTTAAGATAGATAAAAGTAAGGGTTTTAGTAATGAAGCTTCAAGGTTTAGAAAATAATTGTTGGACAACACTGTAAAATTACTTTCTAAAATGTATAGACTGCTTTTGGAATGGTATACAAAAGATGAAAAGGTTAAATCAGCAATGATACACTGGGCGAGATCGGGGGTATAATATTCAGCTTTCATCATGGAAGAAGTTATGGAGAACTGATTTGAAATTTACAGCATGTTATACATTGAAAGAAAATTATATGAAAATGATGTACCGTTGGTATTTAACTCCTAGCAAGTTAGCAAAAATGTATAAGAAAAGTACAAATATTGGTTGGAAATGTAAAGAAAAAGAAGGCACCTTTTATCATATGTGGTGGACGTGCAAGGTGATAAAAGCATTCTGGGAAATGATATATAATGAATTGGGGGGAAAATGTTTAAAGTAACTTTTTCCAAAAAAAACAGAGGCTTTTTTAATAAGGAATTGTAGGTGCTGAAATCCCAGAGGACCAGAGAAGACTGTTCATGTATGCAACAACAGCTGTGTGAATGTTGATAGCCCAGAGATGGAAGGAAGACAAAGTCCCTACCATAGCAGAATGGCAAATCAAGTTGATGGGCTATGCCAAAATGGCAACAATGACTGGAAAGATCAGAAACAAGGAAGATCAAAACTTTAACAAGGAATGGGGGGGGGGGATTATAACATACCTTGGAGACCACTGTAAACAGTTAAAGTAGTTAGCGGGATTGTAATAACACTTGTAATGTAACAAGAACTATGGATATAATGGTGCTACAAAAATCTGGATGAATATAAAAGATGCAGCAGAAAGGGTTTGACAATGGGACCCACGGAGAGGAAGGTGGGAAGTCCAGAGAGATTCGTGGGAATCTTTAACTGTTGGAATGTGTTGTGATATGACTGTAATTTTTAATATGTGAAACCAAACTAATAAATAGGAAAAGAAAGAAAGATAACTGCCCCTCTTGGAACTGTTTCCATCAAGGCACACAACACGTTCTTTTGTCATTCAGCTTTGGTTGTAATAAATGTAGGCACCGTTAACAATGATTGTGGACACAGTGTGCATGTGCAAAAAAGGAGATGAGTTGGTGGGAGTGGACAGCAAGGAACCTGGGTGATAGGAGGTTGAACTAGGAGCCCGGCAGATCTGTCTGAGATTCACACCTTGGCTGTGGCAGTATGCTGTCCTATTCAGTGGTTGCTCTGTTTTGGCATGGCCGGGGGGGAAAGTTAAAGAGACAACCAGATAAAATGAAAATGGGACAGAAACGACAGACAGGCCCACAGCATCCCTGGAAACGGCACCAGTGGCAACCGATCAGGGATTGGGCTGGGAACAACATCCACCTAATGCGCTGATCGAACCAATGAGCTTGTGACAACAGGAACCATAGCATCCTGGGCTCTTTTAGAAGGAAGGGCAAGAGATTAATGTAATAAATGAAAGACAGCGGCAAATCTCAAGTTCTGGCTTTAGTAAAGGGAAGCTTTTATGAAATCCGGAAGTTCTTGTGTACAGTATAGCATTGTGCCCTCAGTAGGGTTCGCAGGACTTTCTCCCAATGCCTTTGACAGCAACTTGCTTCTGTTCATGTTCAACTTGTTAATTTCTGAAGCTCAAGCTGCTCATAAAGGCAGGGGAGCAATTTAGGCTGGGATGCTTTCTCTCAGCAGTTGCTAAGCCTAATGTAATGAAAAGTGGAGAGGAAGGGGAAATTATTACAGAAAATTCCAGCTCTAAGCTTGTCAATGTTGCATCACAGTACAATGTGCAAATTGGCATCAGACTCTTCTTTGGCCCCAGGTAATCAAAGTATATGAAAAAAGGTAAATCGGTCTGTAACTAAGCTTATAATCTTCTAAGGGCCAAACTAGATGTGACAGTGGAAATTTTATATTTATACTGCCCTTCCTACAAAATGATACCAGGCCAGTGCACATATATACAGATGCACAATCTTTAATAAAAACAATTGCAAACTGCTGCACAATAAAATATTAACATAAAGGCAGGGGTTTCTTCAGATATCCAGTCCCTGAGTTGTTTACAACTGTATAAGTCAACAAAAGCACCTTAAATTTGGCTCAGTAGCAAATCGGCATCCAATACAGTTCTTTAAAGGTTGGTGAGCTATCAAAAATTAAACTATTCTTCAAGAGTTACTAGCATCACATTTCTTAACTACAGTAATTCCACTTTTTTTGTAGTGATTGATTTGCCGAGATCCTGTTCCCATTCATGTTCAAAACTGCCTCTTGTATGATCATGGCATTGAAGTACGGTATACTTTCCATAGTAAGTATGAAAAGAAGACACACCCATCTATTTATTTCTAATATTCAAATCCCAACAAGATAAGATATAAAGGTTCCTAAATGTTGTTACTTACAGAGGAGACTAGCCAGTGGCCCAGGAGGGGCAAATGGGGAACTGCCCCTCCAAACTCAGCCTGGTCTCATCAGCCACCATCTGCTTGTCTTCCTACTTGCAACCAGCTCAGGGTGGTGGTGGCGGGCACCAACCTCCTTAGTCTCAACATCGCCTTGTGCAGGGAGGAGGATGGGGACAAAACGAAACAGTAATTTGTTGACTCTCCTCCAGGCGCCTGCTCTTGCTCCACCTATTGCTGGTCTCCCTGCCTTCTGCCCCAATGGGCACCAGCACTGGCTACTTTATGCAGCTGAAAGCCAACAAGTCTCAACAAAATGCAGCAAAGTCCAGCAAGGTCCAATAAGATTCAAAGCGGCCCAGCCAGGCCCACCAAAGTTCACCAAGGTCAAATAAATTCAGCAAGATCTAACAAGTTCAGTCCAAGAAGTCCAGCGCAGTCAACCAGTTCAGTAGGGTCCAGCAAGTTCAGCAAAGTCCAGTGTGTCCAGCAGGGTCCAACAAAAACCAATGGGCTTCCAAAAAAAAAACTCCTCCCAAAAAACAATACAGTGGTACCTCGGGTTAAGCACTTAATTTGTTCCGGAGGTCCGTACTTAACCTGAAACTGTTATTAACCTGAAGCACCACTTTAGCTAATGGGGCCTCCTGCTGCTGCTGCGCTGCCGGAGCACGATTTCTGTTCTCATCCTGAAGCAAAGTTCTTAACCTGAAGCACTATTTCTGGCTTAGCAGAGTCTGTAACCTGAAGCGTATGTAACCTGATGCGTATGTAACCCGAGGTACCACTGTATTGCAATCACAGCTTTAACATGAACTGTTATTTGACTTTAGTTAACATTTTATTGATACAAAAGCTGTACTCCTGGGACTTTTTGGACATATTGCTGAACTGTGGCTTAGCACTGCAGGAATGAGCTTGGTGTCTTTCCAGACTCAAACAGTCCCTTCTCTTCCTCTTGCGTTGCCAAGAAGAGGCTTGCAGAAGCGTTCTTTTCCATTTTTTGTTAACCATGCCTTCTCGCTTTGTCTGAAGAGGGGATCGTGATTTAATGCTACCTATGGCCAGCTTCAAACAGCCCACCTTCAAGCCATGGTTTGTGAAGCTGGCTTGCTTGTTAGCATAAAGCACCATCTTCATTTTGGATGAGACAGCCTCTGTAAAAAACATGTTGCACCGCAGGCTTATATATTAGCAAATGAACCGGGCTTGCTTTGTGAAATTTATTAACAGAGGAATAATTCTTTGTGAATATGATTCTCTTGGAAGCCTGCCTCTTGCCTTGTCTGAGTTCAATCTCCTAGAGCAAGATGGGTCTTTAGGGAAATAGAGGAATGGCCAGCTGCACAATCAAGCTGGGATGCTCTCCTCTGCAGAAGGTCGCTTACAAGAAGGACAGAAGCAAAAGGACAGCACAAAGCTCTGGACTCCTGTATTCATCTAGTTTTTAATTATTATACTTGACCTTTTTGCAGGACTAGAGCACATAGCATGGTAAGAAACCTTTCAGCTGTAATGCGAACACAAGTGAAATAAATATTATTGCTTCCCCAAGGGGGTCCTAGCCTCGTAAGGAGGACCGGACTCTTGTGGTGGCTCCGAACCGGTCGGGAAATAACAGAGATCAGGATTGGCGAAAAAGCAAAGTCTGATCTTTATTTTCAAAGAACAGAAGACTGTTGCAATAGGGTTCCCACTCGCGTAACAGAAGGACGGAGTGAGAACCTTGAACAAAGGAACTGCCTTTACTTAAATACCTTTTCATTTCCATACAGATCAATGATACAGAAAAATGACAGAAATGGCACGAATAGAAGATTAACATAAGGTAAGTGGGATGTTGTAAGATCTTGGGTGGTGTTAATGAAGATGTCGGCTTTGAGGTTGGGAACAAAAGGTGTTGAGTGGTTTTTCCCCTTCAGCGGATCTTGACTCACAGTTCTGTTTTTGCTTCATTTTCAGGAAGGAATTCCGGAGGTTTTGGGATGATCGGTATGCAGTTTAAATGGCTGGATATTTGGGAAACGGTTATCAGTCTTGGTGTGAAGTCCTGTTTCTGCATGTTTATCATTGCTGGTGTGAAGTTTCCGCTCTGCATACTTTTATTAAGTAAACTGATTTTATGTTGCATTTTGTGTGTATTCACGATGTCATTTGTAGACCCAGTAGGTGGCGCTGTGGTGCTTGAAGGTATTTTGACAGTTTGTGAACAGCAGAATATTGACAGACCAAGTATACAGCAATGGAAAGTCACGTAGAATATAAAATATTTTGGCTACATTCTTCCAGTTACATTTTTCTATTATAATTACATTTTCTAGTGTAAGAAAACACTTTTTTGAAAGATACAAAAGGTGATACATTTGATAAGAAAAACACTTTTTTGAAAGATACAAAAGGTGATACATTTGGTAGAGTCAACAGTTGCATTCCTCAGCTACATTATTTAGTCGTATTACAGCGATACAGAAGTAAAAGATACAAGTAAAAAGAGACATTCTTTTGTTAGCATAGAAATACGTAACACTGAGAGCTTCATTTATTAACTCCCCGCTCTGATCATGGCTTCTCATGACACAAGCAAACATGCAGAAGCTCAATTTCCAAATTGCATTTTAACAATAACAGTAACAAACAATGTTTCTTTCTTGAGAGTGTCATCAAATGCCTGGAAAATGCCCTCTCTAATTGTTCCCCCTACAGCAAATATAAAATGGAGAAAAATGAGTAAACAATCAACAACCATTACAGAGGGGTGTTCTCCTTCAATTGCTAACTCTTCTCCTCACCCCTAATATTTTTATTCTGATCATGTTACTTGTTTATCAATCAGGAACTATATTATCAAGCTGCCCCCCCCCCGAGTTTTGCTTAACCTCCTTAATTATGTAAAATCTCTCACCCTGTTGTTATCCCAGAGGTTCATTTTCAATGGCAGATATACTACCGTGTCTCCAAATTATTTCTAGCAGCTTCCATGTAAACAGCCAACAATCGACCTGACCAAGTTCACAAGATAAATCCATGGTGGATTTAAAATTTAATCCCAGTTTCCACCCCCTCTGCTCAGTAGACCATCAGGCCTGCCGTATCTGTTTCTAGTTCCTCAAATGGGTAAGGAACAAATTGAGTCATTAGTTGCTTTCATTCTTTCATTTTTCTTGTGAAAGAGCTGGGCAAAATTCCAGTGAATGTACTCCGGGATATGAGATCTGAAGCATTGCCGGACACTGAAGAGGGGACAGTGGCATAATTCCTACATAATAAGCCAAAGATCAATCTGTGCTGTGATTGTTTGGAACTGTTGTACATGGTACAGAGCAGCAGTCGGCAGACATCAGGCTTTTTGGATCTGTTTAGATCAAGTGTGGGGGACCTATGGCCCTCCAGGTATTGCTACACAAGGGTTGCCATATTCTGAAGAGCAAAAAAGAGGACCCAGAGCCCCCACCCCTGGGCTAAAGACTAGTGTTCAAGCACATGAGCTGCAGAGTCCCAGAGTTCAAATTCCAGCTAAAGGCCTCAGGTAGCAGGTGACGAGAAAGGCCCTTTCTCTGTTTGAACCTCTGGGACAGATAGCAAGCAGGGTGAGGGGCAAGAAAAGCTCAGGTGTTTATACCCAAGTCAGTATAAAACACCTTAAGATAGAGGGAGCCCAACTCCAGGTTTATCGCTTCGGCCTCTTGCACACGGCTGGGTTGTTGTTGTTTAGTCATTTAGTCGTGTCCGACTCTTCGTGACCCCATGGACCAGAGCACGCCAGGCACTCCTGTCTTCCACTGCCTCCCGCAGTTTGGTCAAACTCATGCTGGTAGCTTCGAGAACACTGTCCAACCATCTCGTCCTCTGTCGTCCCCTTCTCCTTGTGCCCTCCATCTTTCCCAGCATCAGGGTCTTTTCCAGGGAGTCTTCTCTTCTCATGAGGTGGCCAAAGGATTGGAGCCTCAGCTTCACGATCTGTCCTTCCAGTGAGCACTCAGGGCTGATTTCCTTAAGAATGGAGAGGTTTGATCTTCTTACAGTCCATGGGACTCTCAAGAGTCTCCTCTAGCACCACAATTCGAAAGCATCAATTCTTCGACGATCAGCTTTCACTTCCATACATCACTAACATGGCTGGGTGGGGAGCTGCAAAACATGAGCAGCAGTGAATTGGGGGGTGCAGGATAGGAGGAAGGGCCTCTGGCCCTCATCCCGGCTGGACCCTGTGAAAGGGGGAGGTGGGCAGGCAAGTCCTCTGCTGCCCTCTCTCGGCTCCCAATGGCCAGATGCACGCTTCGCTCTCACCCTGGGCCCACCACAAGAAAGGAAGATGTTCAAGTTTGCTCCTCCCTGCATAGCATCACGTCTCGCCTCACAAGGCTCCCTGAGCGGCTGAAAGGGAATTAACAAAGCAGAATCTTTTGACCCAGATGTGGAAGAAGCCAGAGGTGCTGGCCACTCCGCAAGTCACCGTAGGGATAGGAAAATCGCAAGAGTGGACATAGTCTGTTGATGCGGAGGAGAAGCAGGGGCGACTTTCTGTTTTCTTTCTGTTTAGTAGCACTGCCACCTACTAATGGTACCTACTAATGGTGCCAAATAAACAAAAAAACCTGGACATTTTGCCTAATTTAAAAAATCTGCCCGGACAGAAATCTTAACCTTGAAAAAGAGGACATGTCCGGGACAAACCAGACATATGGCAACCCTATCTAGACTCCTGTTGCCATCGTCATCCCTGACTGGGGCTTGATGGGGATGGAGTCCCAGAATATCTGCAGGGCCACAGAGTCATCATCCTTTGTTTTGATGCACCATGGGCTGTACAACTGAAGTGGCTTTGGCACTCGTGTGCAACAAACCACTTCAAAAAAACTTGGACATCTTGCAGTAAAGAAAATTCACCAGAAAGCGTGGGATAACATTTGCAGTATTGTATCATGGCCCCACAAATAAATGTCTCGTCAATGAACAGCTGATGTTGTATGACAACCCCACAAACAAAGCAGGATGAATGTTCTAGAAACAGGTCGCCTGGAATAGAAGTGTCCCTAGACAATAAGCAAGCGGGAGTGTTGCTGAGCACATCTGGAGCCTAGATGTTTGCTTTCAGGAACAGAAGAACTGAACTGAACTTTCACTAAAGATGGGGGGGTGGAGCTGGATTCAGTTTACATTGAAAGCTGAGCCTTCCGATCTGTACTTTGTGAAACAATATGCAAAGCAAAGCACTGCAAACCTTCCACATTTGCACTTCTCTGAAATTTGTGTAGCAGTTCTCTAGCCAAAAATATATGTACAAGGGAAGTAGTTCTGAAAACTTTCCCCTCACAGACCACTTGAAAATTGCAAGGGTCTTGACAGACCACTTACTGATTTGTCTGCCTGTTGAAGAAATTGTGCTGTGCTTGATGTGGTATGATTTTTATTTATATTTTTACAGACACACCACTAACAACCTCAACGAAGCTCGCAGGCCATGGACTGGAAACTCCTGCATTAGGATAAAGTATTTGTAAAATGCATGTATTAGTGAGAAGAGCATACAAAAATGTATTGTGTGAAGGGGAAATGCATCAAAAATGTGTATTTTAGTCAAAACTGCATATTAGGAGAAATTCATATTTAATTCTGATGATTTTTCATGAGATTTTTTTTATTTCTTTGCAAATTGTTGGAGAAATATGGAGAACTGAATGTAAGCTTGCAGAAATGAGAAACTGATAGAATTCAAAAGTTTGATTTGTTTATTCCCCAGCTTTCACACAAAAGTCCATTTCTGGTTAACTTCCTTCGATTTCTGCTAGCAAATTTATATGGATGAGAAAAGTCATTTTGATGGGCATTTGGGAGCCAGAAACCTGTGACCGTCTACTATGAATCAATCAGAGATCTCTAGATCCTGATGTAATTTCTGCCCACCCCGCCCAAATGTAGGTGTGTAAAGGAAGTGGACGTACAGGGATGCGGGTGGCGCTGTGGGTTAAACCACAGAGCCTAGGACTTGCCGATCAGAAGGTTGGAGTTCAAATCCCCGCGACAGGGTGAGCTCCCGTTGTTCGGTCCCAGCTCCTGCCCATCTAGCAGTTTGAAAGCACACCAGTGCAAGTAGATAAATAGGTACCACTCCGGCGGGAAGGTAAATGGCGTTTCCGTGCGCTGCTCTGGTTCACCAGAAGCGGCTTAATCATGCTGGCCACATGACCCGGAAGCTGTACGCCGACTCCCTTGGCCAATAAAGCGAGATGAGCACCGCAACCCCAGAGTCGGTCACGACTGGACCTAATGGTCAGAGGTCCCTTTACCTTTACCTAAAGGAAGTGGAGTGGAAATCAGGGTGCAGGTATCCCCACAAAGGTTTAAAAGCCTTACAGTGACTTCAGTTGAAGGTGCCGATAAAAACCCAGCCCATGGCATGTGAGAAAACTCAGCTAAAACCTCACACTCCCCTCTCTCCATCCACACCTGCATAGACACCCAATCCCGTTCCCGGGTCATCAAAGGGGCCTCTAGAATGCCAGCATTTTGCTGGAGGAATTCATGCGCAGGCTGGGAAACTTAAACACGGGCAATTAAAGTGGATTAAAGTACTCTGTTGCATAACTCATCAATTTTTAAAAGAATGGCGTTGGAAAAGTGAGATGAACAAATGATTAACAGCAATTTGTATATAAGTACCCCACAAGCAAATCTGCATGAATGCTCACCCAGCAGACAAATCAGACCAAATACTAAATGAAGACTATAATCTAACCTCTGCAAAAGCTTTGCACCAGAAAAATCAGGAGGGTTTTGAGGTCATCTGGAGGAACCCAAAACAATTTCAGGAAGTGAGATTGAGAGAGAAGGGGGAAAACTAAAAAATAAACTGTGAGTCAGGGAAGAAAAGTAAAACTGACCAGCAGCTGCTGACAGCAGATGTAGAAAGGAAGCAGGCTGGCCACTTAAAAGCAGGTGCTATACTTGCTTTTCCTGCATTGCCAGATGACAAATCTTGAATCTGACATGGAAGGTTTAGACCATAAGCTATCCCAGCGCTCTGAGCTGGTGGAGGTAGGTGGAATCCCTTTGCTCAGTGGTGCCGCAGAAAGATGGGGTCGCATATCAACCTTTAAAGCCCGGGGGGACGACCTTCTCATTTGCACATACCCCAAAGCAGGTAAATCGAATAAAAGAGAGATGTGGGGCATTAGCACAGAGGGCGGGGGCAGGAATGGTGCTGGGAAGTCGAGGGCTATTGGCTGAATGATGAGGTCTTCTCAGGTCTTCTCTCAACACCTCCTGCCAGGGACCACTTGGACGCAGGAAATTGTAGACCTGATCCAGCATGGAGGGGACCCTCAGAAATGTGCTCAAGTCCCCATCTACAAACGGATGCCCTTCCTAGAGATGCACAGTCCCTTGTTCTCACGTGAGTAGGAAAGGGAACTGCTTATGGGAGGTGATGGCTGAGGGTGGGGTGAAGGGTTTATCTCAGCTCTGAATGTTTTTCTTTGGTATCTCAGGCTTGGAAGAGGCAGAGCTAATGCCCTCTCCACGTACACTTAAGTCTCACCTCCCGGTCCAGCTCCTGCCGCCCTCCTTTTGGGAACAGAATTGCAAGGTCATTACAGGGGGACAACTGGAGGGAGGTTGCTTAGGGGTTAATCTGAGCCGCGGATCAACACTGCTTGTTCTCTATTGCATTTTTAATTTTGTGGGTAACATTTATTGTATTAAGGTTCTTATTGCTGTGAATCGTTTTGGGAGCCCTTTGAGGCTGAAGGACAATACTGACATGTTTTTTAAATATATAAATGAGCAAGATCATCACAAACAAACAACCACACCATAGGCCAACCCCAACCTCTCTCACCACCAAAGAAACACAAATGAACAGCAGAGAACCTGCACGAGCAATGCTGACACAAAACCCTACATACATTAAGCAAAATAGAAACATCACCACCCGACCCCCACCCCACCCCACCCATCTTCCCCCCCTAATGTCTCAACAAATGAAACTGATTTGTAAAAATGTTACATGGGAAAAATACGAGAGACATTACACATACTTCTGTAAAACAAGAAAATCTTTTATTTATATATATATATATGAGCAAAAACAGCATGCATGGAGCTGAGACTCCTGGGCTCACTCTTCTTTGTGATCTATTTCTGAAGATCATTTATGTGGCCAGGAATGCCAAGGATAACGCAATCTCCTACTTCCACTTCCAACGTATGAACGGGAGGATGCCAGACCCGGGAACATGGGACGAGTATCTGGAGAAGTTCATTGCGGGGAAACGTGAGTAGAGGCAAAAGATGGGATAGAGGAGATGGCACTGGCCCCGGACAGAGTAGTGGGGCCCACCCCAAACGCTCAAGCTCTGTACCTATGAGAGAAGAGTGGAGCCTATTGACTGTTGATCTCCAGGTTCAAGCAACAGTCTCGGCAGTATGAGGGTACTTACACAAGGCCACCTGGTTTGAGCAGGCAGAGCAAGACAAATGGATGCTCTGTGGATGTGATGGTCAGCTCCATGTGGCACTCATTGTTTCGGCACCAATCAACCCGAGATTGAACTTTAAACAGAAGCTGTGCCTCTAACTGAGTAGCTAGCACTGTCTTTAGTGAGAGGACCCCTCCCATTTAAAGGCGGCCAGGCTGCTTTGACAGAAATCTAAAGGAGCTGGAGAGGCTGCAGTTCCACTAGGGTTTGTGAGGTGGGGTAGAGTCCAACTACAGTAACAACATCCTCTCTCTTCAGACCAGAGAGGCACAACAGAGCCGGTTAGCAAGTCTTGGAGAAAAGTAAATAGATTTACTTTTCATTTGCATTAACTAAACATTTACATTAACTATAAATACTTCTAGTTAATGCATGTGTTACTTTACACCACACAAGGACCCTTTTTTTTCTAACAATCTAGCCTGTCTCAGCTGAGCAAGGCCCACTAGCATGTGTGGCAAGGCAAGACCAAGTTCAGACAGGATGCAAGGGATTGTAGGGCTCAGGCTGGCTGTGAAGCAAAGGTGTGGCAGGGTTCAAGGTAGAGACACAGTGGGGCTGTGGTCTGGGGAGCACAGAAATCTGAAGTAGCTCCAGCAAAGAACAAGGGGACACTGAGCCCTTATACAGTAGTAGCTGCAGGAAGTGTGCCCTAATTGTTAGCACCACCTTGGCAACAAGATATTGCTCTTTGTGAACCTGCAAAGGGGTTGTTGAGTTGTTGTTTTGTTTGCCTTTGAATTCTGATGAAAATGAGCTTAATAATCATAACTGATTCTCTACCTCTTTACCTCTCTTTGCAGTTCCCTGGGGCTCTTGGTTTGACCACGTTTGTGGCTGGTGGAAAGCTAAGGATTCTCACCCAATTCTCTATCTTTTTTATGAAGACATGAAAGAGGTGAGCAGTTTACATATGCACTCCTTCCTTTCAGTAATTTCAACCAGGAAGGAATTTATCCGCGATAAATGTTCTAAGCAACCACCTGCATTCAGTGAGCTTCTGAAAATCAGTGTCCCAAACAAGTGATAAACACAGTGAGGTTTGTTATGGCAGCTTTCCGGGCAGAATCCTCTCCATCTTTCCCTTCCTAGCACCCAGCCTTAGCAATTCGGAAAATAGCTCAGTTCCTGGACCAAGAGCTTTCTGAGCCAGCTTTGAACCGGATCATGCAGCACACAGAGTTCAACAGCATGAAAGTGAATCCCATGGCTAATTACAGCACAATGCCAACTTACAACCACGCTTTGTCACCCTTCATGCGAAAAGGTAGGAGTGAAAAGGACATTTTCCAGCCACAAGTGATATGGGAGGAGAGCTATGTACAGATCATACATTTAAAGCACATCTCCACTTCCCCAAAACACTGGGAACTGTAGTTTGGAAAGGGTGCTGGGAGTTGGAGCTCTGTAAGGGGTAAACTACGGTTCTCAGGATTCTTGGGGGAAAGCCTTGGCTGTTATCATACCTTTAAAGTATGTTGTGTAGTAGCAGAAGGGAAACAGCATGCATTGAAGGGGGTGTTTTCTAAGCTGTTTCCCTTGCCTGCAGGCACCGTAGGAGACTGGAAAGACTACTTCACAGTGGCTCAAAGTGAACGGCTTGATGACCTGTGTGCCCAATTATTAAGGAGCAGTGGCCTTACCTTCCGCACTCAGCTATAAGCACCCCTCTGTGCTCATCAATCCCATGCCTGGAGCTTGGGCCTGCACTAAACAAAATAGACCATGTGCAGGTTGTGCATATTTGTTTTGAAATTTACCTTTTTTTAAAAAATCAATGATTTGTGAAATAAAATGATTGTGTTTGCTCTTTATTAATTCCACACTGAGAGTGAATAAAATAACTAGTCTTGCATTATTATTTGTGTTCCACCTTCTTTCCAATTAACCCAGGGGACAGATTTAGGGTTTAACCATTTTAACTTTGCAACAACTCTATCCTAAGCCCTGAAGCAGGCTATAGTACTGAAGAGAGTGGAAAGAGAGGTTTAATATAAGTTTTGTTTATAGAAAGTGGCTTTGTGGGGTGTTATATTGGATTAGATGAAGTGAGTATTGCTTTTATATAGTGGATAGATGAAGAACTGGAAGTTCTTTATTTTCTGAATCATATTTTTTTATATATATATAATTTTTATTAAAATTTTTCATTATATCAATTCCAACATCAAACAAATTTTCACAAATTTCAGTTTTTGGACTTCCATCAGCTTCTCTGTCAAACATCCATATTTTCCCATTTTTACACATTTTCTAAGTTTAATATTGCATTTTAATATTACTTTTTCAATCCTCTTTCTGTTTAACAAATATTCCTCTACCTTTCACAAAGCCTCTCTAAATCCCACTAGCGTTGTTTGTTCATCACATGTACTTTTCAGATATTCAGTAAATTTTTCCCAGTCCTTGATGAACTTGTGTTCCCGTTGATATCTAATCTTCCCAGTTAGTTTGTCCAATTCAGCATAGTCCATAAGTTTCATTCTCCATTCTTCAAGTGTCGGTATTTCTTCCTGTTTCCATTTTTGGGCCATTAATATTCTTGCTGCTGTTACTGCGTATTGAAAGAGTTTATTGTCCCTTCTATTTATTTCACTTCCTATTATTCCTAACAGAAATGCTTCTGGTTTTTACAAATGTATATTTCAACATTTTCTTCAATTCATTATATATCATTTCCCAGAAACATTTCACTTTCTTACACTCCCACCGCATATGAAAAAGGTTCCTTCTTTTTCTTTACATTTCCAACACTTATTACATGTCTTATACATTTTTGCTAGTTTAACCGGTGTGATATACCATCTATATACCATTTTCATAATGTTCTCTTTTAACACAGTACATGCTGTAAATTTTATATTTACATTCCATACTTTTTCCCACTCATTCAATTGTATATTGTATCCAAAATCTTTGGCCCAATGTATCATCACCGACTTTACTTCTTCATCCATCGTTTGCCATTCTAACAACATTTTATACATTTTTGACAATATCTTATAATCACTGTTAATTATCTCTGTTTGAAATTTCGATTCTTTTTCTGCATATCCACTCTCTTTACAATCCTTTTTAAACATTTCATTTACCTGAAAATAATGCAACCAATCAAACACAAATTCTTTTACTTGTTCGTATGGCTTCATTTTCCACTTTCCTCCTTCTTTAATTATTAATTCTCCATATGTAATCCAGTTTCCTCTCATATTGATTTTCTTTACGCTCATAACCTCTAATGGGGACAACCAGTGTGGAACTTTAGGTTCTAATATATTTTTATACCTATCCCATATTTCTATTAAGGATCTCCGGAAAATATGATTCTCAAAACCCTTGTGGCTTTTCTTCTTCTCCAACCATAGATACGCGTGCCATCCAAATCTGTTATCAAATCCTTCTAAATCTAAAAGTTTGTTATTTTTTAATTTTATCCATGCTTTTAACCAACAGAGACAGGACGCTTCATAATATAATTTCAAGTCTGGCAGGGCAAAGCCTCCTCTTTCTTTCGCATCTGTTAGTAACTTAAATTGTATTCTTGGCTTTTTACCCTGCCAAATATATCCTGCCAAATATATCTTATTTTCTGAATCATATTTTTCTATCTTTCGCTTTTATCCTCTTTTCTGTACTGTTGATTCTTTTTTTCCTTTTCTTACTCTATTTTTCTCCTTCTTTTTATGTTTTATTGTATCTACATATTTAAAAGACTTGTTTTGGTTAAAAAAGGGAAAAGATAGTATGTTTTGTAATTTTCTCCATAAACCTTAAAAAAATGTTGAGAGACAGAAAGAAACGTTTAAGGCCTGAAGCCAGCAGATCTTTGCCTTCTGACCTGGATGTGCTAGGCAGTGATACTGCTGGTTTGGAGCGCCATTAAAAGTACTGAGACCAAGGTGTCCTGAACTATTCCCTGTTCATCACCTCACTAGCCACCCTAGTTAGGATCTCCCCCTTGGTTAGGATTTGCCCCAAAGAGAAAAGCAGAGGAACAGGCTTTCCCTTACTGGAGAGAGGGGCAAAGGTCGTGTTCACTCCCTGCCACCATGACCCATTGATCTTTCAGACTGTACTCTTATTTTAAGTGTGTTTGGAACAGGCTTGTGCTTGATGGCAGGAATTTGCTGTCATGTTGGAAGATGTGGTTTCCACACTGTTCTGTGCTTTGTGTAAGAGAGGGTGCAAGAGAGCTACAGTTGACTGGTCATGATGTACAGGGCACAAGCATTTAGAAGGATAGGAATATGCAGGAGGAGGAGACCATTTTCAGGTAATCTGGTCTTGAGAACTAGTGTGGTGGAGTGGCGAGTGTGTTGGATTAGGACCTGGGAGATCAGTTTTCAAATCCCCACTCGCCCATTCAGTGTTTACGAACAATACCTTTACATTTTTATTTATTTCTTAAGGAGCTCAAGTTGTTCAAAAACATGCCTTTGCATTAAGGACTCACCCCAACTCCTCAATAATTGTGATCCTATGTATTCTTGACTCAGGAGTAAGTCTTAGTGGACATATTTCTAAGGAGACATGCAGAGGAGCAGACTGCACATTTCCTAATAGACACTGTGCTAGAAGCATAACCAGGTGAAGAAAGGACAGTGATCCTCTCTAATGAGAAGCTACACCTGCCAATACTCTCTCTTTCTTCTTATATGGACAGTCTACTCAAGGTCCCTCAGCCCTACTGAGCTCTTCCTGGGTGCCTCCATTCTTGGTTGCCATGGAGGCTGCTAGAGAGGAAGACAGGGAGCCCAGCAGCAGGTGGAGCCAAAGACAGGCAGAGCCAACTAAATATGGTTTTGTCCCGATTCTGGTACTTGCCATACGGAGAAGGAAGCCAACAGCCAATGCCCGGACTGAGTGTTAAGGGAGGGGGGGGATCCACATCACGCACCCAATACACATCACCCTGGGGGGTGCTGCCGCATTCCCTTCAAAGAGCCACAGTTTTCAGCACCCTCAGCGAACTACAGTCCCCAGGGCTCCTTATGGAAAACCATCAGGGGCTTGAAATGTATGGTTTCTGGCATAGCTCAGTCGGTATAGAACGAGACTCTTAATCGCAGGGTCGTGGGTTTGAGCCCCACGTTGAGCAAAAAGATGCCCTGCACTGTTGCTGAGGGCTGGACTAGATGACTCTCGGAGTCCCTTCCGACTCTACCAGCTGCTGCCCCTTCGCCCTGATGGCGCAGGGCTCCATTCATGCCCCAGACGACCCCTCGGTGAAGAAAAGGCTGCTGCATCTATAGCAGCTGCAGAGGAATTTCACTCGTGTCTTTTGAGTCCACTTCCACGCGGGACACATTAAAACCTTCCTTAATAAAACAGCGCAACACCCAAATTCTTCCCCTGCCACAAGTCACACATGCGCGCCGCTCTCTCTCGTGCGGCCATGGCACACTCTCGAGCAGTTGCAAAAGGAGACAGGGGCCCTTCCATCTTTTCGGACTCGTTGTCTGGTTGCTATGGCCACCGCCCTTTAGCGAGGCCCTAAAGCCGCCATGTTTGTTGGGGGCAAACTACTCGAGCCTCATTTAATGTTGCACACACGCAATGAAAGACTGCCTGGTCCAGACTGCGACGTTAATAACCCCACTTTTTATGTCATTCCGGGGAGCGCCTGAAAGGCAAAACACACGAAAGCTATTTCAGAAGCTATTCCCCAAAGTAGAAATAGAACAAAGCAGCACCTCTCCAAGCCCCGGCCATAGAAACAGCAGCTATGGAAATTGGCCTGCCTCCCCCCCCCCCCCGCATCAAAGCGCCGGGGCGCGCGTGGGAGGGAAGAGAACGGGAAAACGTTATATTAAAACATCAATGTCAGGCGCTGGGCTTGAGAGGCGGAACGAACGTTTGCGGGTTGTGTTGCTGGCCGGAGGGGGAAGAAAGGGACCCCACAAGAAGAAAGGAGGCGGCGTTAGCAAGTTGGAGCGGGAGGAAGATGGCGGGGCTCTCCGTGCGGGATCCCGCGGTGGACCGGTCCCTGCGCTCCGTTTTCGGTGAGGGCGGAGCGGGCGCGGGAAGAGCACCCCGCTCAACCCCCACTTTGGGAAAGGCGGGGGAAAGTAGGTGGGGGGAGGAAAGGGTAGGGGGGAGAGAGAGAGAAGGCGGAAAGGGGGCGGGGGAAGGGGAAGGAAAGGTAGAAGTGGAGGAAGGAAGGAAGGGAGGGATGGGAGAGGGAGGGAAGGGAGATTAGGAGGTGTAGGGAGGAAGTTTGGGGTGGGAAGAGCAGTGGCTGCTCTGGCTGTTTCCCACCTCCCCTTTACCTCCGACTCCATGGAGAAACTCCGTGCACAGCGCTGTTCTGTCAACTCTAGTCCAGCTTTGCCAGAGTTGGTGCCTTTCAAACATTTTGGGCATTAGCTCCCAATACAAATCCTAGGCATTATAAGGGAAACTGTGTTTGCCTCATAGCACATAGTTTTGCCAAAGTTGTGCTGCCTGAAAAGACTACCCAACCTGCCATTTCAAGCTGTGCATTGCAGTGGGAGATCAGTAGTCATGGGCAATCTTTCTTCCAAGGATGCTTCCAAAGACTCTCTTAAGTTTCCCTTGTACACTGCTATTGAAAGAAACAGTAGAACTAAGTTCCTTGTTGTTGATTATCATTCCCTCACGTATGCTGTTCTCCATGTGCTTAGTAAATATTGTAAAGTATGTGTTGGGATGGCCTACCGTTTGCTTGCTATGTCATTGCCTTCAAATGCATACATATTCTAACACCTCTTGCCTAAAATTGAGAGTAAACTTTGTAAAAGCTGGGCAGTAACACGAGATGATCTAGTGCTCAGGGCCTAATTTGGGTTTCTTACTCTTTGCTGGAGGATTGGTTCTAAATAAAATACTTCAAAACTCTGCTTAATCAGTGCCTTCAGTAATTGAGACCGGGAAACAAATAACCAACACTAAAACCATTTTCCATTTCCAAATTCCTGATGGAAGATGTATGCCTTGACCTATGTTTGTAAAGATGTCCCACTTATTCCAGTAATGCTGCTGGTGCTCACAATCTGCTCCAATCTCTCCAATAGTGGGGAACATCCCATATGAAGCCACGGAAGAGCAGTTAAAGGACATTTTCTCAGAGGTTGGGCCTGTCGTCAGTTTCCGGTGAGACATATGCCTGTTAGGATTTCCTGAATCAGAGAAGCTGAGTCTGAAGGGCTGAGAAAGCTGGATGAGGATGTGGCATGGGTGGTGGTGGTGGTAGATACTAGGGGATCTTAAGTCAGGGGTGGGGAATCTTGGCTGAGAAATTTAACTGAGAAGTATTAAGCACTTTGTATGCAGAAGGTCCCACCTTCAGTCTCTTGCACTTCTCAGTCCAACCTGCCTCACATAGTTGTTGTGAAGATAAAATGGGTGGGGTATCTATGTATACCAACTTGAACTGCTTGAAAGAAAGGTGGAATATAAATATTACAAACCTCCAATAAAATGTTAAGGTAGCACAGGGATGAGGAATCTGTGGTGCTCCAGAAGTCATTGGACTCGTATCTCCCATTTGCCATAATCCCAGTGGTCAGAGATGATGAACGTTGCAGTCCAAGAACATCCAGAGGGCAACAGGTTCCTTATCCTTGAGATATCATATGCGGGGGAAAGCTTTTGTCTCTTTGAGACCCTGGAGAGATGCTGCCAGTAAATAATACTGAACTGGATAGACAAATAAACTAACCTGACTTAAGGTAGCTTCCTATATAATAGCACAGTATATAGCCAGTTAGCCTCTGATCCCCAGTTTTCACGAAACCCTTTCCCTTCCCTCTCTTGCCTTTCTGCTCATTACAGTTTGTTTTCTGTGCTTGTTGGCTAGATTGGTGTATGACCGAGAGACGGGCAAACCAAAAGGTTATGGCTTTTGTGAATATCAAGACCAGGAGACGGCACTCAGTGCCATGCGGAATCTGAATGGACGTGAGTTCAGTGGGAGAGCCCTGCGTGTGGACAACGCAGCCAGCGAGAAGAACAAAGAGGAGCTGAAGAGTGAGTCTGAAGGCCTTGTGGAAGGTGGGGGGAGGCAGCAGCTGCCATGTGCTGCCAGTCAAGGTGTGCATGACAAGGTGAAGATCTCTGGTTCTAACCCAATCTTTTCTACTAGGCCTGGGCACTGGGGCCCCCATCATTGAGTCACCCTACGGAGACCCTGTGAACCCTGAAGATGCTCCCGAGTCCATCAGCAGGGCTGTTGCCAGCCTCCCACCAGAGCAGATGTTTGAACTGATGAAGCAGATGAAGGTCAGTGAACAGTATGGCAGAGAGCAGTCAAGCCAAGTGCTGAACAGCTCACCTGGTAGCAGACGTAAGTGGCTAGGAAGTCCATGTAGGCTAGTCTTTCCTCTCCAGTCCACACCCATTTCTCACTCTAGCTGCAAAGAGAATAAAGCTTATTTCACCACGACTAGCACAGAAGCCAAAACAGTCTTACATAGGCATGGTGCAGCACTCAATATCGCCTCCAAACTTCTGCTTGATAAAAAAAATGCTTGGTTGGTTTTAACTGCGCTGCTGAGAGGCTCAGCCATAGCGTGCATTTTCATACTGGTTGCAGAGGAGAAGGCTTCCCTGTGGCTACCAGAGATCTGAAATAGTTTTCCATATCTTGTCTTTGGAGTTTATTTGTGTGTTTCTAATTGTGAACTGCCCTGAAATCTTTTGATGAAGAGCAGTTTATTATTATTATTATTATTATTATTAGCCTGGACGGGGAGAAATGCTCTACCCCCCTCCCCCCCAGTATTGCTGAACTACAGCTCTCCATCATCCCTGCCCATTGGCTGTGCTTGCTAGGGCTGATGGGAGTTGCAGTTTAGCCACATTGGGAGGGCCAAAGGTTCTCCACACCTGCTTTAAAAGCTGGGGGGTTTCAATCCAGCTGCCCTGTGTGCTTTCCCATCCTCTCTCTTTCTCTCTTCAGCTCTGTGTCCAGAACAGTCCTCAGGAGGCTCGGAGCATGCTGCTGCAGAACCCTCAGCTCGCCTATGCCCTGCTGCAGGCCCAGGTGGTGATGCGGATCGTGGATCCGGAGATCGCTCTGGTATGCTTGCGACATCTCCTGCCTTGGGGAAGCAGGGGGGTGGGGTGGGGATGTTGCCCCCGAGGTGGGGCCATGTGTTTCTGTAACATAAAATGGCTTTACTCTGCCATTTCCCTTCCTAGAAAATCTTGCATCGGCAGACGACCGTCCCAGCTCTGATTCCAAGCGGCCTGCAAGCGGGTCCAGGACAAGGGCCTGGGCCTGGGCCTGGGCAAGGTCCCGGGCCTGGACCTGGGCCCGGACCAGGGCCTGGTCCTGGTCCTGGTCCTGGTCCTGGTCCAAATGCACAGATGAACCAGCCAAACGTCCCCTCCTCCCAGCCACAACCAATAGTAAGAGTTTGTTGCTTTAAGTAGAATCTTATCCCTTGCTCTGTGGGCTGAGTCTTATTTCCCAGTTGTAAATGATACACTAGTTGTCTATGTCACAATCTGTTGATGTCCTTTCCTATTTGTTGTTTTTATGATGGTTTTAGCTAAACCTTTGTTGAACATGAATATATCTGTTATAAATAATTTGATAAATTTCATAGAGTTTTTATTAGTCCTTTATTAGTAGCTATATTGGTTGTATTAGCATTTAAATGGGTTAATAAAGTAGGGACAAACTTAGGACCAGAAATCAATTGCCCACCTCAGTGAGAATAAGGCCTCACAATCTGTTTTCATTCCCTCTTTCCAAGCAGGGGGGTATGCATGTCAATGGAGCCCCCCCTATGATGCAGCCACCCATGCAGGGAGGAGTGCCAGCCCCAGGGCAAATGCCAAGCTCTGGCCCCGGCCCCTTGGCTCCTGGAGGTGAGTTCTTCTCTGTGGGTGTGGGTGGGTGTCTTTCCCAACATCTGTAATTGCTTTGGCAGTCATAATTTTTGACTCAGGGTCTCTGGGTTCCAGAGATGAGGAGATACAGGAAACCTCAGGGCAGGAAAGGGCTGAATTTGGCCACACATGGCGAGAAGTGGAATCAAGGATGGCAACATTGGAAGACTATAATCCTGTTCACACATAACTCTGGGTCAGCACCAGTGAATGTCGAACATCTTAAGAAACATGCATAGGATTAAGTGGTTTAGCCAGGATGAAAATTGAGATAATTGGTGTTGATAATATTTAGTGATCTGATGTGGATGATAGCAATACAATTTGTTTATTTTCATTTTCTAACATTTAAAAAACCCCTTCTTTCTTGGTTTTATTTTATTTATCTTTGTCTTTTGCGTGCCTTGCTGGGCTTTCACTTTGCTGTTTTAAATCAGCTTTTTATTTAACAACTCATCTGACAACGCAGGCATTCAAGAATTCCATGCAAGGGTGCAAGAGAGCCAGAGGAGGAGGGATGGGTTGCTCACATCCTCCCTCCTGCAGCCCACTTCTGTGCTAGGTAAGGGAGAAGGAAAGCCTCTTTCTCAATGGAAAATGCTGGAGGAAGAGGTATGGTAGAATGCTTTTTTCCTTCTCTTTTTTTCAGTAGCCTTCTAGGAAGATGAGGCTTTCCTTCTTTCCACATCCAGCATGGAAACACAGGCTTCTGGTCTGATAGTGGACTAGTAAACATAAATAAATTGCAGGGTACTTGTTGGCTTGTTTACAAGACTGGTTTTGAATCCCTGAGTCTCCCAGCACACCCTCATAATCAACCCAGTGCCTCCTTTGCTTAACACGGCTCTTTTTCTCCCCAGGTGGCATGCCAGGAGGTGGCCCGATGCTCTTGGAACGTGGTCAAGGTAAAGCATATGGCTGCCTTCTGTCACTTAGCCAGCAGAGGGCGTCACTTCTTGAAATGCTTCCCACTCCCTCCTTTTTCTTTCATACAAAGTTAATGGGCTTGCTTTGTTCTGGTGGTGGAGGCCAAGGGGTTTGTGTGTGTGTGTAGATGTTGCTGCATGTTTGTTATTCCACCTGGTTGCACTGAAATGTACCTCTGGTTCTGCAGCAAGTAACAAAACATCCTTTTGGAATTGCCTTTTTGAGCCAGCCTGCAAATCCCATTTTAGCCCTGAGGCTCCAACCTCCAGGTGCTCCCAGAAGCTCATGGAGCTGATGGACATAAAGAAACAAGTCTATTTTTTGCATTTATTTATTCGTTTTTCCTGTCAGGTCCCAGGAGCAAGTTGTAGTATTATTCTCAGTAATAACTGGTTGAGAAGGGGAGACCAATAGCCCAGCTCTGAGTTCAGTAGAGCTTATTCTCAATAAGCCATGCAAAGGATGGCATCTTTAGTGAGCTTTGTTGCTAAGTGGGGGGATGGGGTTTGTACCTGTGTTTCTCATGCTCAAAGAGTCCCCATTCGTATTTGTTATATAGCCTTTTTTTGGCCTGATTCACAAACAATGCTAAGCCATAGTTTACTGTGTGTGTTGTGTGTGAACCCTGTCCAGAAGCTGAGTGATAGTTTCTTTACTGTCAGCAAACCACTATCTGGAGCTATGGTTTGTTTTAAACTATGACTTGGTGTTATGTATGAACCCAGCATGCTTCCTCTTGGGTGGCTGATGCAGATCACCACCAAAAAGGAGGTCCAGATAAACACTGAAGGATCAATGGATGCTCCGAGTCAGGGGAGAGAATGGGACAATTTCTTTTATGTGCTGCTCCTAAGATGGCTTGGCTACAACCAAGAGTCTTCTTACTGTTTGCAGCTATGTGGCCCCTAATGTCAGTAGCACTGAGAACTATATCAAACTTTTACGTATAGTTATTCCGAGTCCAAAGATCAACATAAAATGACCAGGGGGGAAATGCACAAAAGTCTACTTTTCAATTGGAATAAAAAGCTACCGTGCATGAAGACTTTCAAGAAACAGAGCATTACGTTGGCTGCTGTAATCAGGAAAACATCTACAACAATACTTTAAAACTTGCAAAAGTTTAAATACTAAAACAGATTAAAATTGCCTCAACTTTCTTAGTCATCTGGATAGGCTTGTCTAAACAAGAACGTTTTAGCAGGCGCGGGAAAGAAGACAGTGAAGGCCTATTGGCTTGACATCAATAGGCAGGGAATTCCAAAGTGTAGGCACAGCCACACTATGGAATCATATTCTGAGGGAGTGGTCCCTCCTTTCATTTAAAGGGAAGTGTCTCCAGAGCTGTGCCAGAAGAAGAGGAAGGGGCACTCTAGGCAGGTGTGCGTCTATGCACACGCAGATGCAGCAAGTGCACCTCCTGTTGATGTGTCTGCTCTTTCTCCCTCTCTTCCTGCTGCCGGGCCAGGGAACCTGCAGCTCTCTCCCGTGGGACCTGCCAGGCCTTCCTCTATTGAGCGAGTACAAGGTATCTGTAGTTGCGGTTGGCTCCCCTTGCTCATTGCATGCCCTGGGGGGGAGTATGCAAGACAAGGCCTCTGCTTACTTTGGGGGTGTAGGCCACGTGGCTCAGAGAGTGGTGTGGGACATGCTGTTGTGGGGAGAGGGAGAAATGCCGTCTTTGTGCAAGGAGGCTCCCTGTTGCAGGTTCGTTTGATCACCTGGCCTCCTGTTGTTAACAAAGACTTGGGGTTGCAACACAAGTGTTGAGTATATGGCAGCCAATTCAAAGCCTGGAGCTTTTGAAATTAACCCATCTCTCTGCAACTGCATCTGCACATACCTGCCCTCTGTGAAGCCTGACTTTCCCCCTCTTCCGTCTCAAGTGAAGCTGACGCTCACAAAGTGGAATCACGCTTCTCTCCCATGATTTTAATTCCCCCTGCCATCTGCCTTCCCAACAGTGCCTATGCCGGATCCACGGGCCCCCATGCAGCGTGGGCCAATGCCAGCTAGTGGTCCACCACCCCGAGGCCTTCTGGGAGACGCCCCAAATGATCCACGTGGGGGAACTCTGCTGTCAGTCACTGGAGAAGTGGAACCCAGGTAGGCAGAAGGGCCTGGAACTTCTATTATTATGTTTTTATTGACTTACGAAAATTATACAGACAGCAAAATAAAGAAGCCTAAATTAACATTGCCTTCTACCGATAAGAAATAATAATTATTACAATAATGAAAATACTGAAAATACATTTACTTCCCCTTTTGAACTTCTATTCTGGGTACAATATATTACTATTCTATAAGAATCTATTATATCCTTTGCTGTCCCATATATTATTTTATTTCCCAAATTCAACCTAACCTTCCCCTCCTCCCCACTGCTTCCCTTCACCTGTGTGAGAACTTCCCATCATAATATTTTTTTTCTAGTTGCTTTAATAAAATAGAATAACATGAAAACTGTTAAATTATAATTACTGGCTGGAACTCTTCTTTTTTTGTGCAGAATGTTGTTTTGTTGCAGTGCATTTTTTCTTCTTGTCATGCAGTAACATTTGAGCCTCCTACTTGCCTCTTGGAAGGGGGTGAAGTCCAGGCAGAGATTGTCTCACCTTGTTTGCTGTGTGAGAAGAATGGAAACTGGGTTTTGATGTCTTTTCTCCTCCTCCACCCCCCTCCCTCCCCATCCTCTTCTGCAGGGGTTACCTGGGGCCATCGCACCAGGGGCCTCCTCACCAGGGCCCCCCCATGCACCACATGGCTGGTCATGACAATCGTGGGCCGCCCCCCCACGAAATGAGAGGTGGGCCAATGGGAGAACCAAGGCCTTTGATGGGAGAGCCACGAGGTCCCATGATGGACACCCGAGGTGAGAGACGGTTTCAGGGTCAAATGAAAAGGGACACTTATTTAATGCCAGCAGTATAAATCCAAGCACAGTAAAGGATCCCTCAGGGGAGTGATATATAAAATGAATATCAGTTAGTGCTTTGTTCCCCTTTGTAACAGATGCAGATAATAAAATAACTTGTACAATAAACCACACAATAACAAATAGAAATAATTATACAAGTATACCATGTTCTAGAGGATCAAATTGTATCTTCGCCCCAAAGCAAAACTTCCCTGGCTACAAACCCTATAGGTTACAAACACACACAAAATCAAGCCACGAAAATGTTAAAAATCAAACTGGTACAATCAGTTATTTAATTTCCCCCTAACTTGAGCAAGTAACTCCCAGGTTTGCTTCTCCGTCTATCAGATGTGTTAAGTTTGATGGTCTTCAATGCAGGTGGAAGAGATCCGAGAGGAATGGAGCCCCGAGGAATGGATGGCAGGGGCATGGAGCCCAGGGGAATGGAGCCCAGAGTGATGGATGCCAGGGGCATGGAACCCCGAGGGATGGAGCCCAGAGGAATGGAGCCCAGAGTGATGGAAATGCGGGGCATGGAGCCCAGAGGAATGGAATCTCGGGGCATGGAGCCTCGTGGGATGGAGCCCAGAGGCATGGAACCACCTCGGGGCATGGAGCCCAGGGGGATGGAGCCCCCCAGAGGCATGGAACCACCCAGGGGGATGGAGCCACCCAGGGGGATGGAACCCAGAGGCATGGACTCTAGGGGCCCTGGCCCCAATCCAAGGGGTCCAATGACTGGAGGCATTCAAGGCCCTGGACCTCTTAACATGGCATCCACTGTCTCGCAGGGGCCTCGACAGGTATGTGGGGCAACCGTGGTCTGTTGCATTTTCACTGAGAGGTCCTTGTTGCCAGTGCAAGGACAGCCTCAGTTGGTCACGCCAGCCGATTGGCATAACAATCCAATCTCCAAATGGAGGTGGGAGAGGGAGGGAGGGAGGAATCTTCATCTTGAATGCTCCCCCTAGTTGGTTCCTGACCAAGACAGGAAGTGGCTTCAGGGTTGACTGATCGCTTAGATAAAACTCTAGACCAGGGTTTCCCAAACTTGGGTTGCCAGCTGTTTTTGGACTACAACTCCCATCACCCCTAGCTAGCAGGACCAGCAGTCAAGGCTGATGGGAAATGTAGTCCAAAAACAGCTGGAGACCCAAGTTTGGGAAACCGTGCTCTAGAGCAAGGGTGGGGAACTTGCGCCCCTCCTGAGATTGCTGGACTCCAGCTCTCATCAGCCCCAGCAAAGTTTGATCGGTGATTACTAGATTCATAGTCCAGCAACATTTGAAGGTGGGGAGTTGTGTCACAGGTTCCCAACCCCTGTGCTGAATGGAAAGGCAAACACTCTGGCCAGCCCTGTGCCTTTGCAGCAGAGAACAATTCCTAGTGCAAAGCTCAGAACCCAGTAGTATGAGAGATCATTAGAGAGAGCTGAGTCCTTAGCTGGGGAGCTGACTGTGGAAATTAGGGATTCTCTCCTAATACTCTACCAAGCTTTTCCTAACAGTTATACTTAATCCTTTCTAAGTCGTTGGCTGGAAAATCCATGCATTGGGGAAGGGAGCAGGAGTGGTGATCTATTTCTTTTGAAGTTGTGGTCGGAAATTATATTGGCTGTGGTTAGTGAATTGCTACCGGCCATGTCCCCATGTGCTTTTCTAATCAAAGGCTTGCTGTCTTACTTTTCCCATGGTTCCCCCCACCCCCCAGCTCAGCGTTCAGCGGAAGTGCAGCTAGTAGGACCTGGAGCTGCTTTCAGAGACCCTGTGAATGTTATCCATTTGCATCCATGTGACCAAGGAGGGGGCAGTACATTTTCAGAAATCATTCTTTGTGTTCACAGGTGCCTAACATGCCTGCCGCAGCAATGCAGGCCGGAGGCATGCCAGGACCAAGCGTACAAGCAGCTGGCCAGCCTGGAGGGTTCAGTCCTGGCCAAAACCAGGTAACACCCCAGGATCATGAAAAGGTAAGCCAAACATTGTTGCCTTCTTTGAGTTCTCCATTAAAGAGGCAAGCAGTAGCGGTCAGCAGGAAAGGGTGGCAGCGCTTACATGACCTCCCATCACAGGGGAGGTCAGCGTAGTTCAGATGCACTGGTGGAGCCAATCCTGCACTCCCACCAGTGTGCCTCCACCTTATCACCCCTTCCTCCTAGGACTCCCCAGTAGCACCAGTGGCAAGAGGCCAGGAAAGTGCTGCTGGCCACTGCTGGAGGCAAAATTGGTGGCAGTAGGAGCAAGGTGTTTTCAGTGGTGGCTTCAAGGCTCTGGAATGAAAAATTGTTGTAGAGTGCATCCCTCAACTTACAACACAATGTGCTTTGCAGAGCTTTTCAAACTAGCTTTTGGCATGTAATAGCTGCCCGTGTGTGGTTATTAGTATTTTTTTATTTTTTAGTGTAATTCAATTGCCAAATCCTTTCTAGGAAAAAAACAACAATTGGTCTGAATACACCCTTTTCAGTTTTTCTCATCTCTTCATAGGCCGCACTCATCATGCAGGTCCTCCAGCTGACGGCAGACCAGATAGCTATGTTGCCTCCAGAGCAAAGGCAGAGCATCTTGATCCTGAAAGAGCAGATACAGAAGTCCACCAGTGCCCCTTGATCTGCACTCTCTGGGTAAGAGGGGAGCTGAGAAATGGTTGTTCAGCAGTCAGATTAAATCAAAAACAATGAATATTTGGTGTTATGTTGGAGGGGATGCCAGGAAACCCGGAATTGTGATCACATGTGGTGGGGCTGTAAATATGTACAATTTTTCTGGCAAAGGGTGTTTAAGGAGATAACAGAAATCATTGGGTTAAAGCCAGGCATCCCTAACCTTCGGCCCTCCAGATGTTTTGGACTACAATTCCCATCATTCCTTACCACTGGTCCTGTTAGCTAGGGATCATGGGAGTTGTAGGTCAAAACATCTGGAGGGTCGCAGGTTGGGGATGCCTGGGTTAAAGCTGACTGAAAGTCCAGAGTTAGCATTATTATCAATTTACGATGGGTGGAAGGTTCGCAGGCTATGAAGGACTTGCTCACAAATTTATTGATAGCTTCATGAATTATGATAGCTAAAAAGTGGAAGGGGCAAGCAGAATATAAAATGGGAGAATGGTATAAAGAGGTGTGGAATATAGCTATTAATGATAAATTAACATGTGCCATTAAGATAAGATGGGGAATACACAGGAAAAATTATTTTGAGGAAATATGGAAGGTGTTTGTAGAATTTGTAGTGTTAAAACGGAAAGGGGTCAAACCATCGCAAGAGGTGTTGAAATTTTGGGAGGTTGGATAGTAACAATGGTATGGTCTCGGTGGTGGGGTGCACATTTTATTCATGATCATTACTTTGTCAAAAGAAAAAGAAATAGAAATTGTACTGCCCAGGCAGCTCTGGTTCTCTCAGAGTAAACAAAGTGAGAAACCCCCATTGCCTTCTGTTTCCAGGGCTGCGCTCTCCTGTCAAAGCCCACCAAAATCAAGGGAGGTGTGCAAGCACCCCGCTCTCATCTTCTCCTGACCATTTCCATGGTTCTTGCACAGGAGAAGGTCTTGGAGCATTGTGCCTTTGGGTGGGGGGGGGGGGAGGTTGGGCCCACAATCCTAGATTTTTATGAATGAACAGCAAAGAGGCACAGTTACAGTGGTGCCTCGCAAGACGAAAAGAATCCGTTCCGCGAGTCTCTTCGTCTTGCGGGTTTTTTCGTCTTGCGAAGCAAGCCCATTAGAGGTTTAGCGGCTTAGCGCTACAGTATTAGCGGCTTAGCTTAAAGATCAGCTGATAAGCGGCTTAGCATCAGCTGTTAAGCGGCTTAAAGATCAGCTGATAAGCGGCTTAGCATCAGCTGTTAAGCGGCTTAAAGATCAGCTGATAAGCGGCTTAGCATCAGCTGTTAAGCGGCTTAAAGATCAGCTGATAAGCGGCTTAGCCATCAGCTGATAAGCGGTTTAGCAGCTTGGGAAAAAGGAAAAAAACCCTGCAGGAACTCACAAGACATTTTCGTCTTGCGAAGCAAGCACATAGGAAATTCGTTTTGCGAAGCACCTCCAAAACGGAAAACCCTTTCGTCTAGCGGGTTTTCCGTCTTGCGAGGCATTCGTCTTGCGGGGCACCACTGTATTTAATATGACTCTGCTGCAGCAGCGTGTTTCTGTTGCACTTCTGCAGGAGCTTTCATATGGGGAAAACCATGCTGGAAAAGCCCAAGGAAAATGATGGCAGGCACGGAATAGAGGCATGCTGGCTGTAAAAGATCTGGTGGAGAGTCTAGCCAGCAGCCTGAGCAGAAGCAAGGCACCACCCCTGACTTCAGGCAGCTGCAAACCAATGCATGCCCAGACTTTTTCACAACCTTCTAGGCCCCGGCACCTCTCAGCACTCAATAGTGCCTAATTGCACTGATGTCCTTCACAAACTTTTGCCAAGTTCTCTGTAGTTTTAACTCTTGCCCCTTGTTCCACCAGTTCTGATAGGTTGAAAAGCTGTTTCCCCATCTGCTTTCAGGGATCCACCCGAAATCCCCATTTAGGTGCTTTTCTGCAGGAGATTGGTGTGATGGGAGCACAGTCCCTCTTCTTAACAGAATCCTCTTTGTTTTCTTAGGTTTGGAAAGTTGCCTAAGATATGTTGAAAATGGCGCTGAAGACTACTTGGATGCCCTTTCTTTTCCTGAGCCTAGAGCACAATTTTATTTCAATTTATCTTGTTCAGTTCTCCCCTTTGTTCTGTTTACTTCCAGATTAAAAACTTGTCCTGGATTTGAGTGAAACCCCCATGGCTTTATTGTACAACTGCATTGCACTCACTTCATCAGTCTCTTCTCCCTGTTTCTTGCAGGGCAAAGATCAGCTTTGGTCTTCACAAAGCCATTCTTTCTCTTTTTTATAGTGTATTTATTGATTTTCATAAACATGGGAAAATACAAAAACAAGAAAAAAATGAAATATGCTTGGGGAGGGGGGAGAGAGAAACAACATAGATTACAAAAAGACAAGGAGTTGCCAAAATATTTTCATTCCAGAATAGATGCTCTGTTGATGCATATGTATTGAAGGCAGATGATAACATGTTTTTTTTGGTCATTATGTAAGAAATAAAAAATTCAGATAATTCTTCACATTGTCTGTAGTCTTGTTTTCCTTCTAGCCTGCGAGATCCATTCTGTGAATAGCTTTCTAGTAAAGGATTTCCAGTTCTCAGAAATGACCAGTCTGGCTGCAGTCACAAAGTGCACAACAAGAATCTTGGAAGGTGTTTATAACAGTTGAATTGAGCCTGAGCAGCTTGTTTTGGATCAAGTGATATGTCATATTTTGCAATATTAACAATGTCAAAAAAGAATTTTAAAAAGCACAAGGACATTCCCACCATATATGGGCAGTATTGGCCTGGGTTTGCACATCCCTTCCATCCCTTTTATCACTTCCTCTTCCCAAAATTCTGCACAGTATGCCACTTATGAATAAGTTTCAGCATAATTTCTTTTACGAATAAAAAGATGGGTTTCACAATTGGAGATACCCACATAACATACCTCCCCCTCCCCAATCAATAATGTTTAAATCAGCCTCCCAGCATTTCCTCAAGTCACCAGTGGTGTAAGACAGAATGGTTTAGAGCAGAGCTTACCAAACTTCTCATGTTGGTGACACACTTTTTATACATGTATCACTTCGCAAAATGGTAATTCAGTTTTGCATCATTTCGAAACACAGTAATTTAGTTTTACTAGGAAACTGGGAATTAAACTAACCCCTTTCCAGCCCCAGGAGAAGCATGGGAAACATTTGCGTGACACACAGTTTGGAAAGCTCTCATTGTTAAAAATTAAAATGAGAGTTTCAGTTGCGTGACTTGATCTCAGGATGATTTATTAAATAAAGAACCTGGTGTATAAAGAACCAATTAGGTGGAATAGGCAGAACGTTTCTCTGGATGGCATCTGATAAAGGAGTTGCTCCTCTCTAAAAATATTTAATGGTAAAACCCAGCTTTCCCGCTGTCAAACATTTTGCGTAACTTGTGAAACAAGTGATGGTCTACCAAAGGTGTCATCAGAGACACTGGAGGAGCAGGTGTCTTGGCCCAGTATCTCCAAAGAGACATACCCTGTTTCAGGAAAGAGTTGGATAAAGAATCCCATGAAATCACACTCCTCTATATCGATCTATTGCATCATCCACCCTGCACTAGATTAATATTCTCTCATGGTGGTTTAACCACCAAAGTAAAAGCTAATCCAAACAAGAAACGCAGCACTTCTGGAAAAGGGAACTTTTTACAGCCTGCTGAGAGAAGTTTGTTCCGTGACTCCTGTGAATGCTATATTGTGCACTCATTCTCTCTTAATATGGCATGCTATTAAGAGGACGTTATTGGGGCTGGTGAACGCCCACTTCTTCCATACACTACTTTTGTGAATTCGAATGGATCCTATTTACTGAGGCCCAGGAGCTCAGGTGAGAGATGGATGAGAAGCCCATAAACATGGAGGGGAGGGGGAAACAGAGACCAAAACATGTAGCTGATGCTTGAGGATGTTTACAAAAGCAGGCTTCCCTGTACCCAGAATCAATGGCCCCTTTTTAAGACTTGTGCGGAGGTTTCCCATTCTTTTAATGAATGCACATAGAGCAAAGCCTGCCCAACATGGGTGCCACCCACTCTACATATGTTAGCTTGAGGCATGGCAACACTGGAGTCCAAAGCATCTCTCCCCACCGGCCTTCAGGCAGCCAGCCAAGATCATTCTGCTCCTTCCTCAGCTATCCCAAGCCTCACGACAAAGACCCCAAAATTATTTGTGGTACATAACTTCCAATTCCCTTGGCAACCTTATAAATCCCTGTCTCTGTTCACACCTCTGGGCAGGAATAAAGGACAATTCCCTTGGGCTGCCAATGGCCATCAAGGGCTCTCTAAACAGTAATTTCGGGAAAGTCCTGGCAGTATGCCCACCTCCAGCACTCAAGCAAACACAGCCAGGAACTTTGCTCTCTCAGAAAAAATACACACTATCAGGTTCTTGGGCTGCGCCGAAAGCAAGAGAGAGGCAGAAGGAAGAAAGGATCAAGACGGGAGTAGATGGCACAGGAGAGCAGAAGGCACCCATACATGGCTGCTTGCCAAGGGACATGGCTGTATAGGGGTGGGGAACACAGTGATCCTGTATAAGAAGTGCAGACTCATTTACCAGTGGTACCATCCATGCAGAAAGAAGTATCCGTAGATTTTAGGGAACCTCCAAGTTAGCAAAAGTCCTTTCAGGGTGGGAGGGATACTAAGGAGGGGAACCTAAAACAGTGCAATAAGGTCTGAGTGTGCTCAGTGACTGACTTCAAGGTGGGGAGGGATAAAAAACTGGGAGGAGGAAAACTGGAACGGTGTGTCCTGGGAAAGGGATGGAAACCTGAAGAGGGGCAGGTCACTCCACAACATTTTGTTGCATGCTTGACTTACGGTATATTATTTATTTTCATGCTCCACCAGGTGATGGATCACAAAACTGGGTGGGAAGGTATGGAGCCCATCAAGCGCGCAGAGCTGGTGGACGTTGACAGCATCCCTTTTCTCAAAAACACGGCAGATAACTGGCAGCGCCTTTGGGCCTTCAAAGCTCGGCCCAATGACCTTCTCATTTGTACCTACCCCAAAGCAGGTAAATGGGAAGACGAGATCTCAACAAGGGGCTTTGTCCTGGTGGTGAGGATGCAACAACATGCATCTTTTACTATAATCTATCTAATATGTATCCATAGTTTCCAAAGTTCACGTGAAGGGTTTCTTATTCTTACCTCTAGGCCAGTTGTCACCCTCTGGTGTTTCAGGCTTGGAACAAGCAGAGACAATACCTTCTCCGCGCACACTCAAATCTCACCTCCCAGTCCAGCTGCTGTCTCCTTCCTTCTGGGAACAGAATTGTAAGGTCAGAGCAAGTGAGGCGGGGTCAATGAATTTAATCTAAATCAAGGTCTAGTAAAATTGTTGGCTCAGTCCCCCGCAACGTGAAACACAAATGAGAGGAGAAGGGGCCTATGAGCAGGTGAAGAGGCTCAATAGTATGGACCAGCCAGCTTTCATTTGGGTGTTTTCAGGTGGGTTGGAGTCCTCTATTTCCTCAAAGGGCACCAGGTGGAACAAGGTGAGTGAGTGAAAAGCTTGATGTTCAGACTCCTGGGTTTCCTCCCTCTTTCCTGCAGATCATCTACGTTGCCAGGAACGCCAAGGACAACGCAGTCTCCTACTTCCATTTCTACCACATGAACAAGGGGATGCCAGAGCCAGGAAACTGGGACGAGTTTCTGGAGAACTTCCTTGCAGGAAAACGTGAGTACAGGTAGCTACAGAAATACAAAATAGGAGGAAAGAAAGTCTGGGTCAGTCAGAGCACTCTCTGGGTCCAGGGCCAGGGTGTCAAGTTCTCACCCCCAGCAGTTTTGGAGGGATTTGGAGCCTACCAGAGGAATGGGGTATCTTTTGTGAATCTGCAAAGCTCTGTACCATTTTTCTTCCAAGCCTGAAATGTTATGGGATATATTTAGGGGAGAAGAGTGCAAGGCAGATTAACATGCATAGGGTAGTCATGTGGCCAATTTTACAGAAGACAGCCCTCTGTTTGAAAGCATCCTCTTATCTGAAGGGCTGTCCACTCCATCACTGTCCCTCAGCCCAACCTACCTCACAGAGTTGCTGTGAGTATATAATGTTCAGGGGAGAGTCATGTACACCAGCTTGCACTCCTTGGAGGAAAAGGTAGTGACAATGTAATAAATAAGAAATAAGCTTGGTTTCAGTGCTATTTTTCTAGAAAAATAGGTGCCGGAACTCACCATGAACACCTCCCTCTTTCTCTTAGAATAGCAATGGCGCCCACCTGAGAGTTTCCGGAACCTACCTAAGAGGTGCCAGAACTGAGTTCCAGCAAGTTCCCCCTGAAAAAGCCCTGTTTTGTTTAAATATTAAGACCCATCAAAAGAGAGAGTAGGAGGGGACTTTAGGTTGCTATTCAACAGCTGGCACCTGGAGGGCAGACTTTGCAGGCACATAGCAGGTCCCCTGGTCACTGCCTTCCCTAGTACAGTGAGATACTGCTGGTCTATCACAGTAATAAACTGATTGTACTTCTGTTTAAAGGAATTAGTTCTGATGCACATTAGTCACCATATCGAAATTTCATGCAGATCAGTGCCATATTTTCTGCTCTCTCTCTCTTTTGCATTTGTGATTCAGTCCCTCGTTTTGGGCAGTGTGATCATCCTTTCCTCCTGCTCTTCTCTTTCTTTGCAGTTGCCTGGGGCTCTTGGTTTGACCATGTTTGTGGCTGGTGGGAGGCCAAGGACCGACACCCAATTCTGTACCTCTTTTATGAAGACATGAAAGAGGTAAGCAGTTTACATGCATGCATGTATGCATCGAGTGGGAACCAAGCATGAGATGGGGCAGGAAAGACACCCTTTCCTGGGGCCAAAGGAGATTTGACCCCTTGGTTGAAAGGTTATTGCAGGAGGAGAGAACTGCGTGTTGTGCTCTAACACTGCGAGCAAGTGGACAGTGCATCCCATGTTGTTCATTCACAGTAAACCACAATAAGCCAGGAACAAAGGTGCCCACTTTAATAAAATAGTTGGAGGGTGGGGCAGGTAAGCCATGACCCACACAATTGATCATAACACACACACGATTTGAATTATAATGCCCATCAACTTGGGGGTGTGTGACTTCAAACATTTTATTGGGGTGGCCAAAGGGACCTTGTCACCAGGAGTTTGGTCTTATGACCAGGAGGTCCGGTTTATCGTCATGTGAGAATGTGGCCAATGAGTCTGGTGTTGTAAGCTTGCGACTTCAGGGCCTGAATCAATCAAGAAGCACAATTACAGCCCGAATCTTCCCTGACAACAGTTTCATTTCTTCCTTAGGATCCGGCCCGGGAAATCCAGAAAGTAGCTCAATTTCTGGGCCTACAACTCCCTGATCCAGTTGTGAACCAGATTGTGCAGCATACAATGTTTGAGAACATGAAACTAAACCCAAAGACTAACTACAGCTCCGTACCTTCTTTGGTCTTTGACCAAACTGTGTCACCCTTCATGCGAAAAGGTGTGTTGGGGTGAGGGACAGGAACGGTGCTGAGTTCCAGCTCATATCAGAGGGAATTTTTTAGAAGCACTGTAGAAGTACCCCTTCAGAATGGTAAAGTTAAAGGTCAGTTCATTAATGCTGCACGTCCCTTGTGAAGAAGCTTCTAATTAAAGTTGGAGAGGATCTTGTTTCCCGTAGTACGATCTTGGCCATGCAGATTGATATTGCCAGACAGTATAGAACTATATTAAGTGATGTGAGAAAACTAGTTTTTAGTCAGCGACTGCAGGAAAGTAATGCTTCAACCGCCCTGGCATGGAGATGAAATCCAAGACTGTCGTGCAGTGTGTGCTCTAGGCAGATCATAATATCTGTTTTAGGAAGACAGTGACGATGCCTGATAAAAATGAGTGTTTACCCTAGGAAACTTCCCAGAATCCTCTGCAATCCAGTTGGGATTCTGTGGGGATATGTTGAAGGAAATGATAGACAAATGATAGGAAGAGAGGGTCCCATGTAGACAGGAATACATTAGATTAGAGTAGGAGGAAAAGCAGATAGGAAACTAATTTTTTTCTGGATCATGTCTCCGACCTATAGGCACCGTAGGAGACTGGAAGGAGCACTTCACAGTGGCACAAAGTGAGCGGTTTGATGATGCCTGTGAAAGGTTATTGGGGGGCAGCAACCTGATCTTCCGCACACAGTTATAAGAACATCTCCCTGCTACCAGTTGAGACTTCCTCCCTAACATTCCTGGAGCGGACATTTTACCTGTGTTCAATAAAATAAGGAAGAAACCAAAAGGAAGGAACAAGCTGATACTATGGGGTTCTACCCTTTGTTATTTCTGCCCTCAGTACACCCTCTGAATTTCGTGCACACAACTAAGTTAGGTCCACTGACTTCAGTAGGCCTACTTTGAGTAGAAGCTGGAAATAACCTGTTAGATTGAACCTTCTTTCATTTGATTCAGTTTTCTTTGCTTCCTTTAAAGTGGGGGGTTTGGGGGGAGGCTGCTTTGCCAAGCCCTGTAAGGTGGGATCAGCTGTCTTGGCTCCTTTCTTTCTCCCTTCCATGGCAATTGACCAGGAAGGGATAAAGAAAGGTGTGTTTTTCAGTCAGTCATAAGTTTATTATTCTAGCCAAGTTCATAGCAATATTATACAGAACATACATCCATGATATAAACCAACAACCATGGTGTAAAAAGGGGGGGGAGAGAAGACTGGATAAATGCTAGGCATGAAATGACTGAAATGGCCTCATAGACCGAGCAGTGATATCAAAGAAATGCTGCATAGCAAATATATGACCACCCAGCTTTTTATGAGCAATGCCCCAAATCTTGTTGATGTTTTCCAGACAATTGCCACGGAACCTAGATCCTACCTGATACATTTCTACAATTACAAACAACACACAATAACACCTTGGCTGGTTTGAGGTTGGTCAGGAAGTACATTTCAAGGGCAAAAAAATATGCAATAGATCTATATTACGTGTGCAGTATGTAGAAAACCAAGTACGCAAGCCTCAACTGATGCTAGGACAAAATGTCAAGTTGCTACCATCTATCTTGGGGGATTATGGGATGCAGTCCTTGGATCTTCTATTCACTGAACTGTATTGTGTACTTGTGTAAATGTATATGTATGTGTTTTATATGTTAATAAAATTAAAATTAAAAATTAAAAAAAAGAACTGTATTAACTCCTAAAAATGTGTGATTCTGTAGTAAAACAGGAACCAAGGTCCCTTGCCATAATATGAATCGCTAAAGGGCCCTGCCCCCTAGAGGAAATGCCGGAGTATATTACCAGGGGGTCGCCTGGCCTCTCTGCAGGGATACTTGCTATAGAGGGTTAAAGAACATTGGGTGGAAAATCAGGCCCTGTGGCGGTAGATGCAACACGATATCCTCACACTATTACAAAATCTAAACTGTAACCTCAGAAAAGTACTGGCAGAGTGCCCGCAACTTGCACGCCAGGAAGTTCAGTCAGGGACTTTGTTCTCTCCGAAAAACACCCTCTCCAGCTGAGCAGAGAGCAAGAGAGAGGCGGAAAGGAGGAAGAAGCTGCTCACAAGAAGCCGCTTCACAGGAGTGAAACTGTCAGGTGGGCATCTCATTTGGCTTCCTTCAGATAGATGGCACAGGAGAGCAGTAGGCAAACATGTGGCTGCCTGCCAACGGGCACGGCTGTGTTGGGGTGGAAAGCACAAGGATCCTATACGCTAAGAGCAGTCTCGTTCACCAGTGGTACCTCCTGTGCCCACGAGAGAGGTATCTGTAAGCTTCAGGGAACCTCCAACAGTCCAGGAAGGTCTGAGCAGGCTCAGTGGCAGCAAAGCACTGGCTGAATTCAAGGTGGGAAGGATAAAAAAGGAGGAGGGGAAGGGAAACTGGGACGGTGTATCCAGGGAAAGGGGGGTGACCCTGAAGATGGGGAGGCCACTCTGCAACATTTTGATGCAGGTTCGACTTATCTCATATTATTTCTTTTCATGCTCCACCAGGTGATGGATCACAAAACTGAGTGGGAAGGTATGGAGCCCATCAAGCGCACAGAGCTGGTGGACGTTGATGGCATCCCTTGCCTCAAAGACACGGCAGATAACTGGCAGCGCCTTTGGGCCTTCAAAGCTCGGCCCGATGACCTTCTCATTTGCACTTACCCCAAAGCAGGTAAATGGGGAGACAAGAAACAAGGGGCTTTGTCCTGGTGGTGAGGAGAGAACAATGTGGGGGGAGCTGTAGAGCTTGGACGACTGGAGGCCAATGGGTGAATGATTGGATCTCCATATTTCTCCTCCAACCCTTCCTGCCAGGGACTACCTGGATACAGGAAATTGTGAACATGATCCAGCATAGAGGAGACCCTCAGAAATGTGACCAGGCCCCCATCCATCAACGTATTCCCTTCATAGACCTGTTCCCTCCAAAACCTTTCCCCCATGGTGAGTAATGGATGCCGCTTCAGAGAGACAATGGGTGTGTGTGGCGGGGGAAGGATTTCATCCTCACCTCTAGGCTGAATGTCACCCTCTCGTGTTTCAGGCTTGGATGACGCAGAGGTAATGCCCTCTCCACGAACGCTCAAATCTCACCTTCCAGTCCCTCTGTTGCCACCTTCCTTCTGGGAACAGAACTGCAAGGTCTGTTGGGGTCAATGGGTTTAATATAAGACAAAGTTTAGTCCTGGAACCTCTCTCAGCTTCCGTGTTCAGCCCTTGGGCTGTGTGAAACGCAAAGGAGAGGAGAGGGGGGTCTATGAGCAGGTGAAGAGGTTCAATATTATGGACCAGTCAGGTTTCAAAAAGGTTGGGGGCCCCTTTTTCCTTGAAGGGCACTGCTCCCAAAAAAATTAAAAGGAGGGGGCAGAAAGTTCACAAGGTGGAACAAGGGATGTGAGTGGAAGGCTTCACATTCAGACTCCCCCCTTTCTGCAGATCATCTACTTTGCCAGGAATGCCAAGGACAACGCAGTCTCCTACTTCCATTTCCACCGCATGAACAAGGGGCTGCCAGAGCCAGGAAACTGGGATGAGTTTCTGGAGAACTTCCTCACGGGAAAGAGTGAGTGGAGGATACAGAAATACAAAACAGGGAAAAATAAAGTGTGCATCAGTCTGAGCAAGCTTTCAGTCCAGGCCAAGACCTTGTTTGATCTCCTCTGCCGTATTAGAGAGGGATGAAAGCTACTGGTCCCCACACGAGATACACATTAGCAGAAGGAGGGAATTACTCTTGTTCACCTGCAAAGCTCTGCACTGTTATAAGTTATATATAGGGAAGGTTATGTGAAAACCAGATTAAGAGGCCTGTCCTCTGTTTCAGATAAACCTATGTTTGAAGGGCTATCCGCTCATTGTGTGGTTTAAAAACAAAGAGCCATCAAAGGGAGAATCTTAGAATTGTAGAGTTGGAAAGGACCCCAAGGCTCCCAGTACATTTCCGAGTACAATTCAAAGTGTTGGTGCTGACCTTTAATGCCTTAAACAGCCTCGGTCCTGTATACCTGAAGGAGTGTCTCCTCCCCCATCGTCCAGCCCAAACACTGAGGTCCAGCACTGAGGGCCTTCTGGTGGTTCCCTCCCTGCGAGGGAACCAGGCAGAGGGCCTTCTCGGTAGTGGCGCCTGCCCTGTGGAACGCCCTCCCAGCAGATGTCAATGCAATAAGCAACTATTTGACTTTTAAAAGACAACTGAAGGCGGCCCTGTTTAGGGAAATTTTTAATGTTTGATGCTGTATTGTTTTTAATATTTGGTTGGAAGCCGCCCAGAGTGGCTGGGGAAACCCAGCCAGATGGGCAGGGTATAAATAAAATAATAATAATATCTCATTCAATCCCCTGCAATGCAGGAATATGCAGTGGTCCCATACAGGGATCAAACCAGCAACCTTGGCATTATCAGCACCATGCTCTAACCAGTTGAGCTATCCAGGCTCTAGGGTGGCTATATGCAGGAGGAGATTTCAGGTAGTTCACCAACATTTAACACCTGGACAGTGACCGAGAAGACATGGAGCAGATCATGTGGGGACAGATTCCCCCACTATATTGGGGCTCTATTGCATTTCTGTTTCAATTAATTAGTTCTGAAAAGTAGAGGGCAAAAAGTCGTGCCAGTTTGCAGAACATTTTGATGTGCTGATTTATGTGTGTGTGTGTCAGCATTTCTTCTCCACTTGCATCTACTTGCAGTTGCCTGGGGCTCATGGTTTGATCATGTCCGTGGATGGTGGGAGGCCAAAGAACGTTACCGAATCCTGTACCTCTTTTATGAAGACATGAAAGAGGTAAGCAGTTTACACACACACACACACACACACACACACACACACACACGGTCCAGATGGAGCCTAAGCATGAAGTTGGGCAGGAAAGATGCCCTTTCCTGGGGCCCGGGAGTCAAGGGACATCTAACTCAAATTGCAAGCTTATTGAAATGTGGGGTGGGGGGAATGGAGGGTAAATTAAGCCACCCCCAACATGGTGTCTTCCAAACGTTTTGAACTACAATATTGGTTCAAGGTTGGAAAAAAGGTATATAAAAAGGAGACTTCCTGGATACCAGGATCCAGGATTGAGGCAAGTACTCTTTGGTGAAAGAATCCCAGCAGAGATTTAAAATCACAAAATACGCAGCAAACTAAAGCATGGAAATATAGGTTGCTAGACCTTCAAAAATATGCTCTTGAGAGTTCCAAAACTTCCCTCTTCCCCTAGCATAGAAAAAGACCACATGCTTGGGAGCTTTAAAATAGTTTACTTACAAACTCCCCAAAGATCAAATTCACCTGCTTTACCATACAGCATTCAGAAAAAGAGACTGGTCCCCTAGAGTTAGGCTGTGTCCAGATGGAAGCATTATCTTGCAGCCAGGTCATGCTGACCTGATTTTCCTCTGTTTGCAACTGGCACCCACCCCTTTTTCTTACCCAACATATTCATTGCTGTCTTTCTACTTGCTGTCCCCACCACTGGGCAGAGTTTGGCAGAAAATACCCTGGGTATGCTTTTTTGGCTCTCCGCTTAATCACCCCCTACCCTTAATTAGCTGGTACAGTATTAAATTACAGTTTGCTTTGTGGGAGGCTGTTTTTGTTCTTTTCGTACAACCCTGATTTAAGAGAACTGCGCAGGATCTGTAACCATAAGAACAGACTGGGACACTGCCGTGCTCTCTGTGTGCCGGGGTGGGTGCATGTGCTTTGTGTAGATCAAGAAAATTACTTTCTCCCAGCTTCCCCTAACTGAACCTTGTGAGCCAGCCTAGTTGCTGAGAAAAGAGAGCCGAATCAAATTAGCCCCCTGAAGCTCTTCTTGCTGTTTTTTCTCCAAAACTCTTCAAGAGTCTCTTGCACTGCAGCATTGGAGAGATTTGAGGCGGGCGGGCAAGAGGCAGCAAGGGTTGAGTAGAATCAAATCCTTTGTACGTTCTTTTTCCAAACTAAGAGTCTAATTTGGTATTTGGGAGATTGCCTGGGATGTGAGGTGGGGGGGCAGGAAGCAAGAGGCAACAAGGGCCTTTCCTGCCCCATGCCACTTCTGGCTGTTTCTCCCCACTCCAGTATCCCTGATAGCTCTAGGTAGCAGAACTTTCTTCTTCTGCAGAACTCTGTGGGGATAAAACAAGAAGTGACCCAGGGCTGATTTGATTCACTTCCCCCTCTCAGCAATGCAAGCCAAGCCGAGGACCTTGAAGAAGACTGGAGGAAATTAACTATCTGAATCTGCAGCCAGCTTTGCTTAAACTCACCACACATTCCTCCCCGCCCTTGGAGAATTAAGCAGCCCCAGTTTCTTATTGTCATTTCAGAACTTCACACAATTCCATGAAATAGGATCCCAAAGTGCTTTAAAACTAGGCCTCTGGTCCCCGTGTGAAAAGAACAGCTGTTACTAGATCCCAGGCTCCGTCTAAAATGTAATTTCTGAGGGCCCCAATGTCTAATTAGCATGCATGTCTGGCTATAACGCAAACCAGGCAGTCACAAAGAGCTTCAGAAATAAACACAAAGCATTTCAATAAAGGAAATGAAGAGAAACTAAAAGATAAGAATCCATCCAATCAACGTAGAATTGAGGGTTGGAGGGTAAGGCAGGTGAGGAGAAGGATTAGTCAGCTGCTGGCCTTGAAAGACAATAATAACATTTCAGTGTTAGAAGGTACTTCATCTAGAAGGCTGCTCATCTAGTTGGATATGCTCCCTGGGCATTCTCTCAAAGTATGTAGTGTTTTCAGCCATGAAAGCACTCTGTTGCTAAACTGCTCCAAGCAATTGCTGCATTTGCAGAGCACAGCTCCTGATTTATTGTGGTTTGGCATGCTTGAGCAGTCTGTTGGTGCACACCGTTGGCTTTGGGAAAAGAATAGATAGATATAGGGTATAATTTTAAAGAAGAAGAATTCCTGGATGCCTAGATCCAGGTTTGGGACAAGTAACTCTTTGGTGAGAGATCCCCAGCAGAGATTTAAAATCACAAAATATGCAGCAAAATAAAGCATGGAAATATAGGCTGTTAGACCTTAAAATATACCCTTCTAAATTACTTCCAAAGTTCACAACTTCCCTTAGTATAGAAAGAGACCACACGTTTCGTAAGTTAAAAATGGTTTACTTACAAACTCTTCGAAGGTCTGAGTCATGTGCTTTTCCATTCAGCAGCAAGAAAAAGACAGGAAGTATAACTCAGGTTCCTAAATGGTAAATGTTTCCAAATCATTTGTATAGAAACACAAATATGGCTTGCTTAAACCACACGGTCTAAGCTTGGAGCATCCAGCTTAGATCTCCTTACTGGTAGGGTTCACATGGTGGAATGGAACAACAAAGAGTTTGGTGACCTAGCTAAGCCTGGCAGGACTGCTTACCCTATGGTCTTAACCCTTTCATGCATTAATTAGTTAAGCATGTTGGTTATATGAGGCTGGGCATCCCACACATACTGCCCGGCTATTTCTGCTTTCCTAGCACAAGTGAGAAAACCAAAGCAGGAGGCCTACTGTGATCATGGTTCGTAGCTCCCTGCCAAGCCATGATCACTAGCCAACGTTGGCTTGCTGGTCATGTGCCCAGTTATCGAGCAAAAAAATCACAGTGCCTGCTTTAGCCATAATGGGAAGCCAAGGCTTACACATTTATTTATCTCTGTCAAAGAATTAGGGAATGGTGAGTTATTGGGCAGTGTATCTTATGCTGCTCAATTACAGTAAACCACAAAAAACTAGGAGATCTGTTTAATTTTCCTGTGAGAATGTGGCCAATGAGTCTGATATCGTAAGCTTGCAACTGTGGGCCCCAATCAATCAAGAAGCACAATTACAGCCCAAATCTTCCCTGACAACAGTTTCGTCTCTTCCTTAGGACCCAGCCCGGGAAATCCGGAAAGTAGCCCAATTTCTGGGCCTACAACTCCCTGATCCAGTTGTGAACCAGATTGTGCAGCATACAATGTTTGAGAACATGAAAGTAAACCCAATGACTAACTACAGCTCCATTCCGTCTTTGATCTTTGACCAAACTGTGTCACCCTTCATGCGAAAAGGTATGTTGTTGGTGGTGGTGGTGGTGGGGATTAGATGCTGAGTTCTAGCTCACATCGGAGAGAAGAGGAGAATTGTGGTACTGGGATGATGGTGAAAGTGTTCAGGGAGTAAACACTTTCAGTTGCAGCAGTGTTATAGATGTACCACATAATAATAGAATAATTAAGGGTCAGTTCAATAAACTTGCATCTCCACTGTGAGGAAGCTTCTAATTTAAGGTGCAAGAGACTTTTCTGAATTGGACTTGCTTCCCATAGTATGATATTGGTCATGTGGATGGACACTGATGGACAATATAAGCAGTGGTGTGGGGAAACTGGTTTTTGTCAGCTTCCAGAGGACTGGAGGAAAGTAATGCTTTAGCAGCACTGACATGGAGATGAAACCCAAGATTGTCATGCAGTGTGTGCTCTAGATAGATCATAATATCTGTTTTAGGAAGACAGTGACGATGCCTGATAAAAAATGAGTGTTTACCCTAGGAAACTTCCCAGAAACCTCTGCAATCCAGTTGGGATTCTGTGGGAGACGTTGAAGGAAATGATAGACAAGCTAATATGGAAGAGAGGGTTCCATGAAAATAGGAACACACTAGATTAGAGTAGGAGGAAAGGTGACTAGTAAACTGGAAGTTTTTTCTGAATTGTGTCTCCTGTCTATAGGCACTGTAGGAGACTGGAAAGAGCACTTCACAGCGGCACAAAGTGAGCGGTTTGATGATGCCTGTCTACGGTTGTTAGGGGACAGCAGCCTGGTCTTCCGCACAGAGTTGTAAGAACATCCTTCTGCTACCCATTGATATTTTCTCCATAACATTCCTGGAGTGGACATTTTGTCTGATTTCAATAAAATAAGCAATGAAACCAAATGGAAGGACCAAAGTGAATTTTGTTTGTGTACATCTGAAACTATGAGGTTAGTTCTATGCAAAGTAGAGTCATTTAAATGGATAGCCATGGCTAAATTAGGTCCAATGGTTTCAAACAGACTTATTCTGAATTGGTTTTAATTAGCCACAACCCATGATCATTTTATTTGTCTCCTTAAAAGAGGGCTGATTCAAACACACTTTTGCCTAGCCCTATAGGAGAGGATCTGCTGCCTATGCTCTTTTATTTTTCTCCTTTCAATGCCACTAGACCAGGAAGGGAGAAAGAAAGCTGAATTTTGCAAGCAAACTCAACAGCAACGTTTCTCTTGTATTCTCCCACCCCTATAAAAATCAGAATAGGATGGGGACTGAAAAGGGAAGAGCCCTGCAAAAGCCTTTGTGAGTCTCCCCACTTTTAATTCCTCAATCTCAAACCAAGAGGCCGTATTGGGGTTTTCAACAACAGCTGCTATCCAAAATGGCTCTGCTCTGCAGCCACAGTCAGAGGCAGCAGTGCTTCTGACTACCAGTTCTGGAAAGCGCAGGAAGGGAGAGGGCTCTTGTGCTCAGATGCTGCTGGCTGGTTTCCCATAGGCATCTGGTTGGCCACTGTGAGAACAGGATGCTGGATTAGATGGGCCATTGGCCTGATCCAGCAGGCCCTTCTTACGCTCAGTAGCTGAAGTGGTAGCCGGTGTAATTCTGCGGCTAGAAGAGGCTCTGGTAATCATTGCAACTTTCCCCAGCAGAACAGGATAATGGTGGTGCCTGTTGGGAATTCCATTCCACCCTTTGCTGCAGATTTGCGGATTGTTACATGTCACATGTCTGTTTACATTCCAGCACAGATTGCTGGCATGAGCGGAAGATCAGAGGGTATCACAACAGCCAGCTGATTTAGGCATTTTAAGGTAGTGGCGTGGGGTTGGAATCAGTGTTCTCCGTTTGCAGATGTCGTAGGGTATCACTACTCAAGCCCACATTAACCTCCACAAAATATATGGCCATGGTGAAATCTGCACAGCAAGGCCAGGAAGCAGCGGACGAAACCCAGCCCTGGAGCACAAGAAACCGGAGGCAAGAGAAAATACCTCACCAAAAAACACAGGCATTCTAGCCAGACCTGACTAGAACAAGCAGTACAGACAAACAGTACAGTACAGTGGTACCTCGGGTTACATACGCTTCAGGTTACATACGCTTCAGGTTACAGTCTCCGCTAACCCAGAAATAGTACTTCAGGATGAAAACAGAAATCGTGCTCCGGCAGCGTGGCAGCAGCGGGAGGCCCAATTAGCTAAAGTGGTGCTTCAGGTTAAGAACAGTTTCAGGTTAAGAACAGAACTCCGGAACAAATTAAGTACTTAACCCGAGGTACCACTGTACAGACAAACAGCAGTACAGGGGAACAAAAAGGCGCTTTCTGGTAACTGGTGAAGGGAGGGAAGTTGGTAGGCGATTGTACCATTTTTATTTCCTTGCCAGTAAGTAGTGCCAGAGGGACAGCGCAATTGAGCTCATAATTCCTTATTTTCAGCATTTATGCCTAGCCCTTTAGCCTCAAAAGGCTTAAAGAGCAACTTACAAAAATCATTTCTAAGACCAGGGGTGCCAACTTGAACAAAATATGAGGGGTGTGTGTGTTTAAGTCCTGCTTCACATAATCATTCACAAGATGTGTCATACACACACCATTTGAATGGCAATGGCTATCCATTGGGGGGTGGGGTGGAGCTGGCCTCCTCAAATATTTTATTTGGGGGGGGGTGAAGGGAACTTGGCTGCCAGGAGTCGGCTCCTATGTCTAAGACCACTCCTCTGCCCTCAGGCTCACAAAGACATGGCATAAAAGGAAAAATGAATGAGAGGAGGGAGCGGGGAGTAAGCTCAAGTTTCAACCCATTTCAATGTCGGTTTTGGCTCTCTTTACCTGGGATCATGAGCAGTTCCTCCTCTGAAGCACTGTTCCCACCCGCAGGTCAGATCCAGAAGCAGAGCTGGTGGCAACACCCAGGCCAGGAGGGCAAAGCCACATTCCTGCCACACTCGCACACAGAGAGCTGGCATATTGGCAGTTGGGCTCCTCACAGGAGAGGGCTTGGTGGAATTCCCTCCTCCCACATCGGTATCAGTGGCAATCCTGGACGTCTTGCCCTCCCCCAAGCACCGTTCCCCTCAGTTCAGAGCCTCAGTTCAGAGCCAAGGGCAGAACTGGGGACAATGGCCCGGCCAGGAGGAAGGCCAGCTCCTGCCACAGAGTTCTTCCCACAGGCAACAGGAGCTCAAGTATTTTCTAAGTGGCCTCAAAGTGTCTTTTATCAGCTTTTGGGCCAATATGCCAGCTGTGACCATACCTGGATAGGGACAACTGAGCTACAGTGCTCAGTGCTCAGGTAACCTCCTGCTTAGACAACAGCAATGTGTTGTACCTGGGGCTGCTGTTAAAAATGGTCTGGAAACTGCTGTTGAGTCAAACTAGAGCTGCAAGAATATTAGCTGGGAGTGGGGATTTTTAATCACATCCTGCCAGCACTTCCCAGTCTCAAGTCCTGGCCCAATTTAAAGTGCAGATTTTAACCCACAAAGCCCTACACAGCTTTTTTTTTTTTAATTTGTATTTATTTATTACATTCATATCACACTTTTCCTTTAAGGAGCTCAAGGCAGTATATACATGGTCCTCCCCATTTTATCCTTACCACAGCCCTGTGGAGATCAGTTAGACTGTAGTTTCCCAAACTTGGGTATCCAGCTGTTTTTGGACTACAACTCCCATCATCCCTAGCTGGCAGGACCAATGGTCAAGGATGATGGGAACTGTAGTCCAAAATAAATCTCTAGAAGGGCCCAACCTTTAAGGACTTAAATGATGCCGGGTGCAGGTCGGAGTTCTACAGGACAGTCTACAGGGTATCTAACAATCCAGGATAGCAGCGGGAAGCAGCGGGAAACGGCGCTGGAATAAGGGAATTTCCCGCAAAAAAAGGGAAGGTTGACAGCTATGTGTCTGCCCCAAAATCCTGCTCTGATTCCCCCTCCCCCCAGCTTTAATCCACAAGGACACACTCCTATAGTCAACACTCTTCTAGAGTCATGGCTCTTGGCTGGATGCCTGGGCATGAGAAAAACAGCAGTCAGAAGCACCTCCCTCCTCACCCCTCTGGACTCTGTCATATAAGCAGACACACCTCAGGCAGGTCCTGTACAGTGCAGTTTCTTTCGGAGGCAAGAGAAGAGAGACAGGGGAAAGAAAGGAAGGAATGACAAAGGTCCGTAACTGGAGTAATGAGTGAAGCAAGTTTTGTTCTTCCAGGGTCAGCAAGTGGTGCTGAAGGAGAGCAGGGCAGAGACAGTGGGGATAAGCAGTGAAGCACGATACTGTGATAGATTTGGGGGGTGGCTAAACCCTATACATTAATAATGGTGGGATTTTTGATTAGTTGAAGGGAAGTTTGCAGGCCAGTGGGAAAATACAGGCTAAGCTTCCTTTCCAAGCCAGGGCCTCACCTGGGATATTAGACATGACAAAAGGTGTTGATGGCCCACCTGAGAGGAATTCTTGGACCTGGACAGACAGAGGTTGCCATGGTGATGGGGTTTGTGTTTGAGGTGTCAGGAAAAGAGAGTACAGTGGTACCTTGGGTTAAGAACTTAATTCGTTCTGGAGGTCCGTTCTTAACCTGAAACTGTTCTTAACCTGAGGTACCACTTTAGCTAATGGGGCCTCCCGCTGCCGCCGCGCGATTTCTGTTCCCATCCTGAAGCAAAGTTCTTAACCTGAGGTACTATTTCTGGGTTAGCGGAGTCTGTAACCTGAAGCGTCTGCAACCTGAAGCATCTGTAACCTGAGGTACTACTGTATTGAGAGCAAGGTGTCCTAGGAAGAAGAAGGGGGCGAAAATGGCTGGGATGCATCTTAGGCAGGCTGGCTGGAGTCTGGCTAGGAGAGATGCCTTTGATTCCAGGGCTGTACTGCTGTGGGGAACAGGCCCCTCCTGAAATGACCGCACTATATTATTCCTGTTGCTCCACTAGCAGGCGATGGGTCTCGAATCTGAGCTGGAAGGTCTTGACCTGAAGTCCGAGGGTCGTCCAATGCTGGTGGAAGTTGAGGGAGTTCCATTGCTCAGAGAAATGGAAGAGAACTGGGATCAACTGAAAGGCTTCCAAGCGCGCCCTGATGATCTTCTCATCTGCACTTACCCCAAAGCAGGTAAATGGAGAGAAATCACATGGGGATGAGAAAGGGGAGACCAAGGGCTACTGGCTTCAGCCTAAGCAGATTTTCTTTGTTGCTATCCACACCTCACTGGCAGGGACTACATGGATGCAGGAAATTGTGTACATGATCCAGCAAGGAGGAGACCCCCAGAAATACGCTCAGGTGCCAATCTACCTACGAAACCCCTTCATAGACCTGTTTCCTCCAGAGCCCGTACCCTCAGGTGAGTAACAGGCACTGATTCAGGGAGAGGATAGGAAGGGCAGAGACTCTCTCAGTGCAAGGTTGTAAGGCACCCTCTGCTTTTGCAGGCTTGGATGTGGCGGCAGGAATGCCCTCTCCACGCACGATCAAATCCCACCTCCCAATCCAGCTCCTGCCGCCTTCCTTCTGGAAGCAAAACTGCAAGGTCAGAACAAGTTGGGCGATGTAGATGGCTTAGTAGGAGCTGAGATTCCACCCTGGGTTCGATTTCAATTTCCGGGCTCAACCTTAGAAATGTCGGAAGCTGCCTTATTCAGACCATTGGTCTACCAAGTCCACTTGCTGTCCACGCTGACTTCGACAGACAATACAAAGGGTGGTGATATTATAGCACAATGCAAAGTCGCAGAAAAATATATCACCAAGGACAAGTGCTCTACAAGAAGGAGTACAGTATATACAAGCAGACAAATGCTGTTCCGGTAAACTCAGCATTTCTTTCCACAAAGGGGCTTAATCATTGAGCTGTACAACAGGTCCGGGTCTTGACGTATGAGTTGATGTTACTTCTGTCAAATACACAAGTGATTGTAAAGAAAAAGTCTATGTCTATATTTGTCTGCTTGCCTATACTCCTTATTGTGGAGCACTTGTCCATGGCGATATATTTTTTCTGTGACAATCCACACTGACTAGCAGCCTATATCCGGGGTTTCAAATAGTGGTCACTCCCAGACCTACCTGGAGACGCCAGGAATTGAAACTTGCACGCAAGGAAGATGCTCCACTGCTGAGCTACACCCCTTCTGCCTTGGGACCAGTGATGCAGCCTAGGGAGCAGCCAATCTGAAGGTTGGCAAGCTGTTTTTGTCTGCTAACGTTATCAGGAAAACAGTACAGAAAATGTGAAGCATGGAATGGTAGTTGTCATGGGGAGAAATGCTCAATTGTATGCATTGCAACTAAAGTGATACACATGAGCATCTTAAGGAGCTTCGTTAGAGCATTATGTCTAGGGTCTAAATTACCTACCTGCACCACTGCCTGGAAAATGTAAAGCTAAAATAAAAAGAGGATGCCTCTAAACATGTTCAGACTGCAAGCTTAATCTGATCCTGCATTAAGCCTGTTTGCAGTGCTTCAGAATATGCGAGATACAAGTGAAGGAGTGCCTCTGAGCATTAGCAGAGTGCCATCAGTGCAACTCCTGCTTCTCACTCATAGTGGTGTGGCCAAGCTGAGTTTGTGTCTTCAGTATGGCTTTGTTGTAGATTTAAACATACTTATCTAGCTATAATTAACATTCAGTTCACGGGGACTTATTTCTGAGTAGACACGCCTAGAACTGTTTTGCGAAAGAACTGAGCACAACAAAAAGCGGGAAGGCGAGGTGATTCGTATGGACTGGAACAGCGCAGAGTAAAAGGCTTGTGACTAGGACTCCTGGGTTCTCTCTTGACCCACAGATCATTTATGTGGCCAGGAATGCCAAGGACAATGCAGTCTCCTACTTTCACTTTCACCGCATGAACAAATTCCTTCCAGAACCTGGAACGTGGGAAGAGTTTATTGAGAAATACATTGCAGGGGGAGGTAAGTGGAGACTAGAGGACAAGAATAGAAGAACAGACACTCCTTTTCAGGAGGCCTGCCTGTTCTAGCAGAGTTATATCTGTGTAAATACTACTGTTTACTCCAGCTCCAGCATGCTCTCAGTCAGGGCTGAATCTGGGCTTTCTGTCACCCGGGTCAAAGACCCAGTTTGCCACCCCTCCCCCTGGATGCATGCAGACACCCACCCACCCACACCCCTCAACACATTTAATCATAAAGGCCATAAAATGTCGACAATATACCGGTATCATTTGAATACAAATGAATCCTAAGAAGTATTATGACTGTTCAGTATGACCAAAGGGAAAAAGAGCATCCCTTCCAATAAAAGCAAATTGTTTGTCAAAAATAGAACTTCCAGGGTCATAGGAGCATTGAAAGACTGCATTTCCATAAGATCAGCCAAGACCCTCTGGTTTTCTTAAAAAATTTTTTTGTCTCTTTGAGGCTTTTTGCCACACACCCCTCTTCTTGGTTCTGTGCAAACCCTTTCAAGGAGTTTTGACATGTAAATTTACTCCCAAGTAAGCTTCAACAACATTCCTTTCCATTCTATTTTTGTTTGATTACTCATTTCAGGAAATGATCATTTTGTAGTCATTTTAGGTTCCCTGTAAAGTGAAGAAATGCTTTTTGTGAGACTAAAGTAGAAAGTGCCCTTCCATTACAACCCTAACACAGCCGAGCTGACCAGAACTTGCCAGGGAACTGCCTCTGGCAGGAAAAATGGTCACACACCCCTTACCTTCCTGTGTGTAGATCATGTATAGCCTGTAAAATGACTCAACCTTAGCTATATAAGCACAGTCCAGGTTCTGAAGGGATCATAGATTCATAGAATTGTAGAGTTGGAAGAGACCCCAAGGATCATCAGTTGGATTCTCTTCCTCAGTTTCCCACCCCTCCCTCAGTCACTCCAGAATTTCCTTCTCACACAGTAGCAAACCCACAGGGGATCCTATCTTATGCTTCACTGGGGAGAGCCACGCAACCTCTCCAGATCTTCTAACTCTCCCTCTCCCTGCATCTTGTTGTAAATCAGCCTTTTCATCTTTCTCTCTGGCTGAAGCCCAGACATGCTGGGAGCCTCAATGGCGACCCTCTGGAGGCTTCACCCAGGGCAGAAACCCTGGCTAGACCTCCCCACCCCCCAGCTACGGCTTTGCTCTCAGTGTCTGCGGCGTCTGAAGCTGTATACACATGACATTAGCCACAATTCATATCTATCTTGTAGATTCTTGAGGAATACTACATTTTCACCTAATTTGAAAATGTAAGCCACCTTTAAGCTGAAGTGTGACCATTCGTGACAGCTATTGCACATGTACGTACGACAGCTTCATTGAACAGGATTTGGTGGAGGGTGAAGCCAAGGAGAGCCCAGATAGGTAATGCACATTGGAGAAAGACATTCCTGCCCAGTCTCTGGTCTGTATAGCAAGGTAAGAAATGCACCTTGAAATGCGGCGGGGGGTAAAAGACTTCGCTGCATTTTAAGCTGCTAAAGTGTACATAGGTTAAGTCTTTTAACACAGGAAGAGAAATGAGATTATTGGTTAGTGCAAAGGATGGAGAGTCAGAAAAATCCTCTGAAGCAAGCGGGCAAGTCATGTGAACCTGCAAAGTTATTTGCTGTTGTTTTTCCAGCCATGGGGAAAGTTACACTATGGGGAAGAGGCGGACACAGGTCTGGGCACCATACTTCACTCTCTAACCCAGGGGTAGGCAACCTAAGGCCAGATGCGGCCCAATCGCCTTCTCAATACAGCCCGCGGATGGTCCAGGAACCTGCGTGTTTTTACATGAGTGGAATGAGTGCTTTCATTTCAAATGTGTGCTTTTATTTGTGGGGCATTGGAATTTGTTCATTCTCCACCCCCCAAAAAATATATATAGTCCAGCCCACCACATGGTCTGAGGGATGGTGGACTGGCCCATGGCTGAAAAAGGTTGCTGACCCCTGCTCTAACCCTTCGGTCTATTTTTTAGTGACCTACGGCTCATGGGCCAACCATGTTCGTGGATGGTGGGAAGCCAAAGAACGTCACCCAATTCTGTACGTTTTTTACGAAGACGTGAAAGAGGTAAGAGGCAACATACACATAAGGCTGTAGGTTCCACTAAGGAGATTATTTGCACTAGAAATGCTTTGAAGAAATATTCTGATGCCGTGGGCTTCTGGCAGCAGGGCCCCAAAAGAGCCAGAAACAAATTCAGTGAGCATAACATAACAGACTCCAAGTCATAAGGAGCCAGATGCCATCATGTGGTAAAATGTATTTCATCTCGCAGGCAATCCCTGGGGGTGAGGAGAATTCACAGAATCATAGAGAAGTAAATAATAGGAATAGAAATAGGATGTCCCTATTTTCATCAGGGAAATGTTGTGCTGGTGGTGCTGCTGCTAGAGACCGTCAAGGAAGGGGTCACTTTCCCAAGTCCTCCCTCCAAGCTTCTAATCAATCACACGCAGGGACTGAATGGGTTACCAGGCTTTATTGGCTTCTTCTCTGGTAGTACCAGCTACAGATCATCAAACAGCAAGTCTAAAACACAGCGTGTTCTCTCCCTCCCTCAGCAGGTTAACTCAAAGGTTTATAGGGGCTAGGAATGCTGTCAACCAGCCAGCCCCATCGCATGCTCCCACTTTGGGAACTAATTGTTACCACTTGTCTGAGGGGCCCCACCCAGCGGTCCCTGCTCACAGGATCACGACTTCACAACAGAGACTGCCCGGTTGGCGCTGACCCATGACAGGGTCTTTTTAGTGGTAGCTCTCTGTGGAATGCCCTCCATAGTGAGGTGGATCTGTTTCCCTCATTACTGACTTTCAGGAGGAATTTAAAAACATTTCTGTTTATGCATTTGATGGCTGAAAGGTACTGTTCTGGGAAATCCTGAAATCACTGCTTTGAGAACATTTTAAACTGTTTGGAGAACGCTTTTTAAAAAAAAAATTATTGATGTTTTTGCCACCCTGGGCTCCTTTGGCTTAAAGTGGGATTATTATTAGTAGTAGTCACTAAATTTAATGATGATGCTGTTGATGATGATTTAGGAATACTAGATTTCTAGATGAACACAACCTGATTTGTCACACTACCCATCACAACTCTTGTCTTTCTTTCTTTCTTTCTTTCTTTCTTTCTTTCTTTCTTTCTTTCTTTCTTTCTCTTTCTTTCTTTCTTTAACTGCTGTTGCTTCTTCTTTTTTCATGATGATGATCATGACAAAGTAATGATCATAAATATATAAGAATAAAAATGTGCACCACACCACCAAGACCATTCCATTGTAATTATCCAACCTCCCAAAATTTCAACACCTCTTGCGATGGTTTGCCCCTTTTTGTTTTAACAGTACAAATTCTACAAACGCCTTCCATATTTCCTTGAAATCATTTCTCCTGCATATTCCCTGTCTTACCTTAATGCCACATGTTAATTTATCATTAATAGCTATATTCCACACCTCTTTATACCATTCCCCCATTTTATATTCTGCTTGCCCCTTCCATTTCCTAGCTATCATAATTTGTGCAGCTGTCAATAAATTTGTAAGCAAGTCCTTCATAGCCTGCAAACCTTCCACCCCATCGTAAATTGATAATAATGCTACCTCTGGACTTTTGGTCAGCTTTAACCCAGTGATTTGTGTTATCTCCTTCAAACCCTTTGCCAGAAAAAAAATCATATTTACACCCCCACCATATGTGAACATAATTCCCAGTTGCCTTTCTTTTTCTATAGGATCCGGCCCGGGAAATTCAGAAGGTAGCCCGGTTCTTGGGAATAGAGCTCCCAGAATTTGTTCTCAACCAGATTGTGCAGCACACAGATTTTGAGAACATGAAAACAAACCCAATGACAAATTATACCACCTTCTCTTCTGCCTTCCTGGACCAAAGCATCTCGCCCTTCATGAGAAAAGGTGGGAACCAAAGACCCATCTGACAGGAGGGGGGAGGGGACTGATAGGGGCAACAGTGAAAGCAAGCAGTGCACAATCACTTTCAGTCAGGGGTGTGCTATAAGAATTTTAAGGTCTTATATATATAAAATAGATGTTCATAAATGTACCAAGCAAACACATACAAATATGTAAACCACATGTCTGAAACCCACAGAAAAGCCCTGAAACCATTTTCTCTCTTCCAAATTGACCTCAAATATTTCTCTGCAAGGTCAAAGGAAATGGGGAGCCTTCCCATTGTCTCTTTGCTCACAAATCCTGTCTCAAGGGCACATTTAAGATGTGAAAAGGGTGAGCCTGTGACCTGTGACCTGGATTCAGGAGTTGAGTAGTTATCATAACAAAAGAGTGGTCAGGATGCCCAGGTAATCCAATCAAGTAACCTAGCAGACAGGAGAAAAAACAACGCACTCAGATTTCTGCTGTAGTCCGCCCCTTCTCTGATGTATTAAGGGGGTGGTCTTGGGCTACACCCCTTCTGTGCTGTAGGTATGATGTATCTGGGGGGTGGTCTTGAGCTACAGGGTGGGCAATTTCACAGTCTATATAAGGGCTTGCACACCTTTGTCTGGGGTCCTCCTCCTCTCTCCTGCGTGTGGGGTGAGCACCCTGTTGCAACAGCTTTAATAAAGATCAGGCTTATAGCCGCTTTGCTGTCGTATATCCTGGTCTGGTCTCGAATTTCCTAACCGGTTTGAGCCTTAAAAGGTACGCTCTCTCCAAAGGTCCAGTCTTCCTTAAGAAGTTGAACCCCTTGAAGGGACCCCTCAATATTCTTATTTCAGGTGCCAACTTGAATAAAATATTGGGGGGGCAGGTAAGTCCTGCCTCACATCATTGATTGCATGGCTCGGCACAGCACACACGCACACTTTGAATTGCAGGGCCCATCAGACTTTGGGGATGTGGCCCTTTCATTGGCTGACCCCCCGGGGGGGGCTACTTGGTGCCCTGCATTCAGGGTAGTTCAGCAATATTATGAAATAGCTATTGGAAGTGACTACCTTCAGAGATTTTGGGAGTCATTTTGAACTCGGGAATGTTGAAAAGGGAGATGAGGATTGTGCTTCTTTTTGGGAGGGGGGGGGATGTTGATCCTGTCCCTTAGCCAGTCAGCCGGTAGAAGCTAACGGTTGGGAGATAATTGTAGCCCTCCCATCACTCACCACTGTTCTGTCCCATGATGCTCAATCCGCCTCAAAAAGTAATAGCCAGGAATTTGCTTTCAGGTATAAGTGGGTAACAAGGACCGTGAGTTTAAGATTGTAAAATCTTCAACATGTTTGCCTCCACACAGCAACCCTGTAAGGTGGGTCAGTATTTATCACTCCTAGTTTCCAGTTGGAATACCGGAGCTGAGAGATGGTGAAAGGCTCAAGGCCAAACAGTGAATTCATAACCGAAGTAGGAATGACACACCGGCTCCAAAATGAAATGTACAGCTTGCGGGAGGGAGATTTTTACTTCAGGCAGAGAAACTATTGGGCCAGTAGTCCCTCACATCAGCCAAAGGTTTGCCCTAGACTACTTGCCAGAATCCTGTGCAAGAGTTCCTGAGCAGATTTACGAAGTTGAGGAAGGGCTCCCTAAACGGAGAAAGTTTGAAATCTGCTGAGTTAAAAGAAAAAGAAAAGAAGATAGGAAAACAGATGGTTGAAGGGATGTTAAACAGCTTAATTTTTTCTGGATTGTCTTCCCCACCTGCAGGAACTGTAGGAAACTGGAAGGAACACTTCACAGTGGCTCAAAGTGAACAGCTAGATCATGTCTGTGCCCAGTTATTAAAGGGCAGCGACCTGACCTTCCGCACACAGCTGTAAGCATCTCTCCATGCCTCCCAGAGAGACTTTCAGCCTTTAGACTGAAGAGGAGCTGAATAAAAGATCCATATTGATAAAGGGAAAATCTCTTTGTTATACAATACTACTGACTGAGGTGTTGTTTCTCAGACAGCTTTTAGGTTGCTGTTGTTGTTATTTTACAATCAAGCAGTGTATAAATTTAATAAAATAAATAATTAAACCAGCTCCACACTGATTGGAGTCCTTAAGCCATTCCTAATTCATGTCCAGCAAACGTGTGAACAGGGGTGGACCTTGGTAATATGCCACCCTGTGTGAGGCCATTTGACACCCTCGCCACAGCCCTCAAGGTGCCTGCTAGGACTTTGGGAAGGGGGCTCGAGGCTCTGATGGGGTCCTAGAGCCTTCCTACCCACTTCCCAACCCCCGTTGGTGTGTACACAAACAGAAACGAATCTGAAACTAAGGAAACAGTGCTGATGTGAACAGCTTGGGGTGGGGGAAGGATCTGTGAAAAGCACTGATGAAGACAAGCACTGAGTTCTAATATGAGCACAGCCTTAAAAATAGCAGGGGCTTTTCCTCATCAGATCTAAATTGAATGGGTCAAACGCCAGAGGATCACAAGGAAAGGGTTTGTTGGCGCCTGTCCTCCACCATTCGCCATATCTACATGGTCCTATAAAGTCCTTTCCTCATCGGCTGATGCTGAAAGTGAGTCTGGCTGGGGGAAGGCAGTGCTGCGGCAGGAGAGATTGATCACCACCTCACCGCATGACATTTGGGTGTTTTAAATTGTACCCCGCTTTGTTTTAGGTCTTAAATGGGGCAGTTGCAAATGGGTCCCACATTTTCCCGCATAGTTTGTGCTTGAGTGGGTCTTTGTTTCTGAAAAACAAACGTATTTCTGTTGCATGCTCCTCTCTTCTCTGAGCAACGAAACATTTCCAGGGCAGTGCTGTGGGGTTTTTGCAGCGTCAACCGACTAACAATGGGTGACCTGTCTTATTTCTCCCTCGTTGCCACCACCTGCTTATACGTCACCCCTCCAGACAGCAATAATGGGTATCATCAGGAAAGCAACACAGAACAACTAACAAAGCAGAATAAGACCACCAGGAATGTACAATTGTTGTGTCAAGAACATGTCCACAAGAAAACACCACGGGGTGGGAAGTAGCAAATGATATTTAAGTGTTGCTCTAAATTGAACAAACAAAGGTTGAGCCTTTTCTATTGTGGCATGTAGTGGGGGAAAGCAGTGACATTGCATGGTTTGCTGGTGCCCAGGGCGCCTGCCACCGGGGGGGGAGGGGGCAGAGGGTGAAAAGAACCCGCTGCACCAGCCCAGCTCTCACCACCAGAGCCAAGTGGGTCTGTGCTGCACCACCGGCCCACCCATGCAGGGGGGAGCCCAGCTAGCCGACACAACCCTTGGTGTGTGAATCCCGCCCCCGCCCCCCAGACACTGGCCAGGTAGCCATTCAGTGAGGGGGCAGGGGATGTGGTAGTGAGGCCAGGCTGGGCTTTGGGGTCCAGAGACCCCAGGCGGAAGGCAGGGCGGGACAGGGATCCCTGCATGGGGGTGCCTGGTTCATGCCCCCTCAAAATTGTATGCCTGGGGCTATGGCCCCCTGACCCCCTCACGCTGCGCCCCTGGGGCAAAGGTCAAACTATCAGGCAGGACACCTGGATTCTCTGTAAGAAAATATGGTTTACAGGCAGTATTAGAAATTGAGATATGAAAGCTAGGAGCTAAATGGCACCTTAAACCTAGGTTATGGGCACAACAATGGAATGTCTAGGCACACTTTTTAAATAACAAGAATACAAAGCTGAAAATGAGTGGACTGCAGCTAAAATATTATGTTCATTTTTCACATGGTCTAGTCCTTCCCTCTGGGAGAGACAGCAGTTGGAGGGGGATACTGAGATGAGGCCACTGGCTGACTATTACGCACTCTCTATGCCTCTTCTGACCACCCTCATGCCAGGGACTACTTGATTTCAGGAAATGGTAGACATGATAGGACAAGGAAGAGATCTACATAAATGCGCTCAGATGCCCTTCACAGAGACGTGCCTTCCAAAATCCATCCCTCGGGTGAATAATAGGTATCAATTCAATTATATAATGGGTGAGAGTTTGAGTGTGTGAAAGGCTTCTTAGCACCAGGTTGGATGTTCACCCTCTGGAGCTGCAGTTGTGGAACAAGTGGAGGCGATGTCCTTTTCCTGCATGCTCAAATATCACCTCCAGGTCCATCTCCTGCCCCATTCCTTCCAGAGAGCCACGACTTGAGTCAGGGAAGTACTAATTTGTAAACGTTTGTTATCTAGACCTGCAGGATTCCTTGCCCTGAAATGAGTACAGTAACTGCAGATCAAAGGTTGAAGGCCCTTCCCTTGGTATGAAGGAATATGGTAGGACAAAGCTTATCCTGGGCTGTTCAGGAAACACCTGGGTTTGCTACCTGTGTACACATGCTAAGGGGTTAAATTAGCTAGGGTGGAGACTGAGGTTCCATACCAGTGCCTTTGATAAAGTATCCTGGGACAGAGAGAGAGAGAGAGAGAGAGAGGGAGGGAGAGGGAGTTATCTCACACAATTTTAGCCAACTAGGGGAATTACTGCCAATTTAGGGGAAGGTCCTGGCTGGATGCCCAGCCAAAGCATACAGGAGACTTCAACTGGGGAAGCACACACCCTGCTCTCTCAATTTGCAATTCCTGGGTCAGGAACTAACTTCAGGAAACAAGAGGAAGACAGAAGAAAGGAGAGAAGTGCAGCTGTCCGAAAGGAGAGGAGAGCTGGTAGGTGGCCATGAAGTTTTACTCCCCTACTAGGATTTGGCCCAAAAGGAATTAAAGGAAGCAGCACCACCTCTTTTTTGGGGGGGGGACAAGGAGTGGGTCATATTTGACTACAATATCTTTTGCTTCCAGGTGATGGATCTTGAATCAGGGCCAGGAGATTTTGACCCCACGCACCCCAAGCGAGCAACCCTGGAGGAGATTGAAGGGGTCCCTTTCCCCAATACATTACGCGAGCACTGGGGTACCATACAGGGCTTTAAAGCCCGACCTGACGATCTTCTCATCTGCACTTACCCCAAAGCAGGTAAAGGGGTTCATAAAGAGAGAAATAAGGAAAACTGAGCATGGCAGAGGGGAGATACTAAGGGAACATAAGGGATGGTGGGACACTGGATGAATGGTGGTGGTGCTTAATTTGAGCAGCAGCATAAAAGACAGTTCAAAACAAATTTCAATCACAAGACTATCATGGGTCCTATAACATACCTACCTGCAAATATAGTAGGGGCTGTGCCCCTGCTTGCTTGCTCGCCAACCCCCTGCCATCCCCCCATTAACACCCTAGAGCTTCCTCTTCCCACTCCACTACTAACTACTAAGCTTTGCCACTTTCCTCTGGCAGGGACCACCTGGATCCAGCAAATAGTGAGCATGGTTCAGCATAGAGGTGACCTGGAGAAATGTAATCAGAAACCCATCTATGAGCGGATGCCCTTCATAGACATGCCTCCTATGAAACCTTTTGTTTCTGGTGAGTAGTGGGTACTGTTTAACTTTTGGGAAGAGAGCGGTGAGGGTAGAGTGAAGGGCTTATCATCATGAGGCTGGATTGTGCCCTCTGTTCTTTCAGGTGTTGAACAGGCAGACCTAATGCCCTCTCCACGTATACTCAAAAGTCACCTCCCGGTTCAGCTCCTTCCTGCTTCTTTTTGGGAACAGAAATGCAAGGTCAGGATAATTCACCAGGGTGAGGTTGATGAAAGGGCAAGGTTTAATCTAAACCAATGTTAATCTCTCAGTTCTGTTGTTTTGATATTCTGGCACGAAGCCATGATCACGTGGAATTGTCACCAAAAGAGAGGATGTTTCAAGAGCACGGGTCTCTTCTTTTTGCCCTCATCGTCTTGCTTTTGCTTTTATCACGGAATAATTTCAGCTTCTAGACTTTGATATTTTGAGTAGTGGGCTGGCCTTGTGTGAATTTGTCCTTCCAGACCAGCTTTGAGCCTTCATAACCTCTTTCCACTAAAAGGAATTAAACACCAGCACAATCCACATGAGGTGGTTGGTGGGTTGGTGGTATGGCTGCTTCTTGTTTCATTCCACTGAGCAATGAACAAACGAACGAATAACACACACTCTCCAACCCAACCCAAATAATATTCTTACTAAAAATCGCATCACATGGGCTTCCATTTAAGAACCATCACTTCATTTAATGTTTAAAAGCAAGGCATAGGTAACTGCTGGCAAAATGAGGGGAGTACAGATTGGAGCTGAGAGGGTGAGCGAGAGGCCTGGCGCTCGGACTTCTCTGTCATCTTTTCTTTCGGATGTATTTCTGCAGGTCATATATGTGGCCAGAAATGCCAAGGACAATGTGGTCTCCTATTTCTATTTCCACCACATGAGCAAGATAATGCCAGAGACTGGAACCTGGAATGAGTTTCTGGAGAATTTCGTTGCTGGGAAGGGTGAGTGGAGGAGGCGAAGAGATGGGAGGAAAGAAGACATTACCCTCAAGAGCCTTCCTAAGGCCAGGGAAAGAGGCCAGGATCCCTGGGCTCAGTTTTCAGTGATGTGATGAGAATGGGCCTACTGAGATACCTGTGCAGTGGTGGTTATTGCACTCTATGCTACAATCCTTTTGGATGAAGATCAGTTTTTAAATTTAAAAATAAACAGAAACATAAATGTACCGCAGAAGGAGAAGATTACCTGAATCCACAAAGCCCCTCACTATATTCTTTCCTACCTTGATATTAGGTAGAAACGGGGGGGGGGTATTGTTTTTGATTTGTACTATGTTATGCATTTTTGTGTGATCCCCAGGTGAAGGGTGATGTAGAAATATGTTAAAAAATAATAAATAACTAAAATATAGTCTGTGTATCAGGACACAGGGAGGAAGATGTGAGACGAATCTGAGATGCCATGTTCACTTTCTACTGGTCCATTTTTTTTTGCAGTTGCCTGGGGCTCTTGGTCCGACCATGTTCGTGGTTGGTGGGAGGCCAAGGACCGTCACCCAGTCCTCTACCTCTTTTATGAAGATATGAAAGAGGTAAGAAGCCAGTGTGGTGTAGTGGTTAAGAGCGGCAGTCTCGTAATCTGGGGAACCGGGTTCGCGTCTCCGCTCCTCCACATGCAGCTGCTGGGTGACCTTGGGCCAGTCACACTTCTCTGAAGTCTCTCAGCCCCACTCACCTCACAGAGTGTTTGTTGTGGGGGAGGAAGGGAAAGGAGAATGTTAGCCGCTTTGAGACTCCTTAAAGGGAGTGAAAGGCGGGATATCAAATCCAAACTCTTCTTCTTCTTCTTCTTCTCTCTCTCACACACACACAAACACACACACATCTCAAAGACGGTACTTTCTGACGGCAGTGCCACAGTCTAGAAAGAAAGAAATATGAGGGGGGCACTTAGGCGTTTCCAAAAAACAACATGCATCACAAAAAAGAGGACATTGATTTGCATACAATGTGGACATGCTGGTGTATATGCATAGTTGCAAATATTTAAACAATTACTGTAATTTAAATAGCAACACAGTTATAACTCACCATTGCGAGGAAGACTGTAATCGGGCGGACTTTGCTCAGTCTGCTGTTCTGATGCTGTTGATGGGCATCTTCAAGGCCCCCACACTCCTTTCTTGTGTTTCTCCATCTTCCACCTGGACTTGAGCCAGACAGCCTTTCGGCTAGAGGACTGCCCTCTGTTAAGTAGGAGACACAGCCTCCCTAAAGTCAGGGAGGTGCCTTAAGGTAAACTCTATCACTAACAGGCCGAATCTTCCTTCCCATTTTGTCTTTCTCTCCTTAGGACCCAGCCCGGGAAATCCGAAAAGTGATCCAATTTATGGGCCTAGAACTCCCAGAATCAGTTCTGAACCAGATTGTGGAGCACACAAAGTTTGAGAGCATGAAAGCAAACCCGATGGCTAATTACAGCACCCTGCCCTCCTCTCTCGTGGACCATACTGTGTCACCCTTCATGAGAAAAGGTGAGAGAAAACAGGTCTTAGGGGACCGTTTGGAGAATTTGCAGAATGCAGGAGGGGGAGGGAGTGTTGTCCCATTCTAAATGGGGCAAAAGCAAAGTCCAGAAGTTATTTCTTTTTATTGGGGTTAGGAACTGGTTTTGGCTTCTTGTTCGACAATATCAGAAGTGTAGAAGCAATTGCCAAGCATGGAACAGGGGGCTGGGGAGATGAGAAATGTTATTTGTTAGGTGAGGTCAAACATAAAAGGCCACCCTGTAAGACAATAAAATTACCAGGATCTGAAATTACCTAGTGGTTCTGCTCTTGCTAGGAGGGTAACAGTAAGACTCAGCAGGCTGTGTTTGCTTTGGAACATTTCCCAGGTGCTCTGCAGTGAACTGCAATTGTGGCAGAAGTTCAGGGTCCCATAAAGACAGAGTATGAAACGCAAGACTGCTAGGAAAGGCGCCTGGCAAAACCAGGCTGTCAATGTTTTTCTTTTCTGACCTGGTTTCCCACCTGCAGGCACTGTTGGAAACTGGAAGAAACACTTCACAGTGGCTCAGAGTGAATGGCTAGATGACACCTGCGCTCAGTTACTGAAGGGCAGCGGCTTGAACTTTCGCACAGAGCTATAAACGCACCTCTATGCCCCACATCAGAATTTTCACAACAACAGGCCTGGAGTGCTGACTTGACCTGCATTCAGTGCACTACAAGACTGAAGTCACAAGCAAGGCCTACCCAAAATGAATTTTGTGGGCATGGTTCCTGTTCCATTTTAGAATTTGTGGCTGTCCTTTGCTTGCTTTTGCAAAGTAAATAAACAAATAGGTTTGCTCTGTTGCCATGCTTGCTTTTCTCCATGTTCAGAGAATAAGCCCTTACAGAACACAAATAACCCCTCCTCTGAAAGTGCTATTTGCACTGGTCGGAAATCCTCATTTCCAAAAGAGAGACCATAGGCTGGAGTTCTGGCTGTTCTGCTTGCCTTAGGGCAGGGATGGGGAACCTGTGCCCCCCCCCCCCGATGTTGCTGGATTACAACTCCCATCATCCTTCACCATTGACAATGCTGTCTAGGGTTGATAGGAATTGGAGTCCAACAACGTATGGAGGCCCAGAGTCTGTTTCTCTGCACTTTAACCCTCTAAATGGCAAGACAGTCTGTTGCTGAAGGATAAGGCCATGATGGAGAAAGGTGGGCAACGTTTCCTACTTCCTTGCGTTTTTTGACAAGGGTTGCCTCCTGTTTTCTCTGGCAGTCTTCAAGCAGAAAATTCACATTTCTCAACAGGCAGAGCCCACTTGGCTCCCTTCCATGTATGTAATATGTAAGCAGACTTACATAAAATTTAGAAGTACCTGTTAAGTGTTGGAGATACGACTCCACCCGTGAACTTTGGATTGCTTGGAAATGGTCCGACTCATCTTTTTGAGCGCCTGGCAGACAACAGTCATGTTGGGGGCAAAAAAGGGTGGGGCGCCCCGGACTTGAAGGGTGCATTCAGATGGGGCAGTATTGTGTGAGTTTTCCGGATCACAGTATAATGCTAGAACTTCTGCCCCATTTTCTGACAGTCCTGAACTGTGGCATTTGACCAATATATTGGCACGCTGCACTAAATTTTACTCACTCCAGTAGGTGTGGCACAACAGCAAACACCCATAAAAAATATTGGAGCAGTTTACAACAATTGCACATAAAACCATGTGCTAAGAACCATATAAAAAGTTAAAATCTGCCTTGCAAACACCTGAAGATTTCCCTACAATGCCTCTCTCTATATATAAAATGATGGTTCAACAGCACACCTAGTAGTATGTTTCTACAGCAAAGATTCCATGTTGAGGGTTTTAGTTACAGAATCCTATGTTGAGGGGAGGTAAAGGGACCCCAGACCGTTAGGTCCAGTCGCGGACGACTCTTGCCTCTTACACCGAGGTTCTTGCCACCCGCAATCGGGAACCAGAAGTTTATATAAACAACCATCACGACTGAACCCCCTTTGGGTTTCGCTCCTCGTTTGATAGGCGCCTCAGGCCGCGTTGCCCCATGGGAACTGTAGTGCCGCTGCGTACACCTGAATCTATTGAAGACAGCGGCAACGTCTACGCGGCTTGACTACCTGCTGGGCGCGATGCCTTATGGGAAAGACAAGCCCCTCTTCCCCCACGCGCACGCGCGCGCAGTGCCTTTCGGGAGCTGTAGTTTCCTCGTTTCCGCTGGGCTTCCCAGGCTTCCTTGCCGTTTCCGTTGTCTCCTCGCTCTCCGGTAGCCATGCCTGGGGGCAAGGGTGGGAAGCCTCGCGAGGCCGCGAACCCGGCGGCCGCGAGTGTGTCTGAATCCGTGACCGAGCGGGTCCTGCGGGAGGCGCACTCGCTTTATGTGCATCCGGGTCATGGTGAGAGTTGGGGATGGGGAAGATGGGGGGGGGGTCTTCCTGGGTCGGAGGGTGGGGGGCGACTGAAGGGTTGCGTGGGGTGTGTGCGTGCAGGAGCTAACCTTTCCCCTTCCCCTCCCAGGGCTGGTGTCCATTGGGGGGCGCCTGGGCCTGACTCTGCTCCCACCACGCCGCAAAGTGACTGTCATGGTGATGGGCAACCACAGCGCTGGCAAGAGCAGCTTCATCAACTGGTGAGCTCAAGAGGGATATACAAAGGAGGGCAAAGGGACTCATAGAAATGGTAGGGTTGGGAGGGACCCCAAGGGTCATCCAGACTAACCCCAGCAATGCAGGGATCTTTTGCCCAACGTGGGACTCGAACCCACAACCCTGACATTAATAGACTCATTTTCGGCAAGCCCAAGTGAGCTGGAAGCAGAGTATCGTGCCATGGGGTGTGTTGGCATGGGTGCATGGCAGTGCCGAATTTACGTATAAGCTAAACAAGCTATAGCTTAGGGCCCCACTCTCTTGGGCTCCCAAAAAAAATTAAAGGAAAAAACTACTGGATGTACATTTCCAAAATATAAGATAAAAAATAAAATAAAATAAAACCTACATACAGCAACAGTGGCAAATGGCAAATGTTAGGTCCATAAATTACCATATAGCATATATTCAACACGAAAAACAGCGACAATTTGTTGTTGACAAAGGACAGCTGGACATAGAAAGGGCCCCATTACCTTCAGTAGCTAAGGGCCTCATCAAACCTAAATCTGGCCCCGGGTGCATGGCGCTCTGAGGAAATCCTATGGGGTTTGGTGGTGGTGCATTTCAGGTCTCTGCCAAACTTCCAGTTCACCCCCCAAGTATTTGATGACTTGAGGAAGGTACTGCTGCTGAATAGGAGGCATTGGTGTGTCTGCAGGGCTGTTAGGGTAGTTTCTTAACACTGATACATAGTAACAAAAGACACAGGTGTCATTTTGTGGCACTCCTTGGTATTTATGCAAGATACAGTATGTAATGAATTATTGCTAGTTGATGGGTTGGACAGCATATTCTAAGTACCAGAGGGCTGGCATTCATACTGGCTGGTTTCAGTATGCAAAGAGGGGGCTATAATCCACAAGATACCCAGGGTAGTTTTGTAGTGGGAATGGGATCAAATGACATTTCCATCATTCAAAACCATCTTGCTCCCTTCAATGTTTTCCTGCAGGTATGTTGAGGAGCACATTCAACGAACCGGTGTAGCTATTGAGACTCAGGGTTTCACCTTCATCACTAGTGGAAGGAAGCGAGAATCTCTCACGGTGAGAATTTCCTTTTCTGATTCACAATACTCCAAGAGAAAATGGCTGCCTTCCTGCAATGCTCTGGACTGAGGTTGTAGAAATTACTGATATCAATAGGCAAGGAGTTCCTAAGTATAGGTGGTGCCACACTCACAAAGATTGATTCCCTGTAAATGTGTAGCAGTATCAGTTCCACTTATATAAGCAGTTGAGTGGATAAGGCGATCTGGAATAACTGAAGAACTTAAATAATGAATTCACGATTAACATATAGGATGGACCTATGGCCATGATTTTGTCTGATCTTTTCAATGGCATCTGTACTGTAGTACAGTATCCTATGTTCTAACCTCTTCTGTTTCCCCCCCTCTTACAGGGTAATGCCACACTCCATCTGTACCCCCATTTCCAGGCCTTGCAGAGTTTCAAAGGTTAGTTGCAAACAATTAAGAGCAAGGAGTGGACCTCTGCATTAAACGGTGACGTGAATTGGATCAGTTGTTCCTTAAGGCAGGCAACTGGCCTCTACAGGATATGTGGGTGGCTGTTGAAATCATGCCATTAAGTCACTGAGATACATGGTGTTGTGGAACTCCGCCACCTTGAGTTACACCACCACAGTGGGTAGAATGATTTGGAGTACGGTGTTTGTTTTCAGGAGAGGTAGAGAACAGACACAATGCTTAGCATCTGTCAGTGGTAAGAGCCTACTTCAGAGTCTTAATTTTGCCTCCCCTCTTTCTTTTAGGTGTGCCAGAGTACCTGAGCACTGAGATCTGTACCTCTAAGCAGAAGCAGTTCCCCCTGGTCACTTTCCTTGACACGCCAGGCTTGGTGGACGGAGACATGAAATATCCTTTTGATGTGGAAGGGGCACTTATCTGGTTTGGTGAGTGTAGCAGTGTGGATAAGTGGAATGGAGTTGTCTCCTGCTGTGGATTCTCCTAATGAATTCCTCTTTTGGAGGCATTATGCCTCTGAATACCAATTGCTGGGAATTGTGCTCGGGTTCAGCTTGCAGGCATCTTGACTGAGCATTCTGTGTTGGACTAGATAGAGTGTTGGACTAGATGGGGCTTTGGCCTGATCCGGCAGGTTTTCTTTTTGTTCTTAATCCAGAGCAGATATGAGGAACCTGTAAGCCTCCAGGTGTCATTGAACATCAACTCCCATTATCCCTTACCATTGGCTGTGCCAGCTGGGGCTGAAGGGAATTGCAGTCCAGTGACACCTGGAGGGCCACATTTTCACCGTTCCTGATCTAGAAAATGGCATCAGGAAGAACTGCTATTCTGGATCAAGCTAGTATTCAAAAGAAAATGGACCTGTGTGGGTAGAACTGGATTGGAGGTATAAAAAAAGAAAACTCTGAGATAGAAAGATGTGGTGGTGGTTGGAATCTGGAGGGAAAATTGATTTTTTTTTACTGCTTTCTTTCCTATTAGGTTTTTGCTGTTTTATTTCATAATTAGTAGTAATTGTCTTTGGGAGAATTTGTGAAAATATCTTTTCAAGTGATGAGAAAACTTTGTGGCAAGAATTCACAGAGAAATGCCCCATTGCCACAGTGGCAGTAGGGAGAATATTTTAGCATGAGGCATCTTTTACTGTAGATTAACTCCCTTCTTCTGCCATTGTCTTGCTTCCAGGCCAACTCTGCGACCTCATCCTGGTCTTTTTTGACCCCATGGGACAGGCCCTTTGCAAACGCACTCTCAACATTGTGGAGAATCTCAATGAGGGGCACGGAGACAAGCTGCATTTTTACCTCAGCAAGGCTGATGAGGCGGGTGCAGAAGGTGACAGACAGGTACTCACAGGGTGAGGTTGTCTTGGGGATAATGATCCAGAAATGGGAGACAGAATGTCTGTTTCAATAAGGGAAGCAGCCTAGAGCAGCACAAGGTCTTTCCCTTTTTTCTTGATTCTGATCTGTTCTCTTTCCTGACAGAGGGTGCTGATGCAAATTGTCCAGGAACTCTGCAAGCGCCCAGGCCTCAATAAGTGCGGGTTTGATATGCCCACAATCTACATCCCCAACTCCAATAAGGTGAGTGGCAACCCTTTGCCATTTCAGAGGTGATGGGTAAGCCTCCATGAAAAGGTGGGAAGCCTTGGGAAGAGGGAAGAAAATATGCAAAACAGTTGCACCTTGGTGTGTTTGAGAAAAGTGAGATTTGCTAGGAGGATATTGATGGGCTATGAATGGTGGTGTGTGTAACCAGCCTAACACTGTCCCTCAGCCAAGCCGGTGCGTTAATCAGATTGAGGAGATCTGCCGAACCATCGAGAAGACAATCAGCCAAACTGTGCAGCACACACTCAACGCTTTGGAGCGGGACTGCCACCTCATTGACGAGGCCACGCAGCGTTTGCTAGAAGAGGACAAGTAAGAGCATCGTGGGAAGCGAAAGATGAATGTCTTGAATGTTGCCATATTCCTCATAAGAGCCAGAGCTGCTTGTCAGTCTGTGAAGGGGTGGGCTGTGCGGAGCAGTTGGCAGGGAGCAGGGTAGCACATCAAATCACAGATGGAGTGTGAAGTTTTTATGGGATGAAAAGGCGGGTTAGCAAGCCCACCTGGCCGCCCTGAAGTGAAATGCATGTGGGAGGGACATTGAGCAGTTAATTAACGTGTGTTTGGGGCCGGAGAGACCTTCTCTAGAAATTGTGGAAGAGATTGGAGAGGAAATCAGGAAATAGACATCTATGAGTGCATTAGGGGTAGCAGGATTTGAGTGCCTGAGACATTGTAGTGGTCTTCCTCGTTCCCAGGTGTGTGTGTTTTGCTCTTTCTCTCTCCTCTCTACGTGCCCAGTGAGGCCAGAAACGGCAACTTCCGCGCTCGTTTCCGGGGAGCGCTGCTTGGGCTAGCAGGATGCCTCCTGCCCATCTTTCTCCTCGTGACCTTGCTCTTTGGTACAGCCTTTGCTCGCCAGCTCTGGACTTTGGTGTTGGGAGAAGAGCAAAGCCAGGCGTTAGAGCTGTCCATGGTGAGTGCTTTTGTTGCTTAACTTCCCTCAATTCAGCTTCCCATTGCTCCTCAGTGCCCCATAATCACTATTTCCCCCCGTGCTTTCTCAGGATGCTCCTCAGTTAAGCTCCATTACACTTTTTATGACTGGTGCCATGTATTATCCACAATTCTGTGCAAGTGTAAAAGTAATAGTATAGCAGAATCTCTGCTTTCATTTGGAGTGGCAGGGGAGAGGAGAAGCCATATTTTAGCTTTCATGTATAAGAGGATAGACATGTTTGAAAGCAAGCTTTTAAAAGGAGCAATTAGAAAATTGCCATTCTTTCCTCACTTGTGCATCTCTGGAGGGTAGAAGAAATAAGTCAGAAGGTTGTATCCAAGCTTTACCCAGACTAGACCCACTGAAAAGAATGGAAAAAAGAAAAAAGAAAAGAATGGACCTAAGTTAATAGTACACATTATTTTTAATGGGCATCCTCTGAGTATGACCTAACTGGATATACCCTGTAGTCATAAATGCTAGATAAATTAACTTTGATACAGATAACTATGGCTGTGTGCTGTCTATAATTCTTCCCCTATGCAACATGGTTTCAGGATTCAGTGCAGTAAGAATCCCAGTTTTCTTTCTTTCTTTTTTCTTAAATAAGAAAACTGTGTTTTTTGGGGAGGAAACAACCGTGGTTCTTTAAGAAGTAAACAAAATAAATTTGGGCAGTGCCTAGATAGTAGAACACTTGATAAATATAATTAAAGCATGCATGCTTACATTGCTTATTTTTTGCAGGACACAGAATTTCAATTTTGTCAGTAGGAAATTTGGATTGTCTTGCCATAAAATGTTTGGATTTTTAGTAAAAAAATATTTAAAGCAAATAGTATGTGAGCTCTTATGATTTCCTCTGTGAATACAAACTCCTGTGTCTTACACTCACTATCTTATTTTCAGCGTCCAATTGCTTCCATGTGGAGCCTTGTCCCTGAAGAGCAAACCTTAACAGTATTCTTTGGTCTTCTCGGCCTCTCAATTCTCCTCCTGCTGTTGGCCAGTTACACTTTCAGGTAAGAAGCTCTCTCGGCTTAACGCTAAGAGAGCCTTGTGCAGAGGAGACATGCACCACACTAACGTATCCCTCCCCCTTTCTTGTTTAGGACAAAGCCCACTCTCTCAAAGAAACAGAAGCGGCAGCTGGAGGACAGGCGAGACTACGTAGTGGACGTGGTGCTAGAAAAAAAGGTTGACAGCTTTGGGAATTTGGTTTGGAGTTATGACACGGGGCTTGGCATCTATGCCAAAGGATCATGGTTAGGAGAAGCAGGGTTCATGACTCCTGTGTGGGATTCTGGGTAGTGGTAGGTTGGGGATATCCTTCCTAGGAGAAGGGGCTGGCCAGTGTATCAGGTTACAAGTAATTCTGTTTTTTCTGCAGAGACAGCTTTATGAGGAATACCTTCGCCAAAGCATCGGCGAGCAGGACCTGAGCTGAAACTCCTCCCTAATGGATTCAAAGAGACTGCCAATCCCCTGCCATGTTAAAATCTCTCCCCTCTGAGTCACTCCAGAGAACAGAGATTTGTACAGCAACTGTGAACCGTCCTAAGGGGCCAGGTTTTTTTAAAAAACGCCACTTCATGGGCTTCTAATTGACGGCATCTGTTCTACATAGGTCAACTCCTTGTATTTGATTGGATAGGAGTGGGCGCCCTGTGTTCTTCTGAACTGGGATCAATCACACCAGTGGTGTCCTGCGTCCGCACTTGTTACGAGTCCTGCTAAGGCTGCTACACTTAACTTCTAATGGGATGGTGCCTCTGGCCTTTTCTGTGGCCTCATGAGGGAGCAACAGCAGCATTGCCCAGCTGCTTTTTGCACCTGATTGAACTATGCCACTCCTAAATAACCAAGTTTTTAATTGGCAACACTATAAGCTGATAATGCTCTTTTACTGGCTACTAACATCATTTTAATTAAGATGGGGACCACCTGTCTTCATGACCCTAACTGGTACTCCCCTCCTTTGGCAATGCATCATCTCTGCATCACTTCCACCTGTAACTAGCCTTGGCCCATCCACTGTCCCTTAGGATGACTTTTGTCTCTGTTAAATGTCAAGTTCAGTGTCTTCTTCTTATCCTTTGGCAAGCAATACCTCATACCTCTGAACATCTCTGGATGTTGCATTAGGACTTGGAGATGCCCATGTCATCCTCCGTCTCACACTACGAAGTGCCTTCAACTGATACCAGCTCTTGAGGGGAAGTCAGGACATTTTTGCCGATAACCACTGTCCTCTCGTTCATTCTGCAGTCCTACCTATGCTGATACTTAATGCTGTGAATTCTCACCATAACTGCATTTTTTATATAAGCTATAATGTCTCCAGCACTCATTGTAGCATACTGGGAGTCTCCTCCCACACCTAGTGGCACCTGTCTGGAAAAAAGGGCTGTCTCAGCTAATTTCCCTCATATGGGTCCCTCAGCTGCATTCATCGATTCTCAGACATCTCCGTTGTAATCTCTGTATCTGTGCCTCATGAAATGGCTAAAGATGGTGTGTCCATGAGAGACTGATCTTTCCATCTGTTTTGAGATACTCCACATATTGAGGCAAATGACAGTAGCAGTAACCAATCTTGTTGTGAGGATCAGAAATTTTTCAGTGTCGAGGGAGCTATTTTTCTCTAATCCTTTGCTTTAAGAGACTTGGATGTAAACCATGATCCAAGAGAAATGGCTTAATTTGAGTTCCTAAATTGCCCTCATAGCTGCACAAAAATGTTACAATCGGGGTTATAACTTCTCAAGCCCTATCCCCAAATGGGATTGTGGTGGTGCTAGTCAATGGAACAGGGGCGCAAGAGTTCAATTTCAATTGTCTTTCTCTCCCTACAAACAGAAAATAGCCCATGGTATGTATGCCAACTACCAACTTCCAAGTTTGTCAAGAGATTGCTTTGCTTCAGGAAAGGAGAGGAGCCAGAATTTATGGCTGTGTCACTGCTAATCGGCTGACCATTTTGGTTCCTCCCCACCACTTTCTGAAGCTTTGTGTCTCTTGTTGGTACGAACTGATACTAAGGTGGTGATGGGGAAGAGGAGGGGTATAGCCTGAAATTCGTAAAATATACTCATTAGAAGCTGTTTTAAAATTTGCTGGTATGAACCCCTTGCCTAGGGCTTCAGTAAAACAAGCTTCTCTTTCCGCAATGTGCTCCCAGCAAACATTACCACTAAGGGTGGGTGTGGGGAGGATGGTGCATTTAATAAAGCTCGCTGTAGAATTTGCCTTGACTTCTTTTTTTATCCAGAAGCTTTTAGTCCTCACATGTAGCTCCTTCCCCTCCTGGTGTTAATTTCTGCTTTTTCCTCATGTTTCCTGGCCCGGCTCCATTCAAATAAGTGTCACAAGAAAACAGTTATGCATCTTTATTTAATCTAGAAAGTACATTGGTTTGGAGTATGCAATTTGAATATATTGCCTTGCCTTCTGCCCTTTCTGGTGCTCTGTGGATGCAGCTTTTCTATGAATTCATGCTATCCACAATGATTTTCCCAGTTTCACTACTTGTAGATCACTATCTACCACCCCAAAATTGGGAAAAGGGCAAAGACTTTTACATAGGCAATTAAATATCAGTAAGTAAACGGGTGAAGAGTTTCCACCCCCAGGCAAGATATTAAAATCTGTATATTGTTTATTTGATACATTTGTATATCAACTGTATATAACCCTTTGTAAATTTACCTTAGGGCAGTTTGCAATACAATTTTAAATACCCAAACCCAAATGGAAAGGCTTGGAAGGTTTTATTTTCTATTCTGAGCTTAAATATGCGTCCTTCCATTGGCCTTTATGAGGTGTGAGGGATGGCTGCTGCGGCCGTCTCTTCCTCAGTCTCATCCTCGATGGTTTTTGGGCTGGGCTGCGGTCATCTTGACCTTCTTCAGCATCACTCTCACTTGCTGCGAGCAGTAGACCTTGTTCCTCCTCAAAAGAAACCACCGTTGCGTGGCGTTCAGCTATCTCCGTATCGACGTTGCCGTTGTGTCCAGAACCTGAGTATTGTGACCAGACTCAGAGCTATAGGGGGGAAAGTGAGGGAAAGATTTGTGAGCAGTGCACACCACAACTTCCTGCGGCCAATGTGTGAGTATTCGCTTGACACCTGATCCACACCCAGTAGTGAAGTGAAGGGATTTTAAATATGCATTACCCTAAATTTGTCCCGCTCTCATTGTTTTTGATTATGTCTCTTGCCTTTAAAAAAGGAGCAGCCCCCTTTTTATATAGTGGATATCTTGTTCATGTAAGTGGGTAGTGTCCTTTCATTGGCAGAAGGGCGGCCATTTTGTTGAGCAGCACAGAGGAGGCCTCTCACCTGCGTTTTTCATTTCTTGGATGCTGTCCCTTTCCGTTTTTGCTCCGTGCGTTGCAGCTTCAATACTATCTTACGTTCATGGCCCCCGGGATTTGGGCGGTTTGTATGATCCTCCGCCTCTTTCTTGGAACGACCTTTGCGGGAGGAGCCACCTGGCGGAACCAAACACAAGTTAATCATATTCTGCATCACAGGCAGTTGGACTATAATTTCCCCAAGCGGCTAATTATTTTGAGGGTGAGGGGTGGCCATGCACTAGCTTGCATCTGCTTCTCTAGTGTTACTAGGGGTAGGGATTCTGCTGCTTTTAGCTAATGCTAATTTCACCACACAGACCTAGCCTAAGAAGCAGGTTTCTTCCAGAGAGGTGAGCTGCTGTGGCTTGTCCTTTGCATACGCAGTTTTCCTGGATGATGAAGAAAAACAGCCTAGGGAGTTGTGACTTAAGCCCTTTTCCCCTGTGGTCATTGTTTTGCTACTCGAAATCATACCCTCTAGCTGCTTTTCCACCCATGGAGGAAAAGACTTGAACAGCTAGAGGTGATTCATGCAGTGACAGTAGATCTTTGCTAGTCATCTTGTGAATCAGGCACTACCAGAGTGATTCACATTTATGCATCGCTCTGTTTGTGAAGAGCATTCCAATGGTAACTTGGGGCTGTTTGTTTATAAGGAAAAACGCACCCTTCGCTTAGTACTGATTTGTTAACCATTTGACATCCTTTTTCCTCCTCACTGTAGGCAAGCCTAAAATGACTACAGTATAATGCTATTACAGACCAGTAACCTGTTTTAACCAACTTTATGGCAGCACACAGCTGGAGTGGTTAAAGATGCACAAAAACTTGGCTTGCAAGGCATGTATGTAGGTGAAGCTGGAATTCAAATATTAGGGTGGGGGATTTGTGAGAAGGGAATCGGGTGTTAGAATTTAATGCAGCAAACAGAGGTGCAATCTTTTGCACGGGATCACTCACAGCTTGCTGTTCAGCATTACGGTTTTACACTGTGCCTAGTTCCCTGCCATCCTTCTATATGTTTCTTCTTTATCTATGCCAGTGTTTTTCAAACGACCCAGAGCATAGTTTCTACTGCAACCCTAAGAATCCCTTCACAATATGGGATTTTCCCATCCTTGGGTTCTCCCCCATTTCTGCAGTGCACTTACTGCTGTATCTGTCCGTCAGGCTGTAGAAATCATACTGGTCAAAGTATTCCACCTCGAAAGGCGTTGGGTGTAGCTTCTCGACTTGGACGAAAGAAGTCGACATGCTGGGACCGATCTTTCGTTGACAGCGGAGAAACAGGAAGGAAGGAATGACAACAATCAGGAGTTCAAAGTGCTATCTGTCTTCTCTGTGAGCCTGTTTTTCTCTCTCAATGTGTTTGGGAGACAACATATATATATACACCCCCAACAACACCCACAATTGCATCATCCTCTTCCACCCCTTAAAGCTACAGGCAACAGATCTCAGAATCTGATGCAACTGGTAAAATATCTGATGCTGCCAATCCCCTTCACGTGACAATACAATCTCCTTTTCCGTATACTCAAGGACTTCCCACTCCCACCCCTCACCTGATCCTATAACCAAAACTTTCCGTCAAGAACATGCTGAGTAACTTTATTTGCACAATGAATGTTGCCCAGAGGCTTATGTGAAATGTCCACTTTGTGTATATTTGAGAAGGTCTATGTGTTGATCATTAATGTCCATTGACCATGACTGTCTTTGACAGAAAGCTGAAATAATCAACATTATAACCACATTCCTTAGTTCAGGTGTAGAATCTACTGCTTACTTTTTATTAATCATGTACTCAAAATTACAGTGTGAACTACTTGTTAGATTAGTGGACTAGTAACTAGGACTATTACTTCCAGATAAGTTAGTCCTGTTAGTCCGTTGCAAGAGAGAAATATATTTTTTTTTGCAGCACCATCAAGACTAGTAGATTATGGCATAAACTTTCAACTCCATATCTGTCTATGAATGAATATGCCACAGATCTGCCACAGATCTGATGAAGTATGCATCACAAAAGCTTATGCCAAAATAATCTGTTTTTAAAGCCACAAGGTGTTTTTTTAATGTGGACTAGTAACATCTTTAAATTACCTTCTGGGCATACAGAGTTGTAGTGTTTATATCTTATTTCAGTGCAATCTTGCCTACGGAATGATGATTCTACGCTGTGTTATACTGGCTTACATATTGTAAAAGCCACTTTAAATTGTCCCACACAGTGCAGTGAGTGGTTTGTATAATACCTTGTAGCACCAAATAAGCAGTGTTTACCTCCATCACTGCACCTGAGAAACTAGGTTTGTGATGCCACGGAGCACAGGATTGTTCTTTAATGGGCTGAAGCTACAGGAGGGTAAATTTTGGTAGAATATTAGGAGAAGCTCATTGACAGTAAGCACCGTTTGAAAATGGAGCCCCCTGCCAAGAGCTCTCCTTCGGTGGAGATCTTCAGGCAGAGGATGGATAGGTGGACATCTTTTGTGGGTGCTCTAGCTTAGAATTTCCTGTGTGGAGCAAGGAGTGGGATGGGCCAGAAGTCCTCATGCCCCCTCCAACTCTGTGATTGTGTTGGATAGCAATCGCCACCGGAAGTGGTCTAAAGTAGCTTTCAAATATATTCCAGTCCCTTATCCTATGCTGAGATACGTCTTCTTGCATTTCCGGCTTCGTTCTTTTGTGTCTCTCTTGTAGCTTCTGGCATCCACCTGCAAGCTGAGATTCCCCACATCTGCTGAACAGATAGACAGGGGACCCCGGGGGGGCCGAGCATGGATGCCATAGACTGGCCATCTGTTGCAGAGGGCAGTCCTCTGTTGGAAGGAATCCTCTGTTTTATATGCAACGGCCAGGGATTGGGAGTCCCTGTGTGATTAAAGGACTTACAAATTTCTCTAGTGTCTGTTAAGATGCTAATCTACACATGCTCTGAGAAATTATGCCTATAGAACCAAGAAATGCAATCCAATTTATCAGCTTTTTATCCCACTGTTCCTCAAAGGAGCTCAAGCTGACACACACTTCTCCTCCAGCTCCCCTGCATTTTATCCTCACAGCAACCCTTTGAGGTAGTTTAGGCTGAGGGTGCGTGACTGGACCAAGGTGGACTTCATTGCTGAGAGGGAATTTGAACCCAGGATCCTTGGTACTAGGCTAACCCTATGTACTGCGCCACACCAGTTTGTGGAATCAACTCTAGACCCAAATTTTGATCTGTTATTTCTTTGCGCTGGTGTGCTGCCCTGCATTTTCTATCTGGTGTTGTGTCTCACGTTCCCCCTAGGCACGGCCCTTTCGCTCTCTTTTTCTAAATGTGTGTATTTTTATCTGACTAAGTCCTTGTGGTTTGGATCCTGCCCAAGACACACAAGCAGATCAAGTCACAAGGAGAGGCTGAGTCAATGTTATTGTTATGCTCCAAGGTGACTCTATTGCTGTTCCTGTTTTTCCTTGAAGCAATTCTTTTTCCCCAAAACACCCATACCAAATCCCAGCTACTGCTCTTATGCTGTTAACTGGATCACAGTGGAAGCTAGAGTTGTTTTAAGAGTAAGAGATGAAGAGGCAAAGTGTCGTATGTGTGTGTGGTTCTGTGTTCAACAGAAATCTAGAGACGGGAGTCACATTAACCATTTTTGCCAAAACAGACGTAATGTGAGAGATCTGTGATGGTATTGCCTGAACTTATTTTTTTTTAAATCCTTAAATTAGCCGTGGGTGGGGGTGAATTTTTTAGCAGAGCAGTTGACCTGGAGGAGGAGATTTAACTGCTAACCCACACCTCTCACCCCATTTTATTGCTCTAAATCTAGGGCTGGACCTACCATTTAGGGGAGACCACCTCAAGCAACAGGGATGCGGGTGGTGCTGTGGTCTAAACCACAGAGCCTAGGGCTTGCCGATCAGAAGGTCGGCGGTTCGAATCCCCGTGACGGGGTGAGCTCCTGTTGTTTGGTCCTAGCTGCTACCCACCTAGCAGTTTGAAAGCACATCAAGTGCAAGTAGATACATAGGTACCGCTCCGGTGGGAAGGTAAACGGCATTTTTGTGCACTGCTCTGGTTTGCCAGAAGTGTCTTAGCCATGCTGGCCACATGACCCGGAAGCTGTCTGCGGACATACGCGGGCTCCCTCAGCCTATAGAGCAAGATGAGCGCGCAACCCGAGTCGTCCACGACTGGACCTAACAGTCAGGGGTACCTTTACCTTTTACCTCAAGCAACAGGTGTTGTGGTGGGAATTGGCCTTTCCTCAGCATTGGTGGAGGATCATTTTCCATTTCTGTTAATGTACATTTCAGACTTTCCAAGGATCAAAAATCCCCACATTTAAAAAGGGAAAGGTCCACACCAACACTGGGATAGGGAGGCCTTCATGCAGATACCCCCCCCATTAATGGGGACATAGGCAGGTGCAAATCCACTTTTCGCTCTGGTGTGGACAAACCCTAAGAGTCAATGGGAGAGGAAAGGGAGGAGGTGTGCCATCTTGGCTTTGGCCTCCTCAGACAGTAAAATGCCTTGGGCCAGTCCTGTCTAAATCTCCACAGCTCAAATTGTTATTGCTCCTTGCTGCGGGGTGGAAGTGGAGAATGCTATCTTGATATCTTTTCCTGTTTGTTCCCCCGCCATGCCATGCCAGTCTTATTATTATTATTATTTTTTTTTTATTAAATATTTTATTAAGGATTTTCTTGTTTTACAGAAGTAAGTGTACTGCCTCGTATATATATTTTTTTCATGTAACATTTTTACAAATCCATTTCATTTGTTGAGGCATTAGGGGGGAGAAGAAAAAAAAAGGAAAAAAGAAAGGGGGTGGAGAGAGGGAAGATGGATGGGGGTGGGGTCGGGTGGCGGTGTTTCTATTATGTTTAATGTATGTAGAGTTTGGTGTCAGCGTTGCTTGTGTTGTTCACTTGTGTTCCTTTCGTGGTGAGAGAGGTTGGGGTTGGCCTAGGGTGTGATTGTCTGCTTGTGATTGGCTGTGGTGATCTTTGTTTTCGTGTGTGAGTGAGGTGGGTGGGTGTTTTGGATCAGGTTAGCCATATTGATTTGTATGCTGTTGGTGGATTATTGTCATTGTCCTGTTGGGCTGTGTATGTGATAAAGGGAGCCATACCAGGGTGAAGACGTCTTCTTCTGTTTGTCCCCGTGTCAGTTTCAGTTTATTAGTTAATTTTTCTAGTAGGGCTGTTTCCCATACTATTTGGTACCATTGGTCCATGTTTACTCCTGACAGGTCTCTCCAGTGTCTGGTTATGGTGTTTCTGGCTGCTGAAAGTAGGTGGGTTATGAGTTCTTTGTGGTGTAAATGGGCATTGTTGTCTTGGAAGATGTTTAGTAGGGCCAATTCTGGGGTGATGTCTATTACTTGCTTAGTTATTTTACATATTTCTTGTATGGCTGTTGTCCAGAATAGTTGGATTTTGGGACACTCCCACCACATGTGGAGGTATGTGCCTGTGGAGGTGCACCCTCTCCAGCATTTTGGTGAGGTTCCTGGGTGTATTAGCGCTAGTTTCCTTGGTGTTAGGTACCACCTGTAGGTGAGTTTCAGTGTGAGTTCTTTTCTTTTCGTTGATATGGATTTAAAGGGGGTTTAGACCACATTCTGGTCCATTGAGTGGGGTTAATCTCATAGCCTATGTCATTCTCCCATTGTTTTTTGATTGCATCTAGGGGATTTGCGGGATTTTGGAGTAGTATTTTGTATATTGCGGATACCGTCCCTTTACCGTTTCCTTTTGTTGTTAGGAGGAGGTTTTCGAAGGTTGTCAGGGGCCTAGTTGCTGCTGATTTTACTGTTGGGTTGTTTAAGAGGGCATGTAGTTGGTGTTGTGTTAACCAGGGCATTTGGGTGTCTTCTAGTTTGTCTTGTATTTCTTGTGTTGACAAGGGTTTGTTATTTTTATAAAAGTCTATTAGGCGATATAAGCCTTTGGTTTGCCAGGTTTTTATCTGGAGGTTTTGTGCTGCATGGTGGAATAATGGGTGGTACGCCAGGGGGATTAGTGGGGATGGGGTTGGGGATAGTTTGCCTATTTGTGTTTTCCATGCTTTGAGCATGGTCTGTGTGTACCTGTTAAGTGTTGTGGGAATTTTCTTTAGTTTGTTTGGGAGGAATGGGTATGTTGTGGTGCAGGTATTTTCAATTGTGTCCCTCTCTAGGTGTACCCATTGTTTTGTCTCATCTTCTAGTATATATGGGATTATATGGCGTATTTGGTTGGCATTGTAATATGCTTCTATGTTGGGGATTCCCCATCCTCCTTCTGAGGTGGGGAGGTGCAGGTATTTGAGGCTTATTCTTGGTTTTTATGTGAGAAGATGAAAGAGTGTAGTTTTCTCTGCCAACTGCGAAGTTGGGTTGAGGGGATCCAGATTGGGAGGGTTTGGAATAGGTAGGTTAGTTTTGGGAGTG